CATTAATCACTAAATTGTCAATACTGACATTAATTCAACTTCCAATTGAGAATTAACTTGATTTCAACTTTTCATCAACTCAACATTACGTCAACATTAACGACAATAACGTATGTTAAATCGACACTAACTTTCCATTAACTTGACCATAACTTAACTTACCATAATTCAGCATGATAATCATTCATTGTTACATCATAATTTATAGACCCTGTTACTGTGCGATTTTCGAATATTTCCACCCATGTGAGTTTTACTTTCGAACTTTCTAACTGTTATATGTTGTCGTATTGAAACGAATCACTTTCTCAATAACAAATCAATGTGTTTTGTGCTGTTTTCATAGGTAGTCGTAGGAAAATTACTATTATGTGTACAAAACACTTATGGATACCCTACCCTGTATTATACAGGATGGGTCACGGTGGATGGCCTATTAGAAGTATCTGGAGAACGAAAAGACAGAACATTCTGAAAATTGGGATACTTTGATAATTGAACATGCTCTATTCGTCTAAAATGTTTTCATCGATACAGTGTTGCCACTTCTATCAGAAACAACTAGCAACTTCGTTATTTCAAATGGAGCACCCTGTATTTTATTGCATTTTTAGATGCTTCCTAAAGAGCTGATTTTATCGATGTGTCACACTTGGGGTCTAGCAGGAATAATTACAGAGATATAGGGTGTTCAAAATCGAGATTTATCAATTTTGGGATTTTTTTCTGTCAAAACTATTCATTATCGATCAAAATGGTTTACATGTCCCTATCTCAACTTTCGATTCACTATCTACTGATATTTAATTGGAACAGATACAGGGTGATCAGAATTCTGAATCATGAAGCACCCTGTATTTTTCCAATTAAATTCCAGTAGATAGAGAATCAAAAGTTAAGATAGGGACATGTAAGCCATTTTGATCAAAAATGAATAGTTTCGTCACAAAAAAATCCTAAAGTTGAAAAATCCAGATTTTGAATACCCAATATCTCTGTAATCATTTCTGCTAGACCCCAAGTGTGATGCATTGATGAAATCAGCTCCTCAAGAAGAATCTAAAAATGCAATAAAATACAGGGTGTTCCATTTGAAATAACAAAGTTACTAGTTGTTTCTGATAGAAGTGGCAACACTGTATCGATGAAAACATTTTAGACGAATAGAGAATGTTCAATTATCAAAGCATCCCAATTTTCAGAGTGTTCTGTCTTTTCGTTCCCCAGATACTTCTAATATTCCATCCACCGTGATCCACCCTGTATATTCTTCAGATTTTCATAAATAACGAATGGCACAAATCAAAATCTGGCGAAACATTCGAAACCATCAATCCTGCAACGGGCAAAGCCATAACGGAAGTCCAACGAGGCTCCAAAGCGGACATCGATCTAGCAGTCGAGGCAGCCTCTGAAGCCTTCAGGTTCAATTCAAAATGGCGGACGACGGATGCGTCAGAAAGAGGGAATTTGCTGTACAAGTTGGCTCAACTTGTAGAAAGAGATGCTGCCTATCTCGCAGTAAGTATTATCAATCAATAAATCAACAATCATTATTCCCAAGAAACAATATTTGTTTATGTATGTAAATATATTCGACAAAATAAAGATGACAGTAAATAATTCACACTCAAGAAGAAATCTTTTCTTCTAAATTCAACTGGAAATGATTCTCAATTCACTCAGCTGTTAGGTACCCAATGGAAAACTATATAGTAGTTGTACGAGAAAACTGTGAAAATGAGATGAGATGTCAATATTACAGGAGTAGATGTTTCTTGAATTCCTTCTTAAATTTGTCAATCCTATTAATCAGCTTCAAGTTATTTGATAGTGAATTGTATTGTATCATTCCATTGTGATAGACGGATTTTTTACCAATATCTGATTTAATTTTCTTGACAGAAAAATGATCTGCTTGTTTATTCGTATGGTTGTGGTGACTACTAATAATTTGGAAAACCAAATTCGAATGCTTTTGACAATATTTAACTGAATGAATGATATATATAATCTATATATCACTATTATCTCGGGATCATTGCAAAAAATATGTATATATCATATATTTATTTACCAAAGTAATTTCATTCACCTTTAACACCTGCATTATTTCAAGTCGTGGTATTTGAAGAACATATTCTATTGAATTATTGAACTCATAGCTTTTTTCAACTAGGAAAAAGCCGAATACTCAAAGTGGAATGCAATGGTTACAAAGAGAGAAACTCAAAGTCACTACCACAATATAGAAACGAGCGAAAAACAACTACTTTCCTGGCTATATGCCACGCAGAACATTGGGTTCCTCTTTGTTATAGCTTTTGTACTGGAAGAGGATTTGAAATATTGTGACACACAATTTGTGGGTACATATCTTTACTACGGCATACAATTACTATCTAGACCTCTATATGTCATATCCCAACAACTCGAAAATCTAATCCATATTGCTCGCCTGAAAACGCTTCTGCTCTATGCGCAAGAATTCCCAAACTGTCGTTTATGACATCAAGTCATGTTTTTTTTAGTGTTCGGAAACATAATTAATAGCGTTTACCACTCGCACTTGTTCGAACTTTTACCGAATTGAGTGCGTTCTGTGTGGTGCACTGGAAGTTTCAAGAGCGAACCGATATCGAGGAATGATGTCCACTCGCTTGCAAACTCTCCCGATGCTCGCCCAAAGTTCTTATCTTCAGATAACAGACCTTGAGAGATTCTCATAAGCTCCAATCATCGGATGGAATACGAATATGAATATATCTTATCTCATTGCAGTTTGATTCTTAAATTCATTTACCGTATTCAAAGCAGAACTTCCTCTGAATGTTTCTTGAATCCGAACCAAAGCCACTTGTAGTTTCTCGCTGCTAAGGCGGTCTATAAATCAACGAGTAGAAAACGCTATGAGTTCGATCTCGTGATGGAATGGCTTTTATGAAAAACCGAGTCAATGCCACTTGTACTTGCTCGGTACAGAGATAATATATTGTATAATCTCTTCCCGCGAGTATATATATTAGATCTTTCTTTTATTCCATTCAGACCAGGGAAGAGTCCCTCTTATCCTGATATCATGAAACCAAAAAAAAAGCAAAATGAGAACGGTATTGAAGTTTGATGCGAACAGCCCTTTGGGCCCAAATAAGTTTCAGAAGGACATTCTCAGAATTGAAAAAGATCGAACGGAAAAAATAATTATCCAAAGGTTGAGAATAGTAAATTTAGTCATAATGATGATATTTTCTCTAGTTTATCGACAATATCGGTCTTTTGAACTTTGATTGATCACCTGGGTCATAATCAACTGCATTTTGAAGGAGCTGATTCTCGAATGTCTTGATATTTCGTTCTCTAATGACTGACACGATTTAAGGGAGTTTCAGATCCCTGGCGATCTGGTTATTCCGAACATACCAAGGAGATCCTGTCACAATTCTCGCGATTTTGTTTTGTAATGTTTGTAATCTGGTGATATGAGATATAGCTGTGTGGCCCCAGACTACCGAGGCATACAGTGAAATTGGCCTGATAGCCATGATGTAAATATCCAATTTTTGTCTCAAACCCAATTCACTTCGTCTGTTTAGAAATGGATACAGGGCTCCAATGGCTCGTTTAGCTTTTGAAACTTGCTGTTAAATGTGCTGGACCCAGGTGTACTTTTTGTCAATGCACACACCTAAGTATTCAACTTGTGAAGACCACTCTAACTCATGACCATCCAGGACTATTCTGGTTCTGGGAGGCCTCCGCTCCCTTCCGAGTGCGACCAATTGTGTTTTTGCAGGATTAAATTTTTGATCTTTCATCTTAGGAAGTACTCCTGAAGAGAATTCAGTGCGCTTTGGAGGTTCATAGCTGCTTGCTCGAAATTTGTCGAATATGCAAGAACTGCCGTATCTACAGCAAATAGCGACATCGTGCACATCACTGGTCTCGGCAAATCGCTAGTATATAAACTGTACAACAGCGGCGATAAAATTGCACCCTGAGGAACACCTGCTTCAATGGGCTTGATACCAGATCGTTGATCATCAAGTTTCACTTGAAAAGTTCGATTTTTCAGAAAAGAACACATCAACTGAATCAAATCGTCAGGAAATCCCATATCGATCATTTTGCACAAAATACCATCATGCCACACCTTGTTAAATGATTTCGCTATGTCAAGGGGAGCAAGATGGCTCTTTTGTCTATCATTTCTCAACGATATTGTGTTCTCAATGAGTCTCAAGACTTGTAGTTCAGTTGAGTTGCCAGTTCTGAAACCGAACTGCTCATCTGGTATTAGCTCGTTGTCGTCAATAAATTCCAGTAACCTCTGTTTATTCACTCGCTCAGTTATCTTAGATGGAGAGTACAGGAGATTATCCTGGCCCTGCTTCTTAAGCATCACTACTTCGGCATGTTTCCATCTTTGAGGGAAATATAGTAGTTTCAATATGGCGTTGATGATTTCACATAAGTAAGTGATGAAATTACCAATCCCGTGAGTGGAATAGCTTATTTCTTACGCCATTAGCGGTCTAGATAGTTAGGGCGTGTTTTTCATTCCATCGAAGAAAGTGCGCACTGATAGATGCGGTTTTTTGTCGTGACGTCACCAATTGTTCTGTTGGAATTTATGCTGGAAGGATTGAACAATGGTTTATACAACACATTGATGGAAACACGGATTTTGTTGTGTGTCAGTCATCATGTATCTTGAGAATCAGAAGAGGCTAATTCGATTTTATTGATTAACACTGACTCTTTCTTCTAAAATCTCTCAAGAATCTCAAAAATCCTCAATATTAATTGTTTTCTATCAAATCAAAACAAAAAACAACACTAAAATGTGCCAACTGTCATGTCAATCTCCTTCAAACTGCTGGATTCTCGAAATGCGATTTAAAAGTGCGCATTTTATTACAACAGTTTGATGGATGTCCATCAACATTCCAGTGGAATTTTGCAACAGTTTGATGGATTCTTCGATTCATGCGCATGATAAAATGTTGGTAAAATGAAAAACGCTCCCTTATTTATGTCAGTGGTTATATCTCGCTGTTTTCTTCGTTAGAGCCTGGAAACGTTGGACAACGGCAAACCGTTTGCCCAATCGTACGCACTCGACGTGCTGGGCAGCGTGAAAGTGTTGCGCTACTATGCCGGCTGGGCGGATAAAGTTCACGGCAAAACGATCCCGATGGACGGACCTTTCGTTTCGTACACCAGACATGAACCGGTGGGTGTATGCGGCCAGATCATACCCTGGAACTTTCCCATACTCATGTTCACATGGAAGATAGGTAAGAGCAAGTTACACAAGTTACTTTCGGCAAGGAAGCTTTTCAAAAAACGAAAAATCTTTCACATATTATTATTTATTATACGTCCAACACGGATGAATTAATGAAAACGCGAATGGTGGGGATATGAATGGATCAATCAATTCATTACTTGCAACTATGATAAACCTTAGTAAGTCTCAACTAGGAACTATTGAAATTACGCCAGTCGGGCAATTATAGCCACTCCCACTTTTGGGTATTTCAGTTTTGTGGAGTATTTCTTTCCTTCTAAATATATGGAAGTTGAGATGCTAAAAAGGGAATAAGTTTATATGAACTATGTCCTCTTGCTGGTGGAAGAAGTATGTACAGGTTTTAAAAAATGTAAAAAAAAACAATCACAAAGAAATACTCGAGCGCTTCAGATATAAATAGTGTATTCGACCCACGTGTTTTTATTTTTCTACGCGAAAACGGTACGTCAGACGGAAACCATTCAAGAAATCAAATTCTTGCAAAATAGATAGATTTTTCACCTTCTTGTTATATAGCAAGCCCAAAAATGATCTTGCCATCTCAACAAGATTTATAACAAGATCTCTTTAACACTGACAGGTAACATGGTTCAAAATCGTCGATTAGAATAGCACTTTTCAAGATCTGGTTGTTTACATTGCTATCATAGCAATAACTTCTCATAACAATATTGCTATTCACGAACAGAATCGACCCGATCGTGGATTTCAAAAATGATATTTATTTCTGGAAAAAGCAATTGCGTACAATATTTACTATCAGAAATATATCCGTAGTTTTTTTCTTGGTCATGGATTTTCTGCTTAAATATAGTTATTTATCATACAAGGAAAAAAGTAGTAGATTTTAGCTCCAGGTTGTGTTGTCTCCCGACGCGTAGCGGAGGGAGACAAAAAACCGTGAGCTAAAATCTAATATTTTTTCCGTGTATAATACACTATTTTTTTATGTGACAGGAGGAAGGACGAATCAATATTGAGAAGATATTACATTATTTCGAAATGTGAAAATTATCGACGTGAAATTTCAAGTTTTCAACAGTAGGGACACCTGCGTTTTATAGACATCTTTATCATTCTTTTGAAGTAATCAAATATCTGATGTCACTTCTGTCAGTTCAATTCTGTGATTTGATTTAAAAAAATTGCGGATTCAGTAGTTGTTTAGTAATATACGAAACCGCGAAGTCGAATGGAAGATAAAAGGACTTGCAGTTCTTTCTCGGAGACGGTATTATTGACTAATTTTTCGGAACTACAGCACAACAAAAGCCATTAACAGAGTATATATATGTGATACATATCCGGGAAAAAAGTACTCACTTCTTTCCCACGGGAAAAAAGTAATTTATGAAAAGTGACATTTTATAACCTGCCAACAGAGATGAAATGCCAAACTTTTTTCCCGTCACAGAAAAAAAATAATTTCTCATATATGTATAATCCATCCATCCAATCCCTATTTCAGTTTGAGCAAAACATTTGGTAGATATGTATAAGTTTATCTAGGTATATCTACAGTTATGTTGAGCTGAATCTTATTGATCCAATTTTTATCGGTTTCAGATGGTTGTTTTTATAATGATAAAATTAATTCGTGATTACGCAAAATGCAAAACAGTCAACGACCTTATCTATGATTCAGCAAAAATTACAGATGTCAGATAACATTAATATCAAGTTCACTCCTGATATATACAGAGTGATTCAGGATTTGAGGTTCAAACTGAAATGGGTGATAGATTTCATCATTTCAATTGAAAAAGTTTTTATCAACATCCGATCTCGATAGTGGATCTACAAGGGGTCAAAGTTTACTTATTTTTTTCTATTCATCAAAATATCTCCCTCACTTTCGAGGATATCTATTTGAAATTTGGTGTAGGTCAATACTTTCTAGGAATTCATTATTTCAAGCATTTTGGAGATTTTTTAAATCTACAGCGAATCATAATAGGCAAAATTAACATGTTATTGCACGGATATGCTTATTTATCTCGAAAACGGTGCGTTTCTCGAAAAAAATTGAGATGCAGATGAAGTATTTGAATTGAACGATTCACGCTATTTGGTAACTGTAAGATGTCAGAGGCGTACTATGAAAAAGTTTATGGGGAATAAAGAAGCCTCTTAACTCAAAAGTGAGCAAGATAATTCAACTAAGGGAAAAAATAATTTAACTTTGACATCCTGTATCTCCGCTACTGATCAAGATCGGTCACATATTTATACACACCTTTGTTGGTCAAAATGATGAGATCTACCACCCATTTCAGTTTGTACCCTTAAAACCCGAATCACCCTGTATATATATATATATATTCAACTTTAGAAATTGATGGTTAAAATTGAGTCTAATCACATTAGGTTGAAGAAAGTCCACATAAAAAATAGATAGGTATTCCAAAAATCCACTTTTTTCGGAATAACTGAAAAACTAAAAATATTGAAAATTCTTATCTCCCACCGTTTTCGAGATCCCCATGTATAAAAATGTCAACATGACCAATTCGATTTCGAAGCTCCCGCCCTGTCTACCGGCAACACGATCGTGATGAAGCCGGCCGAACAGACGCCATTGACCGCCCTGTATATGGCCCAGTTGATCAAGGAGGCGGGATTCCCCGCCGGGGTGTTCAACCTTGTGCCAGGACACGGGGATGCTGGTGCCGCTTTGGTGGACAACCCCAAGGTAGGGTCTTTTGTGTAGCTTGTATAACTTTTTTCCAAAGACCAGTGGTTCTGTAGGGAATTTCCTATAGTAGCAATTATTGTATCATACTGTATTCTGTGTATTAGATTAATTACTATTGTGATGGAGACGAGGAATGTTGATAAAAAAAAACACTTCGAACCGAGTGATCATAGGGAGTAGGTCAAGGTTTTCTTTTCCGGAGTTGGAACTCATCAGTGGTGAATTTATTGATGTGGATATTTGTTAATTTGTGTATTTGACTTATTTTTTTTTGTTTCTCAAATACTATCATCACTCGAATACCTTTCAATTTCATAATTTTTTAGAATTGTTCGGTCGATTTTAAGGTGCCAAAATGATCAATAATGTCACGATAATTTTCAAACGGCTAGAAATTTACCGTCAGTAAAAACTGACGTCACGATTTCGTAAATAGGGGCAGACCATAGCACAGTTGCCATATTATATTGAAATACGATAGGGAACTTCAGAAATATTAGTTATTCGATCAATTATGTATTGGTAATATTCCTAATTAGCAATATAAAATCAATTGTTTCAACATTTTTCCTTATAATAAAGTGTAAATCATAATTATATTAATACAGAGGACATTTGAACCGATAAACGTGACAACACGGCGTACGAATTGTGGGCGTGGTCTCGTCAGTTCTCAGCATTCAGCGCAATGTTGCCAAGTCTCCAACATTTACATGATATTTTGTTATGGAGAAGAAATATTTGGACATGCTGGTTGCTCGAAAAAGTCACTAATGAACTATAATATCACGGGTTCCTCCTTTTATGTTTTATTCAACGACAGGACTCTCAACATCTTTTTGATAACTTGATTATAATTGGTGACTTGGCAACCATTGCTTAATGAGTGGGAATGGAAGATTTTTTAACCAATAACGAAACTGCATAAAAACTGACGTCACTATTTATTCGACGTATCGTCAAATGGCGGCCATGACGTTTCGTTTTAAATTAGCTCTGAAATTCAACAATTTAGAACAACCCATAGACTCATTATTTACATTAAAAAAGCGTGAAAAGTGTTGGAAAAATAGTTATTTTTTATACAAGGGAAAAAGTAGTAGATTTTAGCTCCAGGTTGTGTTGTCTTCCGACGTGTAGCGGAGGAAGACAAAAAACCGTGAGCTAAAATCTAATATTTTTTCCGTGTATAATACACTATTTTTTTCTGTGACAGAAGAAAGGACGAATCAATATCGAAAAGATATTACATTAATTTGAAATCTGAGAATTATCGACGTGAAATTTTAAGTTTTTAACAGTAGGGACACCTGCGTTGTAGGCATCTTTATCATTCTTTTGAAGTAATCAAATATCTGATGTCACTTCTGTCAGTCTAATTCTGTGATTCGATTTCAAAAAATTGCGAATTTAGTGGCTCTGTTTAGTAATATACGTAACCGCGAAGTCGAGTGGAAGATAAAAGAACTTGAAGTTATTTCTCGGAGACGGTATTATTGACTCATTTTTCGGAACTATAGCACAACAAAAGCCATCAAAAGTATATATATATATATGTGATATATATCGTGGAAAAAAGTACTCACTTTTTTACCCCGGGAAAAAAGTCATGTATGAAATGTGACATTTTATAACCTGCCAACAGAGATGAAATGTCAAACTTTTTTACTGTCTATTCATTTTGACAGCATCATTCATACAAAATACATGGGTACTATCTTTATCAAAAGCGGATCGTTCGTAAAAATGTTTTCAACATTGTTTGTTTTTCTAATCAAATGAATCCAACTTTCATCCGTATAATAATCTATTTGAACAAATTTATGTCATGCTTTCATCGGTAATTTTCATTATCTAATTGTAAATGTAAATTCAACACTCATTTAAGTGACTTATCTTCATGGTCACATTAATTTGGTGTTTTGATAATTTGTTTTGATTTCAATATGCTGATTTCAGTAATCTACTTAAAGTACAAACTTTATGCCGACTCACTTATTTATACAGGGCCGCAAGCAATAACTTCACCACTATTTTGTTGGATATATCATAATAATAGAAAAAATAATTTCTATGGTTTGATAAACACTAAAAACTAGTAAAAATCATATACGTATTAATAAACAATACGGATCATAACGGGTGCCAGGATGAAGCCAAAAATATGGAACAAATGAATATCCATAAGGATTTGGTGGCATGATACGCATGCGCCATGCGCTATTGTAGTAGTCATCAAAGACATGCGTTTCGGTGGACAATGACGTTTACTAGCCTTTCAATCAAAGCAGTATGTTTCTGATCGTTTCAAAACTTTTCCTTATGGATAGTCATTTGTCTTCAAAAATCGGCTTCATGTTTCGCTATGGAAACAGATAGAGATTATCCGTATTGATTATTAATACGTATATGGTAAAAATGAGATTTTTTCCAGATGAACCAACAATTATTATTGTTCATGAATAAATCACAAGTTGTACCATAGCAAGGTTCCTCTTCCAGAGTTTCATATGATTTTGAAGATTTGAAAAGGAAATTATTATTTATTGAAAATGTACAATGAACAGATTTCCTCATTTTTCAAGGCTGACTCGATAATGAATAATTATTACGAATTAATTTAGGATGGAATTTTTTAGACACAAAATCGTAACACAAGTATCAACATCGTTAAAATCAATTGAAAACACTTTTAAATTTTTTTAAAGCCAGGTAAAAATGGTGGAAGTTAGAGCTTACGTCGTTTAATATAAGATATAATGTAGTCCAATTCAGGTTTTAAATCACTTAAATGTTTATATCATTTTGAAAATTTGAAAAGGAAATTATTATTGATTGAAAATGTACTATGAATAAATTTCTCAATTTCTCAAGGCTGACACGATAATAAATAATTAGTTCGAATTAATTTAGGATGAAGTTTTTCAGACACAAAATCGTAACACAAGTATCAACATCGTTAAAATCAGTGAAAAACACTAAAAAAATCGCGTTAGTTACTATTGGAACAAAAATTAACATTTGAACCTATTTCAAACCATCCCATTTGTTCTTATTTTCTTTTAAGACAGGTAAAAATGGCGGAATTAGAGGTTACGTCCAATTCAGGTTTTAAATCACTTGAATGTTTATAAAGAAATTCAATGACTGGTGTACTGTTCCGTTCTTGAAGTTTCAAAACAGGCCAGAATCCTAATTTTTTCACCCTGTATATCATTTTGCAACCGATAATCGATTTCAGGTGGACAAAATAGCATTCACCGGCTCAACGGAAGTGGGCAAACTGATCCAAGCGAATTCGGGCAAATACAATCTGAAACGCACAACCCTCGAATTGGGGGGCAAGAGCCCCAACATCATTCTCGCCGACGTCGATATCGAGACGGCTGTGGAACATTCGCATCAAGCCGTTTTCTTCAATCAGGGACAGGTGCGTCAATCATTTAGATTTTCTGTGATTTGTGTGTTTCAGTAGATAAAACTCTTGGAGATGTCTTCAGAAATGTAATTGGAGAAAGCAATCATAGGCCTTGCATCATCATCAGTCAAATACTAAGTAAAAATAACTTCCCTCAGGTACAGGGTTTAAGACTGATGATGAACATTTGGACGGTGGAAACATGGCTCAACCGTTATAAATCAGTGATAATCCTGTTTCCTGATAACAATTTTGAAAAGAACTTCGAGAAAACATCTCATTCTATGTGACCGAATGGGGAAGTTTCCTTTAGATGAATTTTCATAAAATAAGTTCGGAACTCTCCAGTTTTATGTCCACGCTGTACAGCCGAATGGCGACCGATAAAGTCCAAGTCGTTTTCATTTTCAAATTGAAGCAATTTCTAATTTTCGGGACGGCAAACTGTGACGTAGATGCTGAATCTAGTCTGAAAATATCTGATGGTGAAGAATATAGCTAGCGAATAGCTAACGAATAGCTAACGAATGAAAAACGAATGAAAAAAATAGAAGAAGTAAAACTGGTGAACAAAAACATACATAGCCACAAATGCACTCGGAGCAGGAATGCACAAGGTAGTTGGCTTCATTCTGACAGGTTATGGTTTTGTTATTTATGCATTGAAATATCTTGGAATAGAGCTCGATCCTAAACTAAAATATCATTGAATCAATGAATCACTATCGGCTATATTGAATGATATAATCCTTCCAAACTTCCTGCCATCTGTCAGAACAGAATGAAGCCGACACCCATGGTTCCTTCCTCTTGTTGTGCCTGTCTGTATTTTGAGTGGTGTGGACGGACTCGAAATATTAGGCGCTGTTGCAAGATATAATCTGCAACTTTCCTAGAAAATAGATTCGTTTTATCGAGGAACGAATTCATTAGCAAAAAAATTACTGACAAGTTATGAATAACATATTGTAATATAAAGATAGTGAAAAACTATAGATACTATCCAAAATATCATAGTTTATCTTCATTTGTAATCAACTTCATTCAGCCAATGAGAGATTTATGGGAATTATTTATAATACTTGAGAAAGTAGGATTGAATAACCTATTATATCCCATTGCTGTTATGATATAGTTATAATGCATTCAAAGAACAATTTCCGGAAATCTAGACATATTGATGAGGTCGGCAACATCGTGCTGGCACAGAGGAATTGTATTTTAACTCTGTGTGAATGTAGATTTTCAGAAAGTAAGTCATAGTAATGGTGGAGGAGCCAAGTTCCTCTTTTATTCATTTTTTCTGAAGTGAAAATTGATCTTACGAAAAAAAGAAAAAATTCGTATATATTAATTTTTACAAACTTCACAGTGAGATAAAAATATCAATATAGGAGATTTCCCATTCTTGCTGTATTTTAGTTTCAAGGTTTTGATTCCTTTGATTTATTATCAGATATTTCCTACTGCATCTTTTAAAATTGCTATATTTTGCGATGTGATCGTGGAGTGAATGAGTTCAACTAGTACTCAGCAGACTTTCATATCTGTCAAAAAATTTGGACATTTTTTTAATACTTATTCTTATACTAATTCTTTGGTGAATCCACCTCACCAACTAACTGATAGAAGTATTTTTTTTCACTCCATGTACAATGAAGATCTTCTCCGGTGAATTTCAAGTGATTTACGGAGGTTTCTGAGCTTGCTAAATATGCCAATGAGATTTCTTAATTTAGGTGTGCTGCGCTGGTACCAGGACTTTTGTCGAAGACAAGATCTATGACGAATTCGTCGAGAGGTCCGTGGAAAGAGCTAAGAAACGTACAGTCGGTAAGCCCAAAACAGGATTTTTTTTTCGTTTTTCAGTTTCAACATTTCATAAAGGAATTCACTTCTTCAGTGTTAATTATCATAATAAGAAATATTCCATTCGAAATCTCAATCCTGAAGTTTCAAATCCAATTGCCGGTCGAACTCTTACTTATTCAATTTCAACCTTTTTATTCTAATCAAGTTGCCCTTGAGTTAAGAAGTATACAATTAAAACGGGATAATTGAACGTCATAACATTTGAAATAATGATTTTTTCTTGAATATTACTTATGCCTATTAATAATTCAATTTTGAATTTAAGGCGTATTGAAGCAAAAGTCGTCTTAATCTTCTATTGGTGAAAATGAGTTGAATATTGGGAATCATCAATTCTTTTGAGTCACCATACACTACAAGTAGCGATCTGTTACAAAATTGTTAGGAATTAAATAGTGAAATCTAGCTGTCTTAGTAAAACACGCGATGAACAACAGAAATTACGTGACTGGACTGCTGGTATTTTACCATTGTTATTATTGTGATTGTTGTGTTTTGTGAAAATTCATTCGAAGTTCTTGCCGTGACTGAAACAGTTTTTTTTATTCGCGAGATTCACGAAGTGGGCGACATCTAGGTTACATAATACGAACTTCAAACTGGGGGAAAACAAACTGTTGTCTATGGATAAAGTGCATAGACTACATTGCATTCAGCTTGCTGTAGCTGTAGTCAAACTTGTCGATGACATAAAGTGTTGGCACTGTTGGTTGTGATGATTGTTGAGTTGGTTAATTTTTTTACATTATTAAATTTTTATCAGTTTAGTGAACAGTGAACAGGTGAAGAATATTGGAGATAGTTCAAACAATTCAAACTAATTATGACGAGCAAATCAATTGACATATAAAAGAACAGCTACAACATGTTTACAATACCCAGATTGTCCTGCATTGCAGGAACAAATACAAATCCATTGTTCTACAGGAGTTCCTCTGGACCCCAACTTCAATTTTACTTGATGTGGGGGAGATTTCATCGCCGAAGTTTTTGGACAAAGTGCCAAAATGTGCCTTTTGTTGAAGTCTTCTGCCTCACACAAAATCACATGATTAGCACGGAGAACTGCTTCTCCTTCCACTACTGGTCGGCTTTTTCTATATAAATAGAGAAAATTTTCCAAAAGAACATCTACTACAGGCATTATTAGCGTTTTCGATCGAATATTGATAATTAATGTCAAGAAATTTGAAAACTCATCACTCTTATCAGTACACGGTACACAAGCTAATGGCACTAATGGGATTGAGTGATGATTGAGTTTGTTCACCCCCAGTTTTGACGTGGCTTTGACATGGAACGATGAAAACCGAGCGCCACCTGGTATCATTGATTCCGGCGAATAGTGCATGTATTCTCAAGTGGAGTCGGAAATATTACCAACCGGAAAAAGAAAAATCATAAATATTGTAGCCAAATCAGTGAAATCCTGAATTTTGTCGTGACAAAACTTGCTGATGAGATTTCCACAGAACTCAAACACACGACATGTTTCGCTAACACAGTAGCTTCATCAGGTGATATACTGGTACAATGAACGGGGTTCATTCAAGCTACTGTGTTAGCGAATCATGTCGTGTGTTCGAGTTTTGTGGAAATCTTATCGTATGTGGAGTTTTTACATAATTTGACAAAACAGAGTTCATTGAATCTAATACATTTCAGTTGCTTTCAATCGTGAACATTTTCGGAATAATAAACCTGTTGGAAGTTCTTCTGTTTGCTCATGATAGATATGATAGATCATTATTTTCTTAAAAAAATGAGTTTTCTTCGTTTTCAGGCAATCCATTTGATCCGAAAGTGGAGCAAGGTCCCCAAGTCGACGAAACACAGATGAACAAAATCCTGTCTCTCATCCGAGAGGGGGCCAAACAGGGTGCCAAATTGGTGCATGGGGGCGAAAGACACGGCTCAGAGGGATATTTCGTCCAGCCCACGGTGTTCGCTAACGTCGAGGACAATCACATCATCGCCAAAGAAGAGGTGAGCAATTTAAAATAATAAAGGGAGCCCCAACAAGAGCACCCTCTGATAAAATATCGGGTACGCCACTGAAGTCACTATTTTTTGGTTCAGTTTTTTGTTTCGCAAATGTCGGCCTTTGGAGATTTTCATTTGTTTGTCAGAAGTCGCGATATTTCATGATCTCTCAATGTGCGACAAAGAAACTTCGATTTCTCTCGGATATTGTCGGAGAAATTCAGGAATTTTGACTGTTTTTTCCATTCTAAGGTCCTTAGAAAAAGTTGTTGTTTGTTGTTCATAACATCATCCAGAATGATATGGTATATTTGATACAAACACCTCAGTAGTCTGTTCTTTTGGAAAACTAAAATATCAATCATTAATCATATCATAAGTCCAGTTCCTGAAGAACAATTTTCAAAAATAACTATTCATTTTGTTGAAATTTTTTATTCTACACACACCGGCAAAAAAGACCGGTCACCGAAAACTTTACCCAAATTGTTCACCCTGTAACTTTCATGGATTCATGTTCCGGAATATTAGCCTACATATTAGACACATTAGGAATCGTAACTCTTGAAGCTCTGACAAGGCCAGACAAATGTGAATGAACCTCTGGTGTTCATCCCTAAAATGGTCTATAGATTCTAAAGTATTGTTAATAAAAATAAAAAACTGCCATACCTATACTTTGTTGAAAAAATTGTATCTTCTCTTAAAACGAAAATATTGACGTGAATCAAGAACCATTGTGTTGAGAAGGGACGAAAAAGGATCACACTTCAATTCAAAACATGATGAAGAATAGTTCTGAACTATTGTTGATGAAAATGAATGAAAATCCATACTTTCTTAAAACACTTGTATCTTCTCTTAAAAAGTGGTTATCGACGTGAATAAAAAACCATTGTGTTGAGAATGGATCACACTTCAATCCAAAACATAATGAAGCTAAGTTTAACCACTCACCTTTGCCACAGGGCGTTAAGAAGTTGAGGGAAGTATAACTTTTGTTTTCCCCTGTATAATGATCAAGCCATCAGCTTTGTCACGATAAAAGAGTTGGTGTTTTACCACCATGTCTCGATATAAAAAGATGGTTAATCCACCAATATCGATTTATCAGGGGTAATGCTTGGCTTAATAGTTTGCGAGAGGTAATATTATAATAGGCACTAATAGTTTAGGGGTAACTGAAAGTACGAGACTACATTCAAACATAACAATATATATTATAGCATGAAACATTATGGGTGAAGTGATGATAAATAGGAATAGACAACAATGAATATAAACACCTAATAACAACTTACATTATAGATACCATAACGACGAGCTCTTGTCAAGTCAAGAGTAGCCCCAGACCAGACTAACTTCGGAACCCTCACATCCAATATTTATATACATCATTTTATCAGAAATGCACGTTTCTCATGAGAGTTCCTTGGTCAGTTTTTATAATTCAATGTCAACGGATGATTTGATTTACTTTATGTTTATAAAACCCTCATGGTTCGAAATTACTGATATACCGTATGTTCTACTCGTGACAGCTTTTCTTAGGACCTAGTCTTCTGGCTAACATTCCGAAACATGAATATACGATTTGGTGGTAATTTCACAAAGATTGGACGAGAATTGAAAAAGTTACAAGGTGAAAAATTTGTCAAAATTGTTTGGTGGCCGGTTTTTCCTGCCTGTGAGTGTATGTTGAATAATATACATATATATATATTTCAAGTGTGGAGTGATTGGACCGATGTACCTGTATTTCAGATTACCTATTGGCGAAAACTCAATTGAAAAGTGAAGGGCCGTGGTAATGCCCTTCCATGGGCGGTCTAGAAACTTTCCAATATTCGCACCTCCCATTTTCCAAAATGGAGGTTATAAGTAATGTCAACCGTTCCCGTATGAACAATCTAAGAATCTTTTGAAATTGTTATTATTTGCGGTACCGAAACAAAATATTATTCTCCGTCGCTGTTGGCGGCATATCCTCAAAGGATTTGCAGACACATGACCGGTCAACTTTTTTTTGTGTATCAAGTTACTTTGCAAAGATTATACACCATATTGCAGTTTCTAATTCTCTTGTCAGCTGTCTTGTCGTAGAGATAAGTGACATATTTCTGGAAGTCAAAATTAGAGTTGAAAAACAGCATAAAACATCCAACTGCACTCAATTCACCTTCAAGTGTCAGCAGACGACTTTCGAATTTTGAAACTGTCATTACAACCACATGCATCGTTATAGCTTCCGCCCTAGTAAAAGATGCGAACATTTTTTATCCTTCACAATGTTGGCGTGCCTTTTCGTCTACTACTAAATGGGTTGCGTGCAAGAACTGTCAGATGACCGACCCTGGAGGTGAAACACAACCTCACTTTTCTTATTTGTTTCCAAATGATTGAAATAGTTTTTTACTATTATTTTGGCATACGAATCGTGTTTTTCGGCTATTCATTAATTTGCGCATGCCATCACATTGTGCTGTTGTACAATGCACAAAAAGTGCAATGAGAGACGAAGAAATCCGGTTAATACATTATGATTTAGAAGTGAGTACCTACTATTGTCAGTCACATATAGTTTTCATTTTGAAACTTGGTATTTTCTCTGATTTCTCATCGGAATTCCTTCTGTAATAGGAGCTAATAGTGATACTAGTGAAATTCCTAAAGGAATGCAAGAAGATTGGATTCATGCAATCAAATCGGTAGGACTGGTCTGACATGCTGACGAAATATGATCGTTTGTGTTGTAGACATTTTCCATCTACTAGCAGTATTAGCTTCTATTGTGGAAGTGGCAGAAGGAATTTTAATAAGAAATGACAAAATTTCATTATGAAAATAATGTGTGATTACTATTTACCTGAAAAATCATATTCCTTCGTCTCTCGCTGCATTTTTTGTGTATTGTACAACAGCACAATGAGAAGGCATGCTGGAATTGATGAATAGCGCAAAAAACACGATTCGTATGCCAAAATATTGTGAAAAACTATTTCAATCCTCTGATTCCTCTGTAAACAAATAAAAAAAGTGAGGTTGTGTTTCAATGACTTACAGAAGAGTGAGGTTGTGTTCAATATTTTACCTCATGCACGCGAATTATATAGCAGTCCATATAAGCGAAGCTAGAACCCTATATTCTGAGGTTAAGACGAACAAAACTTGAAATCGGTCAACGAATAATAAAATCTTCATCGTCATCATCGTTCCTTGGCTCTCTTTTCGAGAAAATAAAAACTAAAAAGTAAAATGGTAATGTTTTGTTCAGATCTTCGGCCCCGTCCAGCAACTGCTGCGCTTCAAAGATCTGGACGAGATCATCGAGCGGGCAAACGCGACCAACTACGGCCTCGCTTCGGCCGTCTTCTCCAAGGACATCGACAAGGTCAATTACATCACGCAAGGCTTGAGGGCAGGCACCGTATGGGTCAATTGCTACAACGTGCTGGGCGCTCATACACCATTCGGGGGCTTCAAGGACTCCGGTTTCGGCAGGGAGATGGGCGAGTATGGGCTGCAGCAGTACACCGAGGTCAAGAACGTCATCACCGCCGTACCGGCCAAGAATTCTTGATGAGTTTGTGGTACATACTGTTCGGTTTTCGGTTAGGGTTGCTCGACCTGCTGAACTTGATTTGGTTGTCTTTGTTTATCGATGTGTACAGAGTTGACCTTAGGGAACATCTAGTTTTGGAGGTTGAGCCAGCACTATCAAGCATTTTCATTTCATCTTGAATGGCAGTGGCACGAATTTATTACTACCCGAATAGAAGCATCTAGAGACAGGACGCACAATCGATGCGGTAACAACAGAGAAAATTTCTGACCGAGAGCTTCGCTTACGGCCGATCCTGACGAAAGAAAATCATTGATATAGGGAATCACTATCGGCCCCAACAGTAAATGCCTCCACATTATTTTTGTCAATAACTTCGAAAAAAGAAAAACTAGGTGGTGTACAGGATTCCAACTCGCGACCTTTGGTTCATCAAGCACCTTGAATTCATTTGTTCATTACTTTCTCTTTAATACATGGACAATTTCAACACAACAAACACATTTGATATGGCTAGTGATAGCTAGGAGGGTGTACGATCTGCGATCAATGTCCTAGTCAATGAATCTCATCTCCTGAAGTTATATTCCTTACAATCAGACGTTTCCCAGGTGAACTCAGTTGGGTTAGGTTCGAATACGAACATAAACTTCATGGTAATTTGCTGTGTTGATGAGGGAAAATGAAAAATAAAAACCTTCTTTAGTAATGGTCGCCTTGGACTTGCGCTCGCTAACCATATTGAGTGGCCACGCCCAGAATCGGCCTCAGCCAATCAGCCATAAATATGAGCAACGAATGCGCAATGAGACATGTTTGACTCCAGCGTGTTTAGTGCCACGGTGGAGCCATGATGCTTTCTTGAATTTTCAAGGACATCGCTTACTCAATGTCCTAGAAAATTCGCGAAATTTCATATTTTCAGGATGAGAATCCTACAGATCGATGAGGGGTTCTCAAGCACGTACGTTTCTCCATTGGCCATTTTGTTTCTTGCGAGGATATGTACAAAACAGATTTAGACCGGAGGAATAATCCTCACCAAACGGATTATTTGTAGCATCCTCAACACACGGTGCTTCATTTCGGGGAGTATTGAATTAGTGCCTGTCATTCACATTAAGAAATGTCATATTTGTCAGATATCTTTCCTTCAACTTTGAGAGAGCTCTATGTATGTGTTTGCTTTAACTTTGTGCCATTATCGTTTGGAACGAGTGGCCGAATACCAAAATACCACGTACCATCTTTTCATTGGTTACAATAGATCTCGTGATACATTATCGGCAGATTTCAAGGTCATCATCTGACGTTGCGATGGAAAAAAATATGTCTAATTGCTGCATACTTCGATCATCAATGTTCGGAGGCTGCATAGATTGAATCTGTGTCGTCAATATTGGAAATAATTTGAAGATTCACTTGTTTTTCAATCAATAAATTTCTTTCTTCAGGAGTGAAATCGCTATCACTTTTCGTTATTCATATCCATATTATTGTTGATACAACTTCAGAAAAGAGGTTATGTGACATAAAATTGAACTATGTACTATCCTGCAGTTATCCTACTTATCCGCTAGTTGAAACTAATTAGACCCTTCAACTGCTGGATAAATCTCAACATAATGTCAATAAACCCACCTTTCTAAACTATGTGGTAGTTGAGCATTATCTGACAGATAAATTGTTTTAGATGAAGGGGCCCTGAAAGTCAGATTAGGTCAGGTATTGCTAATGATAACCTTGAAATACGCCATGCCTCTAACCTGAAAAATTGATACAAGACTTCAATAATAACCTTACATGGGCGGAAATATGTTTTATTTGGTTATTGATAGAATACCCACTGTTTGAAGTAGTTGTAATTGACAATATACTCAATATTTATGCATTCAAAAATCATTATTGGTTCAGGAAAAAAGAAATAGGCCTTTTCATTGAGATGACAAATGATTATCTGTGTTTACATCTCGCATCCAACGACAGTGGCGGCCATTTTCACCGAAACACTTGCACCACACTCCTCAGTAACGAATAGTTAACGGTTTTTCGATTTAAATTAATATAATACAATTGATACTCACCAGGAATATAGAAACGAAAATACTATATTGTTATTGTTGTTTCTCAATGACGAATGCCCATGGTGGCTGACACTGTTGACATTTGTCAGAACCTCAATAAAAACCGCCATATTCGAAATGGCCAATCAGAATTTTGTGTCGGAACTATAGCTAATGAGACTTCACCTTCGCATTACCCAATCAAATTTTGGATCTAAAAACGAGCGCATGCGTCTTGAAAATATATCTACAGAGTGACCCATTTGAAAGCGGGCCACCCCTGTATCTCACGTAATCGTTGGGTAAGGATCATGAAATTTGCTGGAGCGAGATATATACCAAAAATGCACTCTATAACCAAGTGGGGTCATCTTCCGTGATATACACTGCTCGCCAACAGCCATGGAACCACCCCAATTTCCTGAAAATGATATTAGGAGTCAAAATAGGTTGAAAATCACTTCGGATTCGGAATCAGGACGCCCAATTCACTAACTATTCATATTTTTCCTTGAAAATTTTCAGTTCTGAAACATTAAATTTTGTCGCACTTTTCATGGAAGCACCCCCCGTATCTCACGTAATTATTGAGGTAGGGTTCAAAAATTTGCAGAAGGAACGGAAAGTCCAAAGATAAAGTCAATTACGTGAGATACGGGGGTGCTTCCGTGAAAAGTGCGACAAAATTTAATTTTTCAGAACTGAAAATTTTCAAGGAAAAATATGAATAGTTAGTGAATTGGGCGTCCTGATTCCGAATCCGAAGTGATTTTCAACCTATTTTGACTCCTAATATCATTTTCCGGAAATTGGGGTGGTTCCATGGCTGTCGGCGAGCAGTGTATATCACTGAAGATGACCCCACTTGGTCATAGAGTGCATTTTTGGTATATCTCTCGCTCCAGCAAATTTCAGGATCCTTACCCAACGATTACGTGAGATACAGGGGTGGCCCGCTTTCAAATGGGTCACTCTGTATATGAAAAGGCCTATTGACAAAATTTAGTCACGACATATTTAGTGCATTAAATGCGGTTCCAAATTTGATGAAACAAATTCATCCAACACAGTAAAATATATGTATCACGTGATCTATTGCAACCGCATCGAAGATGGAATGGTTTGTGATGTTTCATCTCATTTATCGAATAATTTTGAGGTAGCACCATCTGGATTATCAATGGTTATTCATTGCGCAAATTATTAACGTCCAATTCAGGTTGAATTCTTCCTCAAATGTTTATAGGCACTCTATGCGTTTGTAGAGTGAGTATTTTCGTTATTTTTCTTTATATATTTATATATATATATAATTATGTTATCTTGTCATATATGGTGTCATTCTGTCGTTATTTGAAATTAATTCTGTTTAGTTCATAGTTCCACATTTCTAATCATTCTAACCAAAATAATTGTCTCGTACTTGGTACACTAATATTATATGTTAAGATTATGATATATTACAATATTTTTATCAGATTTTTTGCTTTTTACTTACCCACACTGATATATGTAGTTGGATACAAGGGGTGCGTTTACACTATACAAACTGTGAAGTTTCAATCGAGAAAATGTGTAATATTCCCGGGACAATAAAGGATGGAAAATCATCAATTTGAATTATCTTGGTTATCTTGGTACCTAAAATTGAGAAGTGCAGGAAATAATTCTTTTGGTGGATATTGAATCTCGAAAGGAAAACGTTTATCGTGATGAAATGGATCAGTTTCTCACAGCAGGTAAATATGAGTCATGAAAATAATGTTACATACCTTACTAATTAGTAATTTATTTCATTAATGTTCCGTTCTTCTCCTTTATTGTTATGTCCATTTATGTAAACTTAAAATAATAATGAATTTCTATGCATTATCTGCTATCCCTGTTTGGTTCTTTAAAAGGTTTTACATGCAGCGCCTCCAAGTTGCAACCGATGATAGAAGAATTAGAACTTTGTCGTACATCGAATACGATACTAAATTCGATCGCCTTGGATCTTTCCAAGTGAAATTTTCACTTGTAATACCACTAGAGGTCAAATTATTTCCGGAAATTTTTTCGAGCTCATGGATATTTTGAAAATTATTCCGAGTCGAAGACGATGGATAATTTTCGAAATATTCTCCGTAATCGTTTGAAATAACCCTATCAAACCCGCGGTATCGTTGACTTCGTTATGATTAGTTATGATATATAATCCCTAACCAGTTAATGGAATAAAATACAGGGCTGTCAAATGTAATCCATTTTGTTTATGAGTCATTAGGAAGGTGCTACGCGATGCCATTCAAAGCAGTGTTTTTTTCTGATTATCTTGTCAAATATAAGCAAGATATTTCAGGAGGGGATGAAATAACTTACAGTCACAACTCCACCACTTATAAACAATTCAATAATCAATGACCAACAAAAGGACATGTTTCGAAGGATCAATCCTTCATCATCAGCAAGCAAGCGAGACATTGCCTGTATACGATAACTTTGAACACCCGGTATATTAAACTGAATGTTTGTCTCTGTGTATATGTCCTTTATAGAATCGTAAACGGCTGGACCGATTTCACTCAATCTTATTTTGTTGCGTTTGTTATTGTCAGGAGAAGGTTATTCTTATGAGAAAAAAACAATAAATTCAAAATGGCGGATCCAATATGGAGGGCGAGTTTTGTTATTATAATCCGAATCTACTCAAAATTGGTATCTGGGGGTTTTTGGGGCCGGGGATCATGATTCTTTCATCAAAATTCGAAAATTCAAGGTGGCGGATCCAATATGGTGAACGACTTTTGTTTTGATTCTATTCAAAAAATTGGTATCTGGGGTTTCTTGGGGTCGGAGATTATGATTTTTTCCTCAAAATTTGAAAATTCAGGATGGCGGATCCAATATGGTGGATGCGACTTGTCATTATGATCCGATTCTGTTCAAAATTGGTATCTGGAGGTTTTCGGGTTCGGAGATTCGGAAATTTTGGAGATTCAATATAGCAGATCCAATATTTTATTTCATACGAGTTTATTTATTATGATCCGATTCTATTTAAAATTGGAATTTGAGGATTTTCGATCGAGCTTTGTAATAGTGTTTCGAAAAACTAATTAAAGACGCTTTAATAGGTAGCCAAACTAAACAGAAGTAGACAATAATAAAAGTGTGATATTTTCTAGAAATAATGTACATAGTAAAACAACGTTTGCCAGGTCAACTATATAGTCAATAAAATGACTCGAAATATATATCAGATATTTGTGTTACTGTCTTTCCTTCAGATTCATTCTATTAAAGCAGCACACGCAAATACAAGACTGGAATTGATCAATTGTATTGCCTATAATTATGTTATATTAATTTGTTTAAAATTTTTGTATGGGGGTATTACAGCTATGCTTGAATCGAATAGACTACCCTCTTTTTCGAAAAAAAAAAGCCTGAGTCGTTTTTGAAATGTTGACCCCTTCAAGCCCTTATTCAGACCCTGATGAGAATCTGAATATTTCAGATTTGTCCACGAAGAGAGCTCTAGCTATATTATCGAATTTTTGTTTTTCAAAATCAGTCAGGATTCTAAATCAGAATAGGGTGTCACGAGTTGACATATCGCTTATCTTAATATTTTATTCAAATGTTATATATACCGAAACAAAATATTATTCTCCGCCGCTGTTGACGGCAGATTCTCAAAGTGTTTGCCAACACGTGATTGGTTAATTTTTTTTGTGTCCATCAAGTGACTTTGCATCTTTGGCTTTGCAAACACTTTATATACTGTGGCCGCACACTAATATCCCTAGTAGACAAGGTGTCGTCAGATAACAAAGATGTTGAGAAGTGTGATTAGAATTCGAAATGTAGTTGATAAACTACAAAAATGTAGTTATTCTGCCCAGGCTCTACCGGTGCCACAAGAGTCGCCCAAAGTGCTGTATTCTGGGGTAATTATAATTCACTTTTTTTCTCTCATAATATACCTATATAGAATAGAGTGTAGCAAAGCAGATCGCATCACCTGGGAATGTTCGCGATATTGTCAGGGTAATGGATAAATAATAAATAAAGTAGGAAATTAATTTGTGATCAATTTGAATCAGAGTATTCCTGGTTTTGGATATCCTTGCGTGATATAACTCTCGATAAGAGAATCGCTACCTGCTCAGGTAAGTTGTAAAGCCTCTAGAAGTGCCTGTGGTATGGCCTCCGATATATTTTGGATTTTCATATTTTTATTTTCAGATTCTTATTGTGAATAAAAATATCTTATTAACTGCTTTAACTGACTGAATTTCATTGCTACACTGGAATATTAGTATACAGAGTGATACGTAAAACTAGAATTAAGATGTTTGATATGTTTCCATAGTTGTGATATGTATTGGTTGTGATCATATGGCAATAATATACACACATATGGATATTTTCAGTTCTTGTTTTTGTATGGGGTGTTTATACTGCTATAGTTTCCTGGAAATAACTGTGATATCAGGATGCCATCTCAGAGATTTTTATGTAATATAATTCAACAACTTCAGTTAAGAAGCAGTGAATTCCACATTTCTGTTATACCCAGATGATTCACAAAAAACTCGGAGACCTCAATTCTGTTTTTTGAAGTTCCACATTTTTCAACCAGTTTGAAAATATATAAAGAGATCGAGTGATGCAAATCTGAGTGAAAATAAGATACCTTGCTTTCCAAATGGTGATATAAACTGGGATATATACCTATGAATAAAACACCTATATTTTCACTGAGATATATATATGCATTACCCTGTATATTTTTTGACAAACCTAGTTGAAAAATGGGACATCAAAAAACAGAATACCATGAATATTGAATTCATTCAACCCCGTTGGCCAACGGCACTGAAAAACTCCTCTATCGGGGGAATAAAAATACTCAAGCGGACAATTAATTGCAGTCTCTGAAAAGCCTCAATCGGGCCGAAGATATGCCATGAATGCAGTATACATTTGAGTACTTGCTTCTGCCCTTCAGAAGCCCTGCAATGTAATAAGCGGCATACTGATCCCAGCGAGCACACAAACATCTCAGAGATGTTAAAAGTACGAGATTTCGAGACATTGAACCTCCACTGCGATGTTCTGTTCACACATGAATAGAACTATCATAGAACAGCCAATGTCCGCCGCAGGCGGCAATTATCGAGATGTCCTTGATATGTCACAAAACTACCTTCTCCCTAGTTCTTTTTAATTAAGCCTTTTCATGGACACTACAGAACATTTTCAACGCGTCTTGTGCACATTGAATCGCTGTAAAAAAACCATCTTCGAGGTACTTTTCTGAAGCCTTTTGTCAAAATGAACTTTTGCATTAGGATTCCATTTCCCTTGGAATAAAAAAATGCATTAAAAATAGATTGAACATAAAAATATTTTCTTGATATGAAATTACCTCCTTAATCGGTTTCTGAGTAGTGCTTACTACACACAGACATATAATTGGAAATAGGTTTCAAAATTTTTGAAATGTTCTCCACAATGCCTAATTTTGCAACTGCAGAGAAGCTGATGTGCATTGATGAATTCGTACTTTTATATATTGATCACACTGAGGCACCGAACAACACATCTTGCATCTGATGGTCATTATTACAAACTAAATAAGTCTTCTAACACAATAAACTTCACCAAATTCCTTTCTGTTCGTTAGCAGCGTGATGTAAGCGTGACACGCTGCAAACGCGAATGCCAATTGCGAACAAGAAGAACAAAATCGAAAACAGAAATCAGAATTCATCGTATTGTGACGTAAGCATGAGACGTTGTGGTGGGATAAACAAAGAAAAAGGGCACAAAAGAACAAAAACAATACTTTCAATATCCTTCTAAGACCTCTTTGGGAAGTGCATATTACGCCTCAAAAACACATGCATCCTCATGCCTACATTTCTAAAACATCCCAAAACATCCCAGGGATACCTCTCAGTAGGCAAACAAAGAAATGCCACAGAATAACAAAAACAATACTTCAATATCCTTCAAAGACCTCTTTGGTCAGTGCATATTACGTCTCAAAATAACATCTTTATGTCAACATTTTCAAAACATCCCGGGATGTTTGTGCTCGCTGGGATGGCTGTAGAGGGGCGGTCGGCTGTCGGCCGCCGGGACACGGGCTAGCCGGCCCAATTTAGTTGTACAATAGAGGACCGCTGTTACCGCTCGCCGGCAAGTTTCATTGTACCTTTAGAGGGCCGCAAAAATCATGTTTGCTGGGTTGTCTCACTAGTATAAATTGATCAGTAGAAAACGGCATCCTGATGGGTATGTTCAGATTTGAAATCTTTTGATATGTCCATTTTTACCAATCATTTGTCTGCTGTATATGGAGAAAAAAATCTAGTGAGCGTAGTATACAGCTCTGACTAGATTGTTCCACCAAATTTTTAGCAGACAATATAATGTTACCATGCAATCAACTTATGGTTTGAACGAAATATCTTAAAAATCAGATGTAGGTATAGTTTAGAAAAAGATAATTTCTAGTGGACGTTGTTTCCATGTCAGTAGGTATTTTATTCATGAACAAACCATTTTGGTGTATTCAGAGGGTGTCCCTAAATTAGCCAGCCAAACGTCACCAGTGGCTTCTGCGACCAAATATAGGAAGAAGAGATCCAATAAACATGGGTAGTTGAATGTCTCCTAAGAGATGAACCACACTCCCCCTGTAATGGGGCTACTGAAGATGATATTTCTTGAATATATTCGAAACGTCATGTGACGAAAATGATGCAATTCGGTACAAGAATTCAAAAATTTTATTCAGGAGTGTATAAATATACACATATGGTGTGGATTTTCATAATCCGAGATGAAATTGTCGAAAAATATGCATTCAAAAAGCAGTGTATCCTGAATGACATTTTGTAATGATTTTATTGTTACTGATATGCATTTTTGCATTTAATATGGCGTTTCGGGAATATTTAAGAAATATCATGTCGTCTTCAGTATAACCCCATTTCAGGGGGCCGTATTTTCCCCAGAAGCCGCTGATGGTGAAGTTTGACATGCTAACCTCGGGACACCCTGTATAATATATTATCCTCATCAGACATGGTGAAGAAATTGGAATATACAGTGTGGTCCTTTTAAAAAACAAGACTTATTCTAGTCAACCACGAAAAATCTTAATTTTTCAACCACTCTGTATGTTATAATGAAAATATTCCTGAGCGATCTTGAGCTCTCGGGCTCGACTCGACTATTATTCGTCCTCGAAAACTACTTTGGATAGATATTAGACAAATTTGATGTAACTTCAACGTAGATTCAGACATAATTTTCAGGGTGTTCCATTTGAAATAATCAAATTGCTCCTGCTTTGTGATACAAGTGGCAACACTGTATTGATGAAAATATTTTGGGCGGGTAGAGAATGCTCGATTATAGATGCATTCCATTTTTCAAAATGATATCTTTCCGTTCTACTCCTAATACGCGCCATCATCCATCGTTGAATATCACCCTGTATATGATTTATATTTCAGGTAGGCATTGATCATCATTGATGTTATTTTTAGATATAAATAGTACTTATATCAGTATTGATTTCAAGGTAAGTACTTATGTAAACAAGATAATTCGTCTCCATTTATATTATCTAATAATAGCGTTATATTTATTTTTATTGATATCAAAGCTAACTTGATGATACCTAATAATCCTGATAGTTTTACTGAACATGGATGATTATAGGTATGATTCAACTCTATCATTGCATTTTATCGAAAACGGTTAACAGCTCTTGATGAGTACCGCCTAATCAACTTTCTGCAAAAAAAAGGGTTTTATAAATCTCAATGAGGTAGTACATCGCACAAAAGTTTGTTTCAAACTATATAGACCCAACGTTCTCATTATTTTAGTTTAGACGATCCTATATTTTTTCAAATTACCCCCTCAAGACTCCTTCGCCAAAATTTGAAAAAATTTACGAATCATGTACTTATATAATAATTGCAAAAATCACAAAGAATTATAGAACCATGATTTGTATAATGATATGAGAACTTGTCAGTCACTTATATAAGACCTAATTTTGCCTCAAGGAATGCTCAAACAAACTATGAGTGATCATAATATAAAACAATATCTATTGATATTACTATTTGGAACACTCTGTATCCCAAATTTCAGCAAGCTAGGACACACGTTGATATGAATCGATAGTACCTACTGAAATTAGCAAAAGGAGTTACATTTTTCAGTGTGTATAAAACATGAAACATGCATGCCTTTTCTCTAGAAAAGCCGATCTCACTGTGCCCAACATAAGCTTGTCAGGGGTAACCATACCTTTGAAGACATCCATTTCGATGCTTGGTATTACTATCAGCAATAACCTTTCTTGGGAAAATCACGTGAGATCAATTGCTAAAAGTGCATCCCAAAAACTTGGCTTTCTGTTTCGGGCCAGAAGCTATTTCACTTACAGTCAGCTGCGTATGATCTATAAGGCACAGATCCGACCTGTCCTGGAATACTGTTCCCATATTTGGAGTGCAGCACTCAAACATACCCTGAAAAACTTTTGGATTCTGTCCAAACAAGGGCGATTCGTCTCGTGGGTGATGCCTTGCTCACAAACTCACTCACTTTCCTGAAACACCGTAGAAAAGTTGGCGATCTGGCTCTAATATTTTATAGATATTTTCATGGACGATGCTCTTCTGAAATATCAACAATTGTTCCTCCCTTGGCAGTCCCCGCGAGTTTATCCCGTCGAGTTAAGGCTTCGCACCCCTTCGTGGTCACTTTGGAGACCTGCAGAACATCTCTTTGCAAAGACTCGTTCATCCAACGAACAGCGAGGCTCTGGAACACATCACCAAGGGAGGTGTTCCCCGAGGCATATAACCTCCAGAAATTTGAGAAAGAACACCAATTCCTACCTCATTTGGCTTGGTTCTCACAATGTTCTATGAACATTACAGGATATCCCTTTTCGTGGGAACCAGAACATAAAAAAATTAGAAACACCTTGTATTTTCCAGATTTTCATAAATAACGAGTGGCACAAATCAAAATCTGGCGAAACATTCGAAACCATCAATCCTGCAACCGGCAAAGCCATAACGGAAGTCCAACGAGGCTCCAAAGCTGACATCGATCTAGCAGTCGAGGCAGCCTCTGAAGCCTTCAGGTTCAATTCAAAATGGCGGACGACGGATGCGTCGGAAAGAGGGAATTTGCTGTTCAAATTGGCTCAACTTGTAGAAAGAGATGCTGTCTATATCGCAGTAAGTATTACACCATGGGCGCCGCCATAATTACTTTCAGGAGGGTGCATCTGATGCATCTACACATAAAAAAGTAACTTCGATAAAACTGTTTCGTGTTATTAGATTTATCATTGATGTATCGTATAGTCAAGCAGTTAGGTTTGGAATTTATTCAAATGGATATTTTCAATAATAAAAAGATGCCAAAAAAATTATCATTCAAAATATCTATCACATATAGGTACTTCATCTATCTTACCAAAGTTCAGGACAGTTCTGGTAAAATTACAATAATTCAAAAATCTCAAGAACAAAAAGTTGCAGTAAAAAAACGTTTCTCCGTGAACCTTTATGAAATTCAAACGAATAAGTATGTCAGTTTTCAGTAAATACAGTAAATAATTCGAAAAGTAACAAGTTGGAGACAAAACTATAATTATACAGTGCATATTATTGGTTCATTGATAGTATACATATGCAGTTTGAATGATTCTTTGAACATTTTCATATTTATATATATGGTACCACTGAACACATTTTCAAACATATTTATCATCGATACTTCCACGGGAAATGTTCTTCGGAAATCTCTGCTATCATCCCTTCACTAGCAATACCAATCAGACGAACTAGACAAGCCCAGTCAGCACATCCTTTCGTCGTCAACCTCGAAAGATGTCGAACAGCACTTTATCAAGACTCCTTCATCCATAGAACGGCTAGGCTCTGGAATTCATTGCCTGTGGAAGTATTCCCAACAACATATAATCTCCAGAAGTTCAAAAAAATTCCAATACCTACATCCTGTCCCTATCCTCCCTAGGAACGCACGATGTTCTTTGAACATTATAGGGATTCCCTTTCGTGCGCTCCAAGCGATAAAAAAAAATATTCAAAGGAACCTTGGAATTTGGATGAACGATGTTGGGATATAGTAAAATGAATCAGCATTTCTAACATTTGCTGTATGAATGGTAGTTGGTAGATCTTTTGATGAGTAATTCATGCAAGTCATGTCTCAGTAGACAACACCATAATTATAAACAATTGATGGATATAAACATATGTGACCCGTCTCTCAATTTTGAGTATTTTCAATTCATTGTAAAATGGTGTTACTTGTGCCCTGCATTTAACCACAGATTCTACATACAGGGTGTGCCGAAAGTACATAGAAAGATTTCAACCACAGATTCTATAGGAACAACAAAAATAGTAACCCTCTGTGTTGAGATAACGAAATTTCGTACATGTGTCACTCCGATTTTGAAATGTTGAGAATTTTCCGAAATGTTTTTATTAGGGTCCTGGGAAATAGGTGAGGCTAACGGCGTTTTTTTATGCAATTTTTCGCAGTGTGACCAGTCTTTCATAATTGTTGAGTTAGGTAGGATTTTTGCAAGAGCTAAAATACACACTATGACCAAGTGGAGTCGTTTCCAGTGATATACACTGCTCGCCCAAGCATGGAACCACCCACAAAAATGATATAAGGAGGCAAAATAGGTTGAAAATCACTTCGGATTCAAATTCAGAACGCCCCTTTACCTCAATAATTACGTGAGATACGGGGGTGCTTCCATGAAAAGTGAGACAAAATTTAATTTTTCTGAACTGAAAATTTTCCAGGAAAAATATGTATAGTCAGTGAATTGAACGTCCTGATTTCGAATCCGAAGTGATTTTCAACCTATCTTGGCTCCTAATAGCATTTTCCGGAAATTTGGGTGGTTTCATATGGCTGTTAACAAGCAGTGTTTATCACTATGGAGATGACTCCACTTGGTCATAGTGTTTATTTTCAGTATATCTCCCGCTCTTGTGAGTTTCAGAGTCCTATAACTAAACAATTACGAAACATACAGGGGTGCTTCCATTAGACGTGAGACACACTGTATAATGTTCATCTTGAGTGAATTCTGATCTTAATATCTCTTCATCTGGAGTTCAAGCTTCAAAATGAGATTTAAAAAAAGGGTTGACAAGGAAAAAAGTTATGATTGCAAAACCGGAAAGTTATTTTTTTGAGATCACTCTGTAAATAAAAGAGATAAGAAGACAATTTGAAAAATGTTCCTATAGGTAATGAGATCATCTTCATGCCTCTGCTGTCAAGTTTGCAAAAAAAAAAGTCTCTGTTCATCTGGGATTCTTTTGAAAATTCCTGAATTAGTCAGATAGATTTATTGAAGCTTCCAATTTAAAACAGTTGAAAAACCCTAGTCATATTACAAACTTGGATATAAATATATGTGTAAATTGTCGTCAAAAGTAAAGTGATTGAAAATATAGCTTAACTAACACTAAATTGAATTGATTAAAATATCACAGTCAAAACAATATTATTGTAAAAGAACACATAACATGTACAACGAGAATTACCTAAGTTATTTCTCATAGAATTCTTGTAGTGAATATGATTCTATATCACACAATAGATCGAAAACATGTTTTTTTTAATTCTTGGTACAGTCTACTCTGATCTTCAAGGGTATATGGTTATAAAATTTAATATCTGCATAGTACGGTCCTTTCTTAGTATTTTCAATGTATGCTTAGGAATAATGTAATTTGATTTTTGCCTGGTGGCATATTCATGTTTGTATCTGTCTCTTTCGAATTTTGATTTATTATCATGTACAAAAAGTACACATACAGAAATATAGATCGCATATACCGTTAGCATTTTGTGATGTTTGAAAATACCACGACAAGATTCTGTGAATTTCATGTTCAGCATAGTTCGCATGATTCTTTTTTGCATTAGAAAAATACGTTATAAATGAGTACTTCCACCCCATATCAAAATTCCATACTTCAGAAACGGATAAACGATCCCATAGTATGCAGTTTTCAGAGCCTCCAAATTTGAGTTTCTTTTCAATACTCTTATGACAAAACATTTAGACGCAAGTTTTTGTGCAAGATGATCAATATGCATCTCAAAATCAGCTTGTCATCTATATATACGCCTAACATTTTGGCATCGGTACTGAAATATAATTTTTTCTGTGACGGGAAAAAAGTTTGTCATTTTATCTCTGTTGGTAGGTTATAAAATGTCACTTTTCATAAATTACTTTATTCCCGTGGGAAAAAAGTGAGTACTTTTTTCCCGGATATATATCACATATATTTACACTGTTGATGGCTTTTGTTGTGCTATAGTTCCGAAAAATGAGTCAATAATACCGTCTCCGAGAAAGACTTGCAAGTCTTTCTATCTTCCATTCGACTTCGCGGTTACGTATATTACTAAACAACCACTAAATTCGCAATTTTTTGAAATCAAATCACAGAATTAGACTGACAGAAGTGACATCAGATATTTGATTACTTCAAAAGAATGATAAAGATGCCTACAAAGCAGGTGTCCCTACTGTTAAACACTCAAAATTTCACGTCGATAATTTTCAGATTTCAAAATAATGTAATATCTTCTCAATATTGGTTCGTCCTTTCTTCTGTCACAGAAAAAAATACTGTATTATACGGGACGCTACGCGTCGGGAGACAACACAACCTCTGGAGCTAAAATCTACTACTTTTTTCCCTTGTATAATAAATAACTATTTTCTTCGGTTCTCAGATGAATTAACTCCGGAATGTTGATATTTTTGCGGCTAGTTTTGAAAAAAAAATGCAACCTGTTTTTGTGGTGTTTAGAATTAAAGTACGAGATCATAGCTGAAGGACTGTGCTGGCGAACAGTGTAATCCGAATTCAAATTGTTCAATACAGAAAAAAGTTATTCATATTTCAACAGGGTCAACATTTTGGGATTTGCGACGAAATTTGTGTTGCGTAGTTTATTTGTATTTTTCCTTAGAGTCTGGAAACGTTGGACAACGGCAAACCTTTCGCCCAATCATACTCAATCGACGTGCTGGAAAGCGTGAAAGTGTTGCGCTACTATGCCGGCTGGGCGGACAAAATTCACGGCAAAACCATCCCCATGGACGGACCTTTCGTTGCGCACACCAGACATGAACCGGTGGGTGTTTGTGGCCAGATCATACCCTGGAACTTCCCCATGCTCATGTTCACATGGAAGATAGGTGAGGACTCATGATTATCAACCTGGAATTAATCATTGGTTAGAAAATTTGATTTTTAGGACGCGTCTGAACTGCCATGCACCTTTTTTTTTTCGTGAACTTTTGCCTAATTTACAGTTGCAACTGTAAATTAGGCGATATTTAAAAAAAAGTGTAAATTGAAACAAGAGAACTATTTTTTACACATCTCCTAATTTACAATTGCAACTGTAAATTAGGGTATCACAGTCTCAGTTCTCACCAGACTACCAGACGTGGGCAGCTTCCATTCTTCGATTGCACGCGATGGGGTGAGACTGTGAGACTCTAATTTACAGTTGTAACCGTAAATTAGAACAAGAGAAATTTTTTTTGTACCCTAATTTACAGTTGCAACTGTAAATTAGAGTCTCAGAGTCTCAGTTCTCACAATTTCTCACCAACATACGAGACCATCATAGGCAGCTTTCATTCTTCGATACAGATTCTCGATAGCACGACGCGATGCGCTGAGACTGTGAGACTTAATTCACAGTTGCAACTGTATTTGAATATGGGAATATTCCTTAGACTGTATCATATGTGCTGAATATTTGCACTTATGTAGTATATGTCTAGTAATGTCAACCTGTTGAGCTGAATCTTGCTGATCCAATTTCAAATCAGTTACTTTTGATTTAGAGATTACAGAATTTTTATCGGTATTCATATGGTTAATTTAATGACGATAAAATCAATATCCTATCACCTTATCTATGACTAGGCGAAAATAACAGATATCAAAACAATCGTGTCATCATCAGTTTCACTCCTTCTAATATTTTTCCTTTGGAACTTCGGAAAAATATTGATAATTGTTTAAGACGTAGTCCATAAAATAAACAAATTCATACCACTTTATTGTATTATTCATGGTTGTTTCAGAATGATGAAAGATTCCACATAATCTGTGCCGTATTTTCGATAAATACATTTTTCTGGATATAAATAACTGAAGATTAATTTGGAAATTTCCGAAGGCTATTGAAATGACCCTCTGAATGCGCAACATTTTTCCCATTTGACCTTATCTTGGACACACCGTATATAAATGTCAAAATGACTATTTTGATTTTAATGTATGACAAATTGATATTCATCATACAGGACTTGGAAAGACATTCTGATTATCTAATCACGAATCTGCGATTAAAGGTCTATACCTAAAAATAACAAGGTTCCATCGTTCGAATTTGAACGCCTTGATTAGATGAATGTATTGAAGAGGAATATTCACAGATAAATTATGAACATGAAAAAATGGTCATATATATGAAGAAATACAGTCAAGACAATTTTCGTAACAAATTTGACATTTATTGATTAATAGAAAAAATCGTGGATAAATGCCATATACGTATTAATAAACAATACGGATCATAACGGGTGCCAGGATGAAGCCAAAAATATGAAACAAATGAATATCCATAAGGATTTGGTGGCATGATACGCATGCATTATAGTAGTCATCAAAGACATGCGTTTCGGTGGACAATGACGTTTACTAGCCTTTCAATCAAAGCAGTATGTGTCTGATCGTTTCAAAACTTTTCCTTATGGATAGTCATTTGTCTTCAAAAATCGGCTTCATGTTTCGCTATGGAAACAGATAGAGGTTATCCTTATTGATTATTAATACGTATATGATAAATGCTTGCTATATGGCAGGTTAACAAAGAAACAACATAATATGGCTTGCCAAATGAAACACAACCCGAAACAACACTTGAAAAAAAACAGTACCTACATTACAAAACGTCTAGCATGAAGTTGACCAGCAGGATTAAAGTCGGGGAGACGGCGAACATTTTTTAAGTGGTAATTTACTAATGACTTGTATTAATAATACTGATGACTCATCAACTCGGGTACTATTTTTATATTCGGAATCGATGCTAGGTTTGCAATTTTCCGCAATGGGAATGGCCATTACCATTCGATATTGCTTACCTAGGTATTATCGCACGGTAAGCGGTTTTTGCAAATTCTACAGGAACTGACGTCTATGAAATCCGCTGACCTGATCGAATCAATACACTGTACTGGATGTTTCAATTTGGAAAAGTGGATTTATAAATAAAGATCTTGAAATGAACGCGAGTTTGAGTGATGTTAATCCATAGTCATTTTATTGTACTTCTTGACAATTTCAATTCTTTATCGGTATATTCAACAAAAAACAACTGCTTTCCTGGCTATATGCCACGACGGACATTGAATTAAATCTATAGAACACACACGATAAGAATTTGAAAACAAAATCTGCTGAAGTTGAGAATTCGCAAAATATTTATATGCACATAATATCATTCTGAATGTTCAACAGAAAACAACTACTTTCCTGGTTATTTGCCACGTCGAACATTGAATTATATCTGTTGAATATCCAAAAGGAGAGCATGAAAAATAAAAATTCTCTGTAATTGAGAATTGACATAGTGGTTGTTTTCTGTTGAATATTTAGAATGATATTATGTGCATATACATATTTTTATCTGAAGGAGAAAGCAAAGTCTCAACTTTAGAAGTTTTTGTTTTCATATTCTTATCATGTGTGTTCAATAGATTCAATTCAAGGTTCTTCGTGACTTTTATACCCAGGAAAGTAGTTGTTTTCTATTGAATAAACCGAGAAAGAACTGATATTTTCATCACATAGAGAATGCGAATTTTCAATGTTCCTTACATTTTTTCATGTTCATAATTCATCTGAGAATATTCCTTTTCAATGACTAATTCTGTTTCGAAGCTCCCGCCCTGTGTACCGGCAACACGATCGTGATGAAGCCGGCCGAACAGACGCCATTGACCGCCCTGTATATGGCCCAGCTGATCAAGGAGGCGGGATTCCCCGCCGGGGTGTTCAACCTTGTGCCAGGACACGGGGATGCTGGGGCTGCTCTGGTGGACAACCCGAAGGTATAGGGTATTATTTATTTATTTATTGAACAAATAACTTCCAGACAGATATGCTCTGGTATAAGGAAGTACATAATTATATACCTATAGGTAAACATTCCATCAGGCAGAATATATCAACAACTATAAATTGGGCAAACAAAGGATAATACTTGTAGAAAAAACGTAGTAAAATAACATGATTATAATTTTATCCAGTTCGCTCAGAAATAATCAGTTTTTTTCTGTGACGGGAAAAAAGTTTGGCATTTCATCTCTGTTGGCAGGATATAAAATGTCACTTTTCATAAATTACTTTTTCCCCTGGGGGAAAAATGAGTCAATAATACCGTCTCCGAGAAAGAAATGCAAGTCCTTTTATCTTCCATATTCGACTACGGGGTTACGTATATTACTAAACAACCACTTAATTCGCAATTTTTTGAAATCAAATCACACAATTAGACTGATAGAAGTGACATCAGATATTTGATTACTTCAAAAGAATGATAAAGATGCCTACAACGCAGGTGTTCCTACTGTTAAAAACTTAAAATTTCACGTCGATAATTTTCAGATTTCAAAACAATGTAATATCTTCTCAATATTGATTCATCCTTTCTTCACTCACAGAAAAAAAATAGTGTATTATACGCGGGAAAAATATTAGATTTTAGCTCACGGTTTTATGTTTCCCTCCGCTACGCGTCGGGAGACAACACAACCTGGAGCTAAAATGTACTTCTTTTTTCCCTTGTATAATAAATAACTATTTTTACTTCAATTTTGAATGTACCTATATTTCTGCAATTTTTTATATTGCCAGGTAGTTTATTGAATTCAAAGTGCATCTTTTTTGTCCGACTATGGAGCTATAGCGGCGTCAAAATGAAACAAGTTATATTGTCTAGTTCCATATGATTATGAATTTCAAAATTCCGTATCAAAATAATATTCGTCTTCAATTTTTTATTCATTTTATTATTATTTCATCTATGGAAAACGTATTTGTTATTTCATACAATTGATTGCTTAGTGTATCAAATGGAAGAAGATACAGAGTACTTTCAACAGTTTTCCATATAATGTTGAAATTTTATTGAAATTATTTTTTGAACAAAGTCCCCAAACATTTATTAAATAGTTGATATACGATCAGTATAGGTATATGAGAGTATAGAGAATCATGTTTGCAATTTTAAAATCAAGTTTGGGACATCTTCTCAATGTGAGGGGTTATGCAAACTCGGTAACAATTTCAATATCATTGAACTTTTTTCCAAAGACCGGTGGAATATCGACTTTTTCAACAGGTCCTGTATAAAGAAAATGTTTTTTAAGGGAAGACTTTCATTCAACTCTTCTTCCAGCTTTTACACATGAACTCAGTTTTAATCTTCTCCTGAAGATGCTAACATATAGTTAGCGAAACACGTGTCGAAGTGTAAAAAATCGGTTTGGTTATTGGTTAAACAGTGTGTAGTATGCACCTACCTGTATATCATTTTGCAACCGATAATTTTTTCAAGACAGGTAAAAATGGCGGAATTAGAGCTTACGTCCAATTCAGGTTTTAAATCACTTAAATGTTTATAAAGAAATTCAATGACTGATGGTGTACTGTTCCGTTCTTGAAGTTTCAAAACAGGCCAGAATCCTAATTTTTTCACCCTGTATATCATTTTGCAACCGATAATCGATTCCAGGTGGACAAAATAGCATTTACCGGCTCGACGGAAGTGGGCAAACTGATCCAAGCGAATTCGGGCAAATACAATCTGAAACGCACAACCCTCGAATTGGGGGGCAAGAGCCCCAACATCATTCTCGCCGACGTCGATATCGCGATGGCCGTGGAACATTCGCATCAAGCAGTTTTCTTCAATCAGGGACAGGTGCGTCAATCATTGAGATTTTCTATCATTCATTTGTTTTTGTAAAGAGAACTCTTGGAGTTGTCTCCACTATTTGGAAAAAGCAATTATAAAGCCTTGAATAATCAAAGAAAAAACTTTCTTTAGACAGATTTTATCCTGTACATCTTATTCTACATGGCCTCTATTTCTAAATTTATTTTGGTTTTGAGCATATATTGATTCCTTTATTTTATCATCAGATATTTTTAACTGCAAAAATTAGCATAAACAAATTAATGAATTGATACAAAAACTAAGGAAAACACTATAAATTCCGGTTACTGAGAAACATTGTCAGTCGAAATTTGATTATCAATTCAAAAAGATACCTTGGGAATTGTTTTCAAAAAACCTTCTGATTATTCTTCCAAGATGCTCGTAGAACATCATAACATTTTATATGTTGATCAATTGTTTTATAAAACAGCATCAATATACATAAAAAAACATTTACAAAACTATGATCATGTAAAACATAAAAATGACACCAAAATTAAAATTGATGGTTGGATATCAACTAGGAAATTCTCTTCAACTTCAATGCAACAACATGCCCTTCATATAGGTAAAAAAATCTATAGTAAATTGCCTCCTTCGTTGAAAAAAGAAACATTTTTTTTTTATTCAAGAAAAAAATTAAATCGTGGTTGATTGAGAATTCAGGAATTTTGGAAATTTGATTACATGAAAAAATACTCATGGAACATAATATCATGTTTTTTATAGTTATCTTTAGATAATATAAAAATGTATTTATTATGTTAATTGTACTCAATGAGAAAATGAATTTTAGTTACTCAGTGTCTGGTCAGTGAATGGAAAAAAAAATATTACATGGAAAAGTTTTAATTTTTTTATCAGCATGTTTATATTATAAAAAAAATCATATAATCATCAATATGGTACGCTGATATGTATGTTATTTTAAAAATGAATAAAAAAAATAAAGTATTCAGAAGATTTTTATCTGGCAAAAATCGCTGACAATTTTTTTATCTGAGTCTGTCGTGATGTCAATAGTTATTCTCTTTGGTTCTTCAATTGACTTGAATTATTAAAAAGAATGCGTTTTCCACAAATTCAGAAGAATCTATATATTTCTTTTCTGAACTGTATTCTATATGTTGTGTTTGTAAATTTCGCCTTATGTTAGATGGCTGAATTTGATTTACACAGCTGATCTTTCTCGCTCCTTGTACAATGAAGATCTTCTCCGATGAATTTCGAGTGATTGTATGTGATTTTTAAAGCCAATAAATCTTTATTCTTTTTAGATTTGCTGCGCTGGTTCTAGGACCTTCGTGGAAGACAAGATTTATGACGAATTCGTCGAGAGGTCCGTGGAAAGAGCTAAGAAACGTACAGTCGGTAAGCCCAAAACATATAACATAACATATATTCTTCTCAAATATTCTGAGAATATACAGAATTGTATCAAAGTTATTCTTGTATGTCCCTTGACCCAACCTGTTCTTAGGGGCTGATGTCTGTGTCTGTATATCCTAAAGTAGGATTTCTAGCCTCAATGATTAAGTGTTGACATCTTATTGGTTATTCACATCTCTTATTTATAAGGTTCGTAGCGCAGGCGAAAAGGTGTCAGATTTGTAGTAAATATTTCCTCACGAGAGAGTATATAGGTTCGCATCCACACCGGAACAAGTTTTCTTCAATTTTCTTCATTCTCCTATAATATACCATCAGGCGGATATTCTCAGAATATTTGAAACAGTCCATTCCGAATGTTCATAAAACGTACTTAGAATATTTGTATCTTAAGAATATTGTGAGAATATTCAAATAGTCTATGAACGTTCGATGAATAACATATTGTGCTATACAGGGTATAGCTATACAGGAGCTTATTCACTATATCTCTATTGAGAATCAGTCAGGAGAAATTCATGATAATATATGCATGCCTATATTTCAGAATAAGCTCTCATTTAAAATATTTTCAGCATTGCAGTGTTGCCGCTTCTATAAAAATGTAGCAACAATTGTGTTATTTCAAATAGAATACCCTAGCTGTATTTCATTGCATTTTCAGATTCTCCCTGAAGAGCTGATCTCATCGATGCATCACACTTGATGGGGTCTATCGGTAATGATTACAGAGATATAGGGTGTTCAAAATCAAGATTTTTTCAAATTTAGGAATTGTTTGTGTTGAAACTATTCATCATCGGCCAAAACGGCTCCCATTTTCCCATCTCAACTTTTGATTTACTATTTACTGATATTTAATCGAAACATATATACAGGGTGATCAGAATTCTAAATCTTGAACCACCCCCTCTCTGTATCTGTTCCGATTAAATATTAGTTAATAGTAAATCAGAAGATGAGATAGGGACATGTAAGCCGTTTTGACCGATAATGAAAAGTTTCGACACAAAAAAAATCCTGAAGTTGAAAAATCTCGATTTTTGAACACCCTATATCTCTGTAATCATTTCCGATAGACCTCAGGTGTGATGTATCGATGGAAACAGCTCTTCAGGGAGAATCTGAAAATGCGATGAAATATTGGGTGTTTTATTTGAAATATCAATGTTGCTACTACTTTCTAGTAGAAGCGGCAACACTGGATTGTCGAAAATATCTTATATAAAGAGAGCGTATTCTGAAATATAAGCATGCACATTTTCATGGATTTCTTCCGACTGATTCTCGATATAAAGATAGTGTGAGCCTATCGTCGTGACATACCCTGTACTCGACCCTGTATATCTGGGTGATGCCATTTCAAATAATAAGCTGTTATTTTTATTTCAGGCAACCCCTTCGATCCGAAAGTGGAGCAAGGTCCCCAAGTCGACGAAGAACAGATGAACAAAATCCTGTCTCTCATCCGAGAGGGGGCCAAACAGGGTGCCAAATTGGTGCATGGGGGCGAAAGACACGGCTCAGAGGGATATTTCGTCCAGCCGACAGTATTCGCTAACGTCGAGGACAATCATATCATCGCCAAAGAAGAGGTGAGCAATCAAAATAGCTATTTATACAGGGTGTCTGTAAAAGGTCTTTACAAAAACATACCACATATTCCTTAGGCCAAAATAAGTCGATTTAGGTGAGATCACCTTAGTACAAAGTTGCATCGTTTGGGCTCCAGAGGTCCATGAAATTACAATTTTTAAATCTAGTCCAATAAATAAAGTGTTATAATAAGTCTTTTTAACGAATCAAACACTTAGAGCTTTAACAATTTATTCACTTCGACCGACTCGTTACCCTGCACAATGGATACTGCCTTTTATCATCCCGTCCAGGAATGCGTGACTACAAAAATGATTCACCGTATTGCATTGTATAACTTATTAATCCGTTGAACATTCCATCACCTCGTTTATATTAATCATACAACAAAATAATAATAGTAATGATATTTAAACAATGAAAATAATAATAATAATAATATTGATGATACATTTCTACAATACTATGATAATAATAATTATTATTCTTCACAAAAGGGAAAAAGTTAACATTAATTACGCACTATATTTTCATCTTCCGGTTGGAAGTAGCTTTTGGTACCTCATTAAACATGAGACAAAGTTTGACTGGAAAACGCGTGCGATGGCGGAGAAAATGGCCCCAAAAGACCAGAAAAATAGTTTTTCAGCCAATATCTCTTAAAATATGGCAGTTAGAGATTTTCGGTTCAGATAAAAATTGAAGTTCAGTTAATTTTCTACAAAAATGGTCCTCATCATTTTTCTCGAAAATTTGCACCTCGAATAATGAGCTTCTGTGTTGTATGCCGGAGAGCACAGTCCGTGTATTTACACATCGGCGGGGGGACAAATTATTCAATAACTTTGTTAAAAATGCATATTTTCTCATGATTCAAAGTTCATGTGAAAGGGGAATTCTGTTGCTATCATACCCTGTGAATTGAGTCACGCTTGACTCTTTTGGCCATATCGGAACATGGGTCAAACTTTCTGCTCCCGGTCAATTTTGACCTCGTCAGGAATTTGTTCCTATTTTTTTTTGTATTGCACTAATTTACTCAAAATTTTCTTGATCATGGGTCCTCATAAGGTCCTTTGTCATCCCTGAAATTTGTATACCTTATTTTTTTTTTTTTATTTTCATTTAATCTTTGTTTATTGAATCCCAATTTTTTGCTGTTTTTGGAGCGTGGGGAAATTTTGTGAACAACCATCAATCAAAAATTTATACATGATCCGATTGGTTTCTATGATACATCATTTGAAAGCTTAGAAGGTCTACTTTTCGATTGTGTAATTACTTTTTTAGACGAAGTCGTCCATTTTTCAATAAAATTAGAAAAAGCGGGGTCAAGGGAAAAATACACTTTTTTTTCGGTGGTTTTTTTCTCCGTGCTCTTTATTTCTAACATTTCAATACCTTAACTAGTGTAACGGGGGAATTCCCACCTTTCCATCGATGTATATAAGTCATACCTATAATTTATTACTTTCGTTCCTCCGTCGTTCGCCGCGTGTGTGCTCTACGTGGCGCTCGGGTCGTCTATGATAGCAGCAGAATTCTTTCACATGAACTCTGAATCATGAGAAAATATGCATTTTTAACAAAGTTATTGAATAATTTGTCCCCCCGCCGATGTGTAAATACACGGACTGTGCTCTCCGGCATACAACACAGAAGCTCATTATTCGAGGTGCGCTTCGTGCCGTTTTTCTCGAAACCGGCAAATTTTCGAGAAAAATGATGAGGACCATTTTTGTAGAAAATTAACTGAACTTCAATTTTTATCTGAACCGAAAATCTCTAACTGCTATATTTTAGGAGATATTGGCTGAAAACCTATTTTCCTGGTCTTTTGGGGCCATTTTCTCCGCCATCGCACGCGGTTTCCAGTCAAACTTTGTCTCATGTTTAACGATGTACCAAAAGCTACTTCCAACCGGAAGATGAAAATAGTGCGTAATTAACGTTAACTTTGCCTTTTTTTCCTCCTTCATTTATTGGACTAATCGTTTTTTCCATATAAATTTGAAACTTGGTATATTGATAGAGTTTTATGTGGCAAAATCAATAGTGTTAAAATTTTGTCCGATAATAATACATAGGCGTAGAACTTGATTTTTTAAATAATTATTGCACCTTAAAAAATTCTACGCCAATGGAAGAAAAGGAGTTTGAGTATGAAATTTAGATTGCGCAACTCATTATAGCTGTGTGCTTGTCGAAAGCCTGACTGATGTGTTGGCAAAATGTCATTGACATTCACATATTCGAACATTATTGTTCATGAGCAACTTTTTCAACAAGTTTCGATAGGGCGAGTAAAATATTAATCGGCCGTAAATCATTCATAGTTGATTGTTTGGAGATTTTATTTATAGGAAATATCAAATATTTCTTCCAAATATCAGATGCGAATATTTTGTTTCCTTTGCAATGTTGCCATTATTCGTCGATTAGGTGTTTATATTGAGTTCATTGGTCTATTATTACTATCTGCTACTAAATCACAGTATATTATCCTTATAAAAGCGAAGCGATCGAGAGTCCTCCATTTCGTCTGTGGTTGAGACGAACAAAATTTGAACAGTCAACGAATAAGAAAATAATCTTCGGTTGTAAACGTCATCATCGATTCTTGGTTCATCCCTATTTCCGGGAAAATAAAAACTATAATGGTACTGTTTTGTTCAGATCTTCGGTCCCGTCCAGCAACTGTTGCGCTTCAAAGATCTGGACGAGATCATCGAGAGGGCAAACGCGACCGATTACGGCCTCGCTTCGGCCGTCTTCTCCAAGGACATCGACAAGGTCAATTACGTCACGCAAGGCTTGAGGGCAGGCACCGTATGGGTCAATTGCTACAACGTGCTGGGCGCTCAGGCGCCTTTCGGTGGTTTCAAGGACTCAGGCTTCGGTAGGGAAAAGGGCGAGGACGGACTGCAGCAGTACACCGAGATCAAGAACATCATCACAGCCTTGCCAGTCAAAAATTCATAGTGATTTTGTGGTACTTTTTGTTCATTCCTTAGGATTGCTCGACGCTGTAAATGTGTTTTATGTTTAATAAGGTTGTCTTTGTTTATCGCACGATATAAACAGGGATAGCCTTAGAAAAAATCTCTTGTTCTTCATGTTGAGCCCAGCCCTAAGAAACAAGCTATTCATCTGTCTAAAGTGCATTGAAATGAAGAACCTCATTACTGCTGTGTCGGTATAAAGAATTCCTAAATTGTTTTTGTGGTACACTGTTTTTCGTTATTGTTGCTCTACCCACTGAAGTCGATTTTTGTTTTTACTAGGGTTGTCTCTGTTCAGGGGCGGCGAGTTTTGTTTTGTCCAATGGGTGCCAAAATTGAGGGGTCAGGGCAAGACAAAATTATGCGCCGCAGGCGAAAATTTTTCATGGTTCAAGGTCAAATGCCATCAAATTTCAAGATAGATCAAAGCATTATTTATTTTGCATCAAGTGTGAAACACCTCTACCAATATATAATATTTTGTGACTAATCGGGTTTCGAGTTTATGGTTGATATATTAATATGAACAAGGATGAGAAATAGAAGAATTTTTTTTCACCATTGAAAAAAGTGAACATAACTCAAAATTTAAAACGATATTAGAAAATTCAATCACTACAAAAATAAAATAAGATTTAATAATTCTCATATCTCAAAAAATGGAATAGGGAAACTTCGGGAATCGGAAAAATTAGCAAGTAACCCCAGTTAATTTATTGCAAAGGTATTCCTACTGACTGTATTATCAATGGATTCATTAGCCACTTCTATTTTTTTCCAAACTGGCACTTGTAACCTGTGATGTCATAATGTCTAAAATTTAAATCGGAATATCTGCACAGTGCACAGTGTCAAACCCTGGATGCACATGAATCGAATATACGGTTCGCATGGTTGTTTACCTATACTTGTCCAGCAACAATGTGCAATATTTACAAGTGCTCATTTCGCCCGTATCTAATTTGTTTTTTTATACGTCTGTTTCGGCCAATGGGTGCATTGCACCCATACCCACTGCCTACATGGGTGCATTGGCCCCGATGCCCCCATGCACTCGCCGCCCCTGTCTCTGTTTATCCCACGAAAGAAAAAGAGATGCCCTTAGGAAACATCTACTTTCGCAACTTGAGACAGCACTAACATTTCATACTTGTCAAATATGTGTCCAAGCGATTTCTTCAACTTCCAAAGAGCTCTCTACTGCATTCCAAAAAATATGTTAGGAAAATCTCTGGCTCTGAAGAAGTGTTTACAAAATCATGTTCAATCTGAGGATTCATTTAACATGAAATAATACGACAAATAGATGAAATGTGATCATCTTCCTATAAAGAAAACTTCAGCCATTCGCGATAGAAAATAACACGCCGACCCACCAAACAAAAAACAAATGTGAACCAATGAAAATAAAGTAAACATGCCGCTTTGACAGCTTTCAAGAACTCCGATAGGTGGCGTACGCTTATGTTCTATCGCAAATAACGTCACAGGTCATATTAGGCATGTGTAATATTGCCTCCAATATTAACCAATCAAAGCGAAGGTCAACGATTGTCTATGGTTTCCAACGCTGTCTTCTTAATTGGAATAGACTAATAACTAAAATGGTCGAATAGCACAATATTATATATTGAGATTAGGATATATTACAATATTTTCATCGGATTGTTGTTTTTTACTTCCCCACACTATAAAACCCGTTTTGCTGGAGTGTAATTTTTCCGGGGCAATAAAAATAGATTTATATTTCTCAATTGAGAATCATCTATTCTAATTTCTTCAGACGCTAGATGGCGCAATATTTCAGGTTTTGGTAAAGCAAAGTGTTTCTAACTCACCCTCTTGATGCCTAGAACTTGAAAGTGCAGAAAATAATTCTTTTGAAGGATATTGAATCCACAAATGAACTTTTGTGATTAGATTCGTTTTTCACTGTTCACGTAAATATGAGTCATGAAAAAAAATTACAAATTGATTATACCTACTAATTATAGTCATTTTCCCCATTACAACTTCTGAGTTGAGTTCAATGAAGATGTTAACATGAAGGGTAGATGAAAAACAATTATTTTCGTGTAAAAAAAAGTCTTGTTTTATTCCATTGAAATATTAAATAAGAATTATGTACATAATGAGTGGTAGCACTAGATTGTCCACTTGAGTTGTTTTAGCTTCTACAATGGAGCTAGTAATGATTGCCAACAAAATTCGAAAACTTGTTTCTGGAACCAAGTCTGGAAGAAACCCTAAAAAAATAGAGAAAAGAAAAATACAACCCTCAACTTGTATCTATTATTTTTCCATTTACCAAAATATAAAATGATGAAAATCAGTCCTACTTGTGATATAATGCATGCTGCAGTCCCTTCAATTGTTTTTTTAGTACCTTCAATGGAAAAAACAATCATTATGAAAATTTTTCTGTTGATTTTTCTCCGACTCATTTTTTTTTTAAATTACCTGGCCAAAAATGTCTCCCAAAATTGGATCCTACCACACTTGCTGCCGTATCTCCCACCCCTATGGCCAACAATCCACTCAAAAGGGGTAGCAAAGTGAATGTGGCAGAATTTGTGACGTCACAAGGTGATGGGTGTATCCAAATGGGTAAGGAGCACCCAGCCAAAAGGTAAATCGGCGTCAAAGCCACGTTGCCGTCTTTTTCATCACTAAAAACCACAAAACCTTCTTGGAGATGGGTGCCCAATGGTGGCATTTGCAGGAGTCTAAGAATCTATAAAAGCATTTCTAGATTTTCATAAAGATACTTGGTGAAAAAAAATACATACCTCTAATGCAAAAAATATGCCTGTGACAACCCCACTGGCCAGATATAAGAAGGAACACTTGTAAATGAGGCCTGGAATGTAAACTACAACTGCTAAGAGATGGAATACCTTTCTGGTAGTTGTTGAAGACTTTTGAGCATATAATATTTGTTTACTTATAGCTAGAACTGCCACTACAGAACAAAAAATCCAGAACATTATTAGTTTCAACTGAAAATAAACAATTATTTTTGCTCAGTTCTATATACTAGGTTGGTTTACTTACACTGGACCAATCATCTATCATTTGATTTATAATCCATAAAACTGGGCTACATTTCAATAGGAGGTGCAGGGGTAAGAATATTAGAATAAATATCACTGCTATGGCCAAAAAATAAAAGGATTTTGTCCCTCTGATATTGAATGAATGACTTGTGTATGCTATTACTGCAATCCCCAGCATTCCTATCTACAGAAAAAAAAACAACTTGAACATTTCAAGTGAATGCTTGGAATGAAATATACCTGAATAATAAGAGTAGATATCTGCATGTTACTCTTGAATGGGGTGCTTCTTGTGCTATGATTCAAAACATTCATTATAGTGAAATATATTAAAATGACAATCCCTTGGCTTACAATTCCAGCTTCACCTAGAGTGAAACATTCTTTGAATTTCCTCAGTATATATTTGTAGATCACCATGAAAATTAGGGTGGACCAGAGTCCACTCAGCAAAGAGAATACAAAACCTGAAAGAAATAAGTATTCAGTAATCCATTTATCTACCATACCTCTGTTGTAGTGTAAGAGTATGCACTAAAGCAATTCATGTCAGCAATTATGTAAATGTCACTAAATGGTATCTAATAAATCCTCATTAAATGATTTAGATAAAGTTATTTTCTTCAATAGGTAGGTATATCAAGGCACAGTATCCATGGGTTTCTAAAGTTCTACTCTAAATACATTACATAAGTGAAATATTTAATAACAACCTTTGTGGAGGCAAAGAAGGCATAAACTTGTAGTGAAAAGAGAGGCAAGAACTATCCATATATTGATGACTTTCAATTTTTGGTTTTTCCATTTCTGCATACTGATAATTACAGATGTGAGCATCATTCCCATACATACTAATGATGCTAATTTATAAGTAGGTGTAGCTATAATTGAATGTTTTATTGTTGAGATAATTACAGAGAGAGGTAGAAGGAACAACGCCCAAAGACCACTGTCGGCCCCCGGCCTGAAAAAAACACTGGATCAATTGACAAATACAGAAAAAAGGTAAATTGTACTTTACCTAACAGTGATTTTATTAATTTTTGTGAATTCGTCCATGTTCTATGATCACAAATGAATCGCATCGAATCATGAAGATTTGAGATAATAATCTATACGGGTAACTGACCCCATTATCAATTTTCATAATTTGAAATTTGGAATATTTTGCACATTGGATTTCATTTCAAATCATTCTTGTTGTCAAAATTCGATTACATAACCTAAAAAGGCTAAAAATCCTGTCGCTGTCGCTACTGATATATAAAATCAGAAGAAGAGTCTGAGAAGTGAGAAGAGTCAAGAGTTCAATTTAACCTCAAAGTGTTTTTTATTTAACTCTTGTCAGTTTTATCGTTATTTTTAGCGTATTTATCATCTCCAATATGGGATAAATATTATTGACAATGGACTAATATAATGAGAACCTAGGTGGTTGACCCATTGTGAGATATATTAAAGAACAACCATCATGAATGACATCAAAGAAGACTCTAGGTTCAAGAGCTACATAGGAGAGTCTGAACTGCTGGAGGTACAGAAATTAAACCAAAACGAGAACCAGAATATCTTGAAGAATTCACGTATTTTATCTTATTTTCAGTCCATCACATTGAATGACGCCCAGAGAACCAAATTTCTAGAAGGTGAAACAGTTGTATGTGAAGCACCAAAAGTGTTGATGTATCCTCCACTGAGTGATAGAAAAAAGTATATTGCTGGTGTGCTCACAGTTACTACCTTCAAACTATCATTTGCCAGTGCTGTAGATCAAGATCCTTCTAATTGTCATCAACATAATTTGTTACTGGGGGTCAATGATGTATGCTTGTCTTCCATAGATGTTATTTACCAGATAGGAGATCGTACCAGGAAGAAACTTTCCCCTGGACAAAATGTTACTGGAAAAGTTAAAGATATACTTATTGTATGCAAGAACATGAAGTGTTTAGAATTGAGCTTTAAAATGTGTGATAAAGATAGTGGAAAAACTATAGTGAATGCTTTACTGCATCATGCTTATCCTAAGAGACATACCCTGTTATTTGCTTATGATTATAAGTGAGTAAGTCACATCTGTGTAGATAAATTATAATTCTGAGTCTTTAGGGAGCCCTATGTAAATAATTCTCTACATAAAGAAGCCAGGTTTTACCAAAATAATGCTGATTGGGATAAAGAACTGAAAAGGACTAAATGTCCAAACTGGAGAACTTCTCAAGTGAATTATAATTATCAAACTTCTCCATTACTTATAGAAACTATGATTGTACCTAAGTCAGTAAGTGATAGTATTATTAATGAAGCTGTAGAGAAATTCAGGAACAGGTTTTGTCCTCTATGGGTAAGTTTATCCTTCATTCATATTTTGATATTCTCCCCAAAATCACTCAATAGGAATCTAATTTTCCCTGTATCTTGTAGGTGTGGGGTACACACAAAGGTGCAGCCCTGGTAAGAATGGCTGACCTTCTACCTACAATCACTGATAGAACTGAAGAAAATAAACTTTTGGAGCACATACGCAAGAGTCACCCTGAAAAGAAACCACCCCATATAATTGATTTGTCCTCCCCCACTCCCAAAGATATCCAATCAAGTTTTATGAAATTGAGAGACTTGTGCACTCCTGAGAATACAAGGGTGTTCAAAAGTCAAGATTTCAAGTTCTATGGGCTGCTGGATAATACAAAATGGTTGTTGCATGTTTCCACTTGTTTAACTAAAGCACTAGAGGCAGCTGAACATTTGTCATCAAAAGAATTGACAGTTGTTCTACAAGAAGGTATTGATTTTTTTCCTGTTAATGATTTCTTCCATACCTCCATATTATGCAATTTATGTGTGAGAGAAAACTCATCTTATATATTTCATAAGATTAAGGCACTTATTTATTCATTTGGTGAGAAATAATCAAATACTCTTTAATTTTGGGTTCCCAAATAAACATTGATTTATATATCAAAAGAATTAAATGATATCGAACGGGATATTACAAGTGATTTGGAAAACATATCATCTTGGATGCAAATTCATAAGTTGACTCTTAATTATAACAAATCTTCATATATGTATATTTCCAAAAGATCAGTTAACATTTCAAATAATGCTATAACTTTCAACAATAGATTAAATAAATATACAGACCTGACAAAATTTTTAGGTCTCTATATCAACGAAAAATTATTATGGACTAAACATCTAGACTATTTGAGAAATAAAATAAATCCGATCATAGGCATTTTATTCAAAATCCGAAATATCATTCCCATAAAATACTTTTGCCTCATTTATTCAAATTTGCAATATTTAATTTCTATTTGGGGGAGTACAAATATTTTGCGTCTGAAACCAATAATGAAATTACAAAACAAATCAATTAAGTGCATTTTTCATCTACATTTTCTAGAACCAACGATAAATTTATACAAACCAAGGCATTTTCTGAACCTGATTTCCTTATATAAACTTAAAATATGTTGCTTTATTCATTTTGCCAGGAATAAATTGAAAATATCAAATTTAGCTTTCAATGAAGTCAATACAGTCCATAATTATGGGACTAGACAATTGAATTACTTGATAGCAAATACATTCAAGTCAAACATTGGCAAACAATCTGTTTTTCACAGTGGAATAATTTTATAGAGAAGGTTTGAAATCAATCTCAAAAAATACTTGCTCATGACAATTTTAATGAAAAATATGTGGCATCATTTGATTACTTAGGAATGAGATATAACTTTAATCTTATAAGACACAATATTAGTTCATTTCCACTGAGTGGAATTCATTATAGTTAACCCTTTATTATTATTTTTTATATGTATTTATGTATCCCTATCATAAACAGAAATGTTTCTTGGGGTAATAAAGACAATCAATCAATCAATCAATCATAAGGCTGAGCATGTGAAGCATTTCAACATATATCTAGATTGAATCAGATGTTGGGAGTCCCAACTTGGGACATAGTCTGATAATAATTACAAAAAAGGATGATTCAGTACAAAAAAATGGCTCTAATTTGAAATACAGAATAGAAATATTGTTGAAAAATGGCTACTGTATACTGTATAGGATACAGAATTCATGTAAAGAAATCAGATGTTTGTTTCCAGTGATTCTATGGAATAGCTCCAATACCATTTGTGAAGGACAATATATCTACTACACTCTCCTATTCTCCTGTATTTTCCAGTTAGTTTTCTGAATTTTGTAACATTTGTTTTGCATATGCCTTGATGAGACATTTTTTGACATTGTGAGAAATGCTCACATCAACCATCAGTTTTCAAATGGTACAATAACTATAGGTATTTTGATCTAGGGGACCATGAACCCCTAGAAATTATTTAAAATTATGCTTCATACAAGAAAAGTTTGAATGGATGGATTTTACATTGATGGTATCTTCCAAAAAGGTTTTGGTGAGTCAACAGCTCTCAAAGTATATCTACAAATTGAAGAAATTATGTGGAAGTTAACATTTAAAAATTATTTACAATTTATCTCTTCTCATGTAGAAAGATTGTTGATTGTTATATTGTCTCAATAATAGGAAATACTTGAAGCTGGGAGCTGGGATATTCTGAATGAAATAACTGTCATACAGCAACTCAACAATCAATTCAGTAACAACTAATTATGTAGGTACTAAAATTCAGAGAATCGATTTTTGAACCGTTGATAAATTCATTGTCCCGTGAATAAATTGAGAATGATCGGGAAAAATCTGAAGTTTAACCGATTCGTAGGTCCGCATCAGGCGAGTTTCGTTTCAAACAAAGATAATACACACTCTAGATAATCGGCTGAGCTGATTCGTTGTACAAATATTAACATCGGAGTCGCGAAATACACGGCATTATCAAGATTATTTTCTTCATATGATTTTAAACCAATCAAAACGTTCAATTGAGTTGAGTTACCTTGTATAATTTCGAATATACGTGGATATTGATTGTCTTTATTACCCCAAGAAACATTATTATTTATAATAGGGATATATACAACAAAACATACATATAACATAATAAATCGAAACAATAATAATTGCACAATTATTGTTTTTCATGAAAAAATTATAATAAAATATAAAATGGAGATATTATAATCCATTTTAAGTAATCAAATTGATTTCAAATTTGTCTGCTTCTTCTATATTTTTCAAATCATTAGGTAAGGAGTTATATAAAATTATTCCATTATGGAATATTGATTGTTTACCAAAATTTGCCTTATAATTATTTGCTATCAATAAATGAAATTGCCTTGTTTCATGGGCGTGAGTCATTATTAACTTCATTAAAATTCATATTTGATGCTTTCAATTCCTTCCTGACAAAACGAATAAAACAACAAATTTTTAGTTCATATGATGAAACTAGATTCAGCAGGTCTTCAGGTTTGTATAGATTTACAGTTGATTCTAAAAAAGGTAAATTGAAAATGCACTCATTATTTTATTTTGTAATTTCATGAGTTGCTTCAAACGTGAAATATTTGTACTTCCCCAAATAGATATTAGATATTGTGAATTTGAATAAAAAAGACAGATGAATACTCTTTAGGTATCTAACAGGAATGAAATTTCGAATTTTATATATATGTAATACCAGAAATATGATTCAATTTTTTCCTCAAATGATCTATATGTAGAGTACACGATGATTGTTCATCAATATAAAGACCTATAAATTTCGTTAAATTTGTATTTTCCATTGATTTCTTTATTGAAACATATTGGTATTATTCAATATGTCCGTTGTTCTTCTTGAGATGTACATATACCTAGATTTTCTTATTAGTCATTAGTCAAGATGATATTTGTTTCAAATCATTTTCAATATCATTGTTGATATCGTAAAAATCTCTTGAAGTATAGATTATTGTTGTATCATCTGCAAATAATTTCAGTTTTCCTTTTTAAAGTAGATATATATTGAGTTAATGTAAATTAAAAATACAATAGGCCCCGAACAGAAATTTAGAATCATTTCCATTTCATCTCAAGTGTGTCCACACTCTTTTAAGAGCGTAAAATGAGATGTTCGAGGCACTGTAGCTCATTCTTTCATTTACGGTGTCCATCTAGAGGGTGAATTATCTTCGCTTGTAGGTAACGGGCAAGACTTGAACTGCGTAGTCTCCAGCCTGGCCCAAATCATCCTGGACCCGTTCTTCCGCACCAAATTCGGCTTCCAGTCGCTCGTCCAAAAAGAATGGGTGGCCCTTGGCCATCCGTTCGCCAACAGGTTGGGGCACATCTTGTGCAAAGATATCGAGCCCTCGCCCATCTTCCTGCTCTTCCTCGACGCTGTGTGGCAGCTGCTGCAGCAGTATCCGCAAGCTTTCCAGATAAGCGAGACTTATCTGACCAGCTTGTGGGACGCTGCGCACGTCTCCATATTCGATACGTTCTTGTTCAACTGCCATCACGCCAGGTGTATGGCGGAAAAGGTGAGTACCGCAAGGCACAGCTCTCGGCCCTCTTCTTCATGCTATGTATGTTTGTGTATTTTTAACGTTCATTAACTTCCTATTCGAATTTTATTATTGGTACATTGCATTCAAAGTTCAATATGTCGACAACCTCCTTGTACATTAAATAATATATTATAGTGTTGTTATTGAAACTTGTCCAGCAGTACTTGCAAGCTTTCCAGATAAGCGAGACTTATCTGACCAGCTTGTGGGACGCTGCGCACGTCTCCATATTAGATACGTTCTTGTTCAACTGCCAGGTGTATGGCAAAAGGTGAGTTCCGCAAGGCACAGCTCTCGGCCCTCTTCTTCATGCTATGTATGTTTGGGTATTTTTAACGTTCATTATCTTCTATTCGAATTTCATTATTGGTACATTGCATTCAAAGTTCAATATGTCGACAACCTCCTTGTACATTAAATAATATATAGTGTTGTTATTGAAACTTGTCCAGCAGTACTTGCAAGCTTTCCAGATAAGCGAGACTTATCTGACCAGCTTGTGGGACGCTGCGCACGTCTCCATATTCGATACGTTCTTGTTCAACTGCCATCACGCCAGGTGTATGGCGGAAAAGGTGAGTACCGCAAGGCACAGCTCTCGGCCCACTTCTTCATGCTATGTATGTTTGTGCATTTTTAACGTTCATTAACTTCCTATTCGAATTTTATTATATGATGCATTGCATTCAAAGTTCAATATGTCAACCTCCTTGTACATTAAATAATATATAGTGTTGTTATTGTAACTTGTCGAGCAGTATTTGCAAGCTTTCCAGATAAGCGAGACTTATCTGACCAGCTTGTGGGACGCTGCGCACGTCTCCATATTAGATACGTTCTTGTTCAACTGCCAGGTGTATGGCAAAAGGTGAGTTCCGCAAGGCACAGCTCTCGGCCCACTTCTTCATGCTATGTATGTTTGGGTATTTTTAACGTTCATTATCTTCTATTCGAATTTTATTATTGGTACATTGCATTTAAAGTTCAATATGTCGACAACCTCCCTGTACATTAAATAATATATAGTGTTGTTATTGAAACTTGTCCAGCAGTACTTGCAAGCTTTCTAGATAAGTGAGACTTATCTGACCAGCTTGTGGGACGCTGCGCACGTCTCCATATTCGATACGTTCTTGTTCAACTGCCATCACGCCAGGTGTATGGCGGAAAAGGTGGGTACCGCAAGGCACAGCACTCGGCCCTCTTCTTCATGCTATGTATGTTTGTGTAGTTTTAACGTTCATTAACTTCCTATTCGAATTTTATTATTGGTACATTGCATTCAAAGTTCAATATGTCGACAACCTCCTTGTACATTAAATAATATATAGTGTTGTTATTGTAACTTGTTCAGCAGTACTTGCAAGCTTTCCAGATAAGCGAGACTTATCTGACCAGCTTGTGGGACGCTGCGCACGTCTCCATATTAGATACGTTCTTGTTCAACTGCCATCACGCCAGGTGTATGGCGGAAAAGGTGGGTACCGCAAGGCTCAGCTATCGGCCCTCTTCTTCATGCTATGTATGTTTGGGTATTTTTAGCGTTCATTATCGACAACCTCCTTGTACCTTAAATATTATATAATGTCACATCTTATATTGAAACTATAGCTAGTGACAATGAAAATATCATTGACCCTAGTGTTGTTATTGTAACTTGTCCAGCAGTACTCGCAAGCTTTACAGATAAGCGAGACTTATCTGACCAGCCACAAGACACAACACTCGGCCCTCTTCTTCACGCTATGTATGTTTGTATATTTCTAACATTCATCTCAAAGTTCAGTATGTTGAAAACCTCATTGTGACATCTTAGGTATATTGAAACTATAGCTAGTGACAATGAAAATATCATTGACCCTAGTGTTGTTATTGTAACTTATCCAGCAGTACTCGCAAGCTTTCGCCATACTTTCTTGTTCAACTGCCCTTTCTTGTTCAACTGCCATCACGCCGGGTGCAAGGCCGAAAAAGGTGAGTTCCACAAGGCACAGCACTCGGCCCTCTTCGTCATGTTATGTATGTTTGTATATTTTTAACGTTCTATTCACATTTTCTCCAGTGCTTTGAGAATTGAAGTATTCCCAATGTTCTATATGTCGACAACTTCCTTGTACATTGAATAATATACAGTGTGGCCAAGATGAGGTTGCACAGCATTGGGCTCTCGGAAACGGAAGGAGATAAGCATTCGGTCGAATGGGAAAAAATTGCGCATTCGGAGGGTTATACTAACGGCCTTCTAATATATTCAAAATTGTTTACAGTTTTTCAGTTATATCGAAAAAAGTGAATTGTTGGAAAATCTATTTTTCTACGTTATTATTAGAGTTATGTTACCAAGTCTCCAACGTTTACATGATATTTGGACATGCCGGTTGCTCAAAAAATTCAAAATGAACTATAATACCACGGCTTCATGAGTGGGAATTGAAGATTATCTGACCAATACGAAACAGCATAAAAACAGACGTCACCATTTATTCGACGTAGCGCAGAATATTGCCAAATGGTGGCCATGACGCTACGTTTGAAATGAGCTCTGAAATTCAACAATTTCGAGCAACGCATACACATTATTCACATAACAGAGGGTGAGAAGTGTCGCAAAAATAATTTAGGACTCTGAAGACACAGTGGAGTAATTGAATGTCAATAATTCATTCATCAGCCCACTCGCCCATCACCTTGATAACTAGAAAAATATATGAGGAACCTAAAATCTCAAGACTAAGAGATTTTTGGAAAATTTCGTGAATCGATTATCCCAAAATCTCTTAGTCTTGAGATTTTAGGTTTCTCACCATCTCTCGGTGGAACATTAACCCACTGTGAGAATTCCAGGTCTTGCAATATTCTGCAGAATTGTGGCATTTTCGCCTTCCTGTAATAATATGGTCGTAGGGATCTATAGTCGACGTACTCGCAAGGTATGGTTGTTTAAACAACCTACACCTTTGCACTTTTTCCACTAAATGGCTCTTATGACTAGATCTTCCTCCTACCCTTCGGGGCATTTGATTGACAAAAATGCATGTTCATTAGGGTGCCACGAATCTCCATCCATCTTTGATTCTGCGCAGCGTTTGGGACTGGCGCGAACAGTTCTCGGAACGAGACATCGGCCTGTTCTGCAACCCCCTGTACGATGATAGTTTCAGAGAAGCGCTGAAACCCAACACCGGCTTATCCGGCCTGGAGGTGTGGCTGCAGTGCTATTTCAGATGGCTGCCCGATTTGGAGATACGAAACGGGGGCAGGCCACAAATCGACCTGTTCAGCAGGTATGTTTGTTTCATTCATCAGTACTAGGGTCCTTGATGCAAACTGACGTATTTGTCATCTTAACAGGGTACGGACAGATCCTCTTGTTCTCGTGTTTGTGAAACAGTTACATAGTTCCATCCTTATTCAATTCTGGGGATAGGTCGCGTGCACGATGAGGCAAAATATTGAAACACAACCTCACTCTTCTGTGAATTATTGAAATACAACCTCACTTTTTTTATTTTTTTACAGAGGAATCAAAGGATTGAAATAGTTTTTCACAATATTTTGGCATACGAATCGTGGTTTTTGCGCTATTCTAAGCATGCCTTCGCTTTGTGTGCTGTTGTACAATGCACAAAAAATGCAGCGAGAGACGAAGGAATATGATTTTCTCCAGGTGAATAGTAATCTCACATAGTTTTCATTATGAAATTTTGTCATTTCTTATTAAAATTCCTTCTGCCACTTCTGCAATAGAAGCTAATACTGCTGAAAGATTGAAAATGTCTACAACACACATGATCATATTTCGTCAGCATGCCAGACCAGTCCTCCCGTTTGATTGCATGAATCTAATCTTCTTGCATTATTTTAGAAATTTCACGACTATTTCTATCAGTTCCTATTGCACAAGCAACTCCGATGATAAATCAGAGAAATTACCAAATTTCAAAAATGAAAACTAATATGTGAGTGACTATAGTAGATACTTACTTTCAAATCATAATGTACCAACCGGATTTCTTCGTCTCCCGCTGCATTTTTTGTCTATTGTAAAACACAAGTCGTATACCAAAATAATTGTGAAAACTATTTCAATCACTTGTAAACAAATAAGAAAAGTGAGGTTGTGTTTCAATGTTTTGCCTCCAGCGTCGGTCATCTGACAGTTCTTGCATGCAACCCATTGAACCCACATGAATATCGGAATAGCTTCTATACGCGCAAATCTCATTTTTTCAAGGTTGGTAACATTAAACTGTCAGACAAAAATGGATAATATCGTTAATCACAATCAGTTTCACCGATTATATTTGGGAACATTAAAATTCCTCCACTAATTTTCCACTTGTGGAACCAAAAATTCATATAATACCATAAGATATTATCACAATGTTTGCCAGATGACAGATGCCAAGAATACAAATAACCTCAAAGTCAAGCAAAATGCCCGATAGAAAGAAAAAAAACTGCCGAATAGAGCATTGTCAGTGACGTCATATGTCGGCCATTGAACAGCTGATGGGGGGACAAGCATACACATTTTCCGTAAGGGTACATGTAACTTTCTTGCACATTTATCACTAAAATACAATACCTGGAGCATTTATTTATTGACATGTTTGTTAATTCTTTCATCATGAATCCTGTGAGAGGAGTGCGCCATGTTGTGACGTCAGCAGACATTGCTCTATTGTGTTCAGTAATCTACAAAACAATCTGCAATTAATGTGAAAAACAATCAATTATTGTTTCTTTCTCCTTTCATTCTCATTCATGATTTAATTACTGGCGAGTTGTGGGTTGTGCCTGATGAAAAAATGCTCAATACTATGCTCATTATTATCCTGATTATAATTTTTTTTTGAGGAAGCTTGAAGTGGGAAAATTGTCACAGTTCACGGTTTGTTTCTTCGACAGTATCATTGTACTCTGTTGATATTTAGCTCTCGTTTAATTATAAGTGACTATTCCACTCTTGATCTCGAGAACCAATCAGAATCGATCATTTTCACGGTTTCTTCTGTATTCTAGCGATATTTTTTGTTTATTAAATTTTATCGGACTTGCTCTACCAATACAGAAGCTGAATTGACCCACACGTGATCAACAAACCTCGTTTATCAGCGATAAAATTTTGACATCGTGTCTGGTCAAGATTGCTTTGGATTCAAATCTGAGACAATAACCTATAAGTACCCACTTTATTTTATTTACTTATAATTCGCGTTAGTGAGACATTTTGTACGAAAGGCGAGACAATTTTATTCTGGCTGGACGTTTCATGTGTAATTTAAAAAGTTTGCATATTTGTTGACGGTCTGACACAACGATACTAGAATTCAAATTCCTTTTTAAAGTAATATTCTTCAATCACTCAAGTTATTGTGACTAGTAAAATTACCAGATGATGTAGCGCAACTGATAGGGTTGTTGCGCGAAGATACGAAGGTCGATGGTTCGAGCCCCTCGGCGACGATATCTTTTTTTTTTTAATTATTTCATGTCACATAAATTCAATTCATTTTGTTTGAATTGGATAGCAATTGTATACACTCTTTTGAGAGCAACCATCTCCAAGATAATTAAAAAAAATACTGTATCAAAATTGTATATTCCACTTTGTGAATGACTATAGGTAGGTAGTTAATTTCTAAAAAAATTGAACTCTGTATTGCACTGCTATCATTTTGTTCTTCTTCGCAGTTTGAGTTGGAATATACTTAAATTATGTTTCCTATTTCTTATATACAGGGTGACCCATGGTCGATGGTACCTTAGACGAATACGGAAAACGGTACATTGGATTATCCTGGAAATTTGGTTACTCTAATAAGCGTTTGTGATCGAACGATTCAAAATATTTTCAGCGATGCAGCGTTGCCACTTTTACCAAAAAGTAGCATCATCTTTGTTATTTCAAATGGAACACCCTGTATTTCATTGCGTTTTTAGATTCTTCTCGAAGAGCTGATTCCATCAATGTATCACACTTGGGGTTTAGCAGGAATTATTACAGAGATATAGGTGTTCAAAATCGAGATTTTTCAATTTCCTATCTTAACTTTTGATTCACTATCTACTGACATTTGGACAATTGGAACAGATACAGGGTGATCAAAATTCTTAATCTTGTACCATCCTCTGTATTTTTTCCAATTAAATGTCGGTAGATAGTTAATCAAAAGTTAATATAGGGGCATGTTAGCCGTTTTGACCAATGATGAATAGTTTCAACACAAAAAAATCCTGAACTTGGTAAATCTTGATTTTGAACACCCTATATCTCTGTAATAACTCCTGCTAGACCCCAAGTGTGATACATTGATGAAATCAGCTCTTCGGGAAGAATCTAGAAACGCAATAAAATACAGGGTGTTCCATTTGAAATAACAAAGATGATGCTACTTTTTGGTAAAAGTGGCAACGCTGCTTCGCTGAAAATATTTTGAATCGTTAGATCACAAATGCTTACTAGAGTAATCAAATTTTCAGGATAATCCAATGCACCGTTTTCCGTATACGAATACAACTATACTATTTTCCCTGGAAATATTCGTCGGTTGACATACTCCAGCTTGCTGCTCTAATTTCGCTCATGACATTGCTAGGCAACAAGCTGTCGTAACAATCATCGAATATTTCCGGCAAAATATTATCACTTGTGGTATTACATATGAAAAAAGTTCACAAACATCAGAAAATTCCCGAAATTTGAAAATTGTAATTAAAATCTCATCCCCGAACCAAAAGTGAAATGTTTCCGACCCTAGGTACGTGGTCTCGGAGATACTGGCCACCCAGCAGGGGCAGGGCAGAGACGTGAACGGGCGGTTCAACAGGAACAAAGAGGAGTACTTGGAGCTGATCGGATCCGTCAACGGCTTCTTTCCGTTCGGGCGTACGTCGGGGTCGATATCCGACGACCCGACGAACAACGTCCTTTTGACTGGGGACACTTTGGATTCACAGTCGATACTTAATTTCAACGATTGAGCTCTGCCATTTATTGAGGGATTGTCGAATGTCATTGTAGGGGCGATGGGTGAAACTGCATTTATTATGCGATGGGTTTTTTCGAAGATTTCACACCAAACATTTTCGATCAATTTAAAGCCTGTATTTCTATCGTTACCATAGCAACTAAACAAATTTCTTGGACATTTTTTCCTCCTTGGGGGACGGAGCATGAAATTACACTGGACATTTTTTGACGTTTATAGGTTAAATAACATTTACATTCAAATTCAGATTATTTCGAGTTCATTCTTTAAGTCAATAAATAAAAATCATTTCCGTCGACCTCGTTATTAACGACTGAGTTTAATGTATATGAAATCGTTCATTGATGACCCCTATTAATGAACGATTTGTCTATTGATGTACGATTGTTTTATAGGCAACCAAACATACACCGCGTGCATTCATTGTTTATGCTATAACTTACGGAATCTGCATTTAAATCGAAAATATGGATTTCATTGAAGATTTTCTGTTAACGGGTTCATCCATTCCAAGTTTCTGACACGATTTTAATCCCTGTTTTCTAAAACAAGGAATTTATTTTCTATGTTGATCATTTCGACAAATGTCAAATGTCACTAATGTCAGTAGAATGAAGAGATTTTGTATTTCGTGTAAAATTTTTTCATTATAAATCGCAAAGCGCTTTCGGCTAAAAAGCCATCATCAGTGCTATACCTGATGGCTTTTTAGCCGAAAGCGCTTTGCGATTTATAATAAAAAAAATTTACACGAAATACAAAATCTCTTCATTCTATTGATCAGTTACGTGTATGCAGCTAGTAAAAATCTTCACACTAATGTCAGTGACAAGGCTACTGGGTGATTCTTAGCAGTTTCCAGATGAATGATGAATTCGCGAACCAAGTTTTCTTCATTGCAGGAGAAATGAGAAATATAGTCGACGGAAAAATTTTGTAACCAACTTGTATATTAAAAGGCGATAAATGATCTCGAACATTAACGCGCTCGCTTCGCTCGCATGTTAGAATATCTCGATCATTAATCGCCCTCATTAATAAACTAGTTGGTTAAATAACTATTCATCAACAGTTTACCATATAATATTATGTAGGTATACTTGCAATATAATATTTCAGTGTGAAATTTTCTTACCGGATACCACTTTAGATTCAATTAATATCCGGGAATTTTTTCTCGAACACGAATATTTAGAAAATTCGTGTTCTCGAAAAAAATTCCTGAAATAATTGGAGCTCTCGTGATATTATAAGTGAACATTCTTCTTGGTACCTACGTATTTTTGTCTGAAAAATACGAATTTGATAATGAAAATGTGAACGAACCATTATTTATTAAAATATTTCACTATAAAGTTACAAATGTCCCCTTCTTTTCCGCCTGTCTTCTGAATCGCATTTAGAAGAATTTGCCCTTGTTTTTTCATCATTGGACAATTTATATAATATCCCAATGTACAACACATTTTTTTCAATTATATGAATCAACTAGAAATATGATTTTCTTGAGATTAATCCATATTCAGTTAAAAGAAGGAAGAATATCATTTAAAATAATGGCGTGTGTAATGTCATTCAAAAGCAATCTGTTGACATTTGACATCTCGTATTTGGATTGACTACTATTGATTAAATGGCCGTCATCTGGTATGCTTGTTCACTGAATATGAAAAACTCCCCATAAAAATCATATTATCATTTCCTGTTGGCTTTTCTATATAAAAATGTGTCATTGAAGATATTGAAGTACATCATGAGTATATAAAGTGTCCAATGACAGAATAAAAAGTGCAAGTTCCTGTAAATGCATCCAACACAAGGGGAAAAATAAGGGGAAATTTCGAACTTTTTCTTGAAATATCTCGATAAATATTGGATTGTTCACATTTTCATTATCAAATTCGTGTTTTTCAGACAAAAATACGTAAGTACCAAAAACATTTTTCAAAAAAAAACCATCGGAGGATAAATGCAGTTTTACCGGACGATGTTCTCGGATCATGGCTTCAAACTGTTTCAGTAATAATTATCATTTTTCAAAGAAACAAATGATTGAAAGTGTTCTTTATTACTAGGTGAGAACTTGTTGTCTCAAAGTCTTTCCAATCTGTTTTCTATATACCGGTGGTAACATTTTTTTCCTTATGGAATATTACAGCTTTTAGTTTTGACAGTTCAAAGAAAATCATGTATATTGTGTGATAATTATTTTGTTTTTATTATGAAAAATTTAGAAACACAACGCGAACTTAAGGATTTTTCATGATAATTAGAATAATTTCTGATATCAACATGAATTAGTTTTCAATTTTATCCTGAAGACCATCATCTCAGTGTGTAGCCAAGAAATATTTTTTTATTTATCTATATTACATAGAACAATGATGTACAAGTCTGTCTAGTTCAACAATATAATTTTGTTTTAACAAACCAAAAATGTTATTTATGTTTTATTTATAAAAATAAACGAATTTTAATTTTGATTTTATTGTGGATTGGGTTTTAATTTTAAATCACGTTTATTTCTAACTCCCTGTTTCCTTCGGGTAATACAACCCTATCCTGCTTTTTCCCAGAAATCACCTAAAGCACACTCATGCAAGAAAAGTATGTCTTTTCTGATATTGTTTTTTCTATTCTGGTGTTTATTTACCATGCAAGTGTAGGATTATTGCCTATTTGGGATATATTTTCATAGGCATATTAATACATCATTATTCATAATGAAATATACAGGGTGTTCCTGAAAGGTTTGCATAAAATCTCAGCTCATATTCCTGAGGTCAAAATGAGCAGATTCAAAGCAACTTATCTCAGTCCAAAGTTGCTCCGGTTCCGAGATACAGGGTGGTAAATTTGAAGAATAAAAATCAAGTATATTTGTCAGAATTCATGAACATTTTCAAACATATTACTTCAGAAAATGATGTCCAGGGGTTTTTCGGGATGAGAAACACGAATACGGACACCTTTTCACTGTGGTCGTCATAGGCCGCTTACCAATGGACTTCTTTCATGGTTTAGAATAGTCAAAACTTTTTTCTCAGTGTAGTTTTTCACTTAACTTGTTGAGGAAATAATTTTCTAAGCATTTTCAAGCAAAAAAAGATACTCGGTGTTCGATATACAACACTGGAATATTTAACCTATTAATTTTGAATAAAAAATGTTTGCTGTTATCTTCGTAGATGTAATTTGGTCAATGAATTAATTAGCAGAGCAAAAAATACTTCCTTGCAGTGTACTTGTTTTTTAGTTGTTATCTTCACCACCCTGTATCTCGGAAACGAAAACATTTCGGACTGAGGTAAGTTGCTTCAAATCGGCTTACTTTGACTTCAGGGATAATATGTGCTGAGATATTGTACAGACATTTTAGGGACACCCTGTATAGATATTTAAGTATAACCAGTTAGGAAACGCGTCATTTTGTATCATTATGGGATTCTGCAGGACGAGCGAAGTTGAGATTCCGCAAAACAAACAGGGTTACACGAAATGCGTTTCCTAACGTGTTACGTACAATATTTGTTATAATTTTGATGAAGTTAAATCAGAATTGAAGAACACTTGAACATTCATATTTTTATTACTTAACTGGTGTTGAAATGAACATTTCATCACCAGCTATATAATATTTTACTTTACGCAGCTAGTTACGTAAAGTAAGACATTTCAAAACTTCAGTCAGTTTTGGAAAGTGTCACGTCACATAACATGTCAAAATTATAAAAAAAAAGATCATGTGAATGGGAAACGACATTCGTACTTAGATGGCCGACATTCGGACACCGAGACATATCCATTATTTAGTAACTTTTATCTTTAATTTAATTCAAACCTGTATCATTACTACCATTGGCAATACTGACAAACTGACGTTTATTTATTTCCATATTTGTCAAATATGAAAACAAAATTTTCAGTGAAAGTTCCTAAAGTTATAAAACTCTTCCAACTCCATAATTTTAATAATTATTTGAAGAAAACGACCAGCATAGGTAATTATCAATTACCACAAATGAAGAACCATTTACTGTAAGATTGGTTGCATTCCAAGAGAAACTATGGAAAGTGCTTCTAATATTGAATTAGAGTGGGTTGAACACACAAATTCAGCATGGGCTTCGAATAACAGTGACAATATAGCAAATAGAGATCTGGTTCAATCTATGTATGATACATTACTCCAGAATAAAGAAGTACGTGTCATTCCAACCACCCTATCATCTTACAATGATATTCAAGTCTTGCCAAGTTTCCAGTATGACCCACCATCAGCAAATGATCTCAATCACTACATTATCACATTACTCACATCTCAACTACAATTAGCAAAAGAAGTATGTTCCTCCACACAGTTTTCTAATATTTTGAAACAAAGACTGCTCATTCTCAAAAGGATTTATCATGCTTTAATCAAGAAGTATCATGATAAAGATAAGTCTGAATGCTTTCCATGTGAACCATCTACAAGTAGCACCTCCTTGCCATTGGTATCTAGAGAAGTCACCCTAGGCTCAGAGGCATTACTAGAAGTAGGTGTCAAAACAGGCCTCAGTTTTTTATTCTCTTTGTTACAACAAAACTGGCAAGTGAGTGGGATCCTGGGGATACCATCACTGTGCAACTCTGTATTAGAAACCACAGTGGACCTAATTCAAAAACTGCCACCTCTTTGCCTTTCAAATGATTCTCAGTTAACCAACTTGGGAACCAGTAGTCTGGAACAAGTTTGTGACTTCTTGAGAAATGCTGTTTTACAAGAAACTGCTGCTGATAAAAAAGGGAAACTACTCTCTTGTGAAATCCTTTTGGGGTTAGCTTTGCAAAGGGGGTCCTTAAGGTACCTCCTGGACTGGATAGACATGGCCTTAGAGGCTTCCTGTGAACAGCCTGATCTCTCAAGTAAGCTGGCCAAGAAAGCCTTGGCTCAGCTGGAAGGCTCCAGAAATAAATCCAAACACAGTTCCTATGATGATGGAAATGAAGAAATTGTGATCTACAGAGTTGCTATCTGTTTGATGGAAACATTGGTCAATATGGCTCTTGATTATGGGGGTGCATGTTCCATTGTAGAGACTAGTGCTCCTGAAGCAGATTCCAGCATGTATGAAAAAAGTGATGTTTATGTTTGGGGAAGCAATTCTTCACATCAGTTGGCAGAAGGACATCAAGAGAAAATATTGTTGCCTATAAAGTCCAAAGTTTTCAATCAAGTACAGCAGGTGAGTTCATAATTATGGGATTTTTCATTTATACAAGGTACCTAGTAATTAGCATGCAATAAGGTAGTAGATTCCAATTCCATGACCAAAGATAAGGAAAAAGTTTCATAATAAGCATGGGTCAAAAAATTACTCCTAAGGAAGCACACATGGAAACTGTCAAAATCCCACATTTCTTGAAAAAAATTGTCTGCCATTAGCCACCACATTCAAATTTATTGAATAATCTACCAGGGAATTTTTTTCCAAAAATAAAGAAAGGCATAGTCTATTGAAATGAAGAAAATTCATTCTTATTTTAATGATATATGAAGCCTTAAATGAAGAATGTATCTTTTCAACATATCTTTTCTAAAGAAAAATTCATATTAAAATTCACAAACACAAAACCTCACACAAAACACATCAGTAGACAAACTTTCATGTCAGTACTCACTATTTAGAGTGTAGAATGTTGTGTTTCATCTGTGAATCTATGGTTTCATATTACAAATGTTCATCAATAATTGTCAGGTGACACAAGATAGAATTTAGATTTTTTATACAATACAATACAGCTTTGTGCATTAGCAAAATTTCCATTTTGGATTCTCATGGACACGATTTCCCGCATATTTCCCGGAAAATTATTTTTCCTACTAAAAATCCCAAGCATTCAGATTTCCCGGAATGCTGGAAATTTCCCGCCAATTGGCAACACTGACCCATGAATATGCATGGGGATTATGGGATGGGACACCCTGTGTTATCATTTTCATAAATACATTATTTTGAAAGTGGTTATGTGTCCGCCGGCAGATACGTAAAGTGGAGACATTCCAAACTAAATTTTGTTTTGTTTTTTTTAATAAGTCAAGTTGGATATCAACATTTATAGACATGGACTGAATTTTCAGTTATAATCTTCCTAGCAGCAGAATTATTTCCGATAATTTTTTCAAGGTCACGAATCACTGGAGAAAAAAATCGGAAATTAATTCTGCTGCATCGGAGATTCCCTAAGCTAAGAAAATTCCATAAATTGAGTCATTCTTCTTCCGACTCGGGCTCCTCCGCCAACATATGAAAATGAACTCTCACACTATCTTGCAAAATATCGGTATTTTTTATGCACTTGTGTAATTATAACCGAAAAAATTCCTGGAAAAACATAATCTCGAACATAATTGAAATAGTGAATCATTATCCTCCTCAACAGTAAATGCCTCCATAGTATTATATTCAGTGAGGAAGGAAGATATCCCTTCTTCAAAATGAAGGAGACTACTTCTTCTAAACAATCTTACCTTACTAGGCCTACATGAACTTCCTTTCTTGAAACATTTATTTGTCAGAAAATCACTTGAGAAAACAGAATAAGAAAGCCGACCCACTGTGCCACTAGCTTTTACTTGAGAATAATAGACTAGAAATTCACTGCAGAGCCCACTGCAAATTTCTGATAAAGAAATAATGACATACACCGGGTGTTTCTCAATAGTGGATCACCCCTATAACCGAGCCTATAACTTTTTTGTTTCCATGTGTGAGTATATATAGTTCATAAATATGCATTATTTGACGTATCCAATTGTTTCCGGTCACTTCCGGTTTGACCAGAAATGAACCATATTTTCTTATTTTAAATGGAGCATTTTTACTTATTGTATGTAAATCGGTCGGGTGGTTTGGAAGTTATGATGAGAAATCCAATGTTTGCCCAAATCTTTGAGACCCTGTATCTTTGTTAGGAAGCATTTTCAACCAAAGTTTTTTTCTCAGTCTTCTTCTTTCCTGTTTTTCTATCGCCTATCAAATTTAATGACGTTCAACCACGACCACCCTGTAGGTAACGAAATCGACCTATAGGCAAAGAATAGTAGGAGGCGTTGATTCCGACGTTGGGAAAAAATAATACGAAACTTGTTGAACCAATATGGCTACGAAGTGCTACGAATTTCTCATTTCAAATTGGTTTTAGCGCGTATGTGATTGATTGTGATTGAAATTCGAATATTTTCGTTTTTAGTTGTACAATTCTTTAGTGTTTGTGTTTTCGTTTATTTATCATAGACTGAACTTTTTTAACCATGTCTAGTGGAACGAAATGCAGTATTTGCGGAGAAAAGAATTGGCAGGAATCCTCTTTTCATAAGTATTTGAATTTCCAAATTTCCTTGTTTATATATTGACCTGCACAAAGGTACACACTTATTTACATTATATTTTAGACTCCCAAAGAACCCTGAACGAAGGAACTTATGGCTTCAATCATTGGGGATAACTTATTCCCTCAATTTTATAGATCCAAATACCCGTAGTTTCGGAGGAAGACTACGATTATTACCTTACATTTGATAAAATCCAAAACTTTGTAGGTAATGGTTGATTCAACAGTTTTCTCATACATTATCAATGGAGTTATCAATTATACAGCAACAAGCATAATATAATAAGAATTTCCTTAAAGTAAACCAAGTTTGAATCAGTAAATGACAAGTAGTGTAGTGTAGTCCTATCACGCTAAACAGATTTGAGTAGATCACTTTCACCACATTGAAAAATAATTCATATACCTAGGTTAACCCTGACTCATATTCAATAGTCAATACCAAGATCTGAACCAATAATGTTGGATTAAAGGGTGTGAGTTTCGAGATTTCATCAAGCCGAATGAAATCATTATGGCAGTTCATTTCATCATCATTTGCAATGGTTCTTTCCTGTTCCTCAAAGTTACTGACATTATGCTTTGCTATATTTTAACCACATTATAAATGCATAAATCGAAGTTGACGGTTTTAGACTGTGGTATTATCAAGAATTGATGGTTTTTAATATTTGTCTACTACTCATATAATATGCAGCATAGCTGTCCTCAAAGCGGGACCAACTTCTGTCTCTATAGGTAACGATTGTAACGAAATCGACCAATAGGCGTTGATGCCGACGTAGGGAAAAAATAATACAAAGCTTGTTAAACCAATATGGCTACGAAGTGCTACGAATTTCAAATTTCAAATTGGTTTTAGCGCGTATGTGATTGATTGTGATTGAAATTCGAATATTTGCGTTTTTAGTTGTACAATTCTTTAGTGTTTGTGTTTTCGTTTATAAATTTATCATAGACTGAACTTTTTTAACCATGTCTAGTGGAACGAAATGCAGTATTTGCGGAGAAAAGATAAGACAGGAATCCTCTTTTCATAAGTAAGTTTGAATTTTCAAATTTTCTTGTTTATATATTGACCTGCACAAAGGTACACACTTATTTACATTATATTTTAGACTCCCAAAGAACCCTGAACGAAGGAACTTATGGCTTCCATCATTGGGGATAACTTATTTCCTCAATCTCATAATATAATATGCTCGATAATATGTAAACACTTTATACAAAATGATTTTGAAGATCCAAATGCCCGTAGTTTCGGACGAAGACTACGATTATTACCTTTTACATTTGATAAAATAAAGGTATAAAATCCAAAGCTTTGTAGGTAACGGTTAGTTCAACATGAGTTTGACAATGGAGCCTCATAATTTTTCTCATACATTATCAATGGAGGTATCAATTATCCAACAACAAGCATAATATAATGGGAATTTTCCTCGGAATTTCCTTAAAGTAAACCAAGTTTTAATGAGTAAATGACAATAGTAGTGTAGTGTCAAGTACATTAGGAACTCCAAAAAACGTCAAAACAGCACTGTCAAGTACATTGAGGAACTCTAGTGTACTGTAGTCCCATCAATTCAAACAGATTTGAGTAGATCACTTTCACCACATTGAAAAAGAATACATTTAATACCTAGGTTGAGAGTTAATAATCCTATATTCAATATTCAATACCAAGATCTGAACCAATAATGTTGGATTAAAGGATGTGAGTTTCGAGATTTCATCAAAACGAATGAAATCATTATGGCAGTTAATTATCGCAGGTAATATCCCGAGACCATGACAAATAGCCGACTATCATTTTCTTCATAATTCTATCGAGAGTACCTTGTATTTTGACAATTTGATGAGACCATATGAACATTAATAATCTGAATAATTCCCGAGAGCTTTAGCTCGAGGGAGTTATTCTTTGATTATTCATGTTCATATGGTCGAATTGAATTGTCCCAAAATACAAGTTACTCGAGATGGATTAAAGAAAATGATAGTCTCTATTTGTCATGGTCGAGTGATATTCAGGAAGATTATTTCATGAACAGTAAGTATATAAAAAAAAACTCGTTTATATATGTTTCAACATTTTATTCAACTTATATTTTTACAACCTTGAACTACTTCCAAATAACAAGAACATAAATTGATAATGATAACTGATCATTTCAAATTGAAAATGCAATTAGCTGTAAGCCATTTACTGTCTGCACATTTTCGATTTCCTCCTTGACAAGTTTTTGTAAACACAGGATTATATTCGATCCTACCTCTTAAAATAATCGATTTTACAATCACTTCTACTCCTCGCCAGGCCAACTCTACAGAAACAATTTGAAATTTTTTTTCTGATGGCCGTCTGGGGTATTTTCATCTATAGCATTCGATCATCCAGTGAGTGCTTCTGATGAACTTTGCTTCCTTTTTTCAGGACAATTTTGTAGGTTCCGCCTTCTTGCATTGCGCGCATCTCTGACACCTTTGAATTCTATATCTTCGAATGGATTCATCTTTCGATTGTGTTATTTGATGAATGGTTTTCGCCGTAGAATTCCACATTAATTTTACTGTGTATTCTTTATATTCCTCACCATTCTCCTTACGCATATTCCATGCCCATTCTTTCACAATTTCGGCGATCACGAGAATTGGAGTATTCGCGCATAATTCACAATTTTTCTGTTGGCAAAAAACCATAAATTGTTTCCAGGCAGGCTCCTTACTTATTTTTGTATTATGTATTATTTGGAATTGATTCACATACATATTCACTGATTTTCGTAGTAGAAGCTGACCCAGAACGCGACATTTCAAATTTGAGTATCTGATATGTCAAACATGTCAAACTTTAACAATCGAAGACTTGGGCCTAGCCATAGCACCACTAGGGAAATATTTCCACGGAGGCGTGGTGGTCAATAGAGCAGCGTACTTACTTGCCTTCAGATAGAAAGGTCTTTGGTTCGAGTACGTGCTCCAGCTACTCTGTTCCATCATTTTTCGAAGTGGTTTATCAAAAAAATACTGTGGAGGCGCTCTGGTCCGGGAATTTTCTGTATAGACTGCGTTGCGGTAGGTGGAAATGTTACCTCATCTCAGTGCTATGGCTAGACATCTTTGACTAGACGCTAGTCAATCAAAGCACTCTTATGCTGTCGAACAGAATAGCCGCTCATATCATGTTTGTTTACCTAAATAGCCGCTGATATCGCATATCATGTGACATCAATCATGAAATTTCATAGGTGCAGCCAGGTGTGAATGAAATAATCATCTGCAATGGCCACATTATAAAGGAATAAATCGAAGTTGACTGTATTATATTGCAATATCATCCAGCATCCAGGGTATCATCAACAATTATTGATGATTTTTAATATGTTATTATGATCAAATAATTATTTAGGAACCTAACCCTAACCTAACTTGGAATCTGATCCTCAAGTCTGCAGTTTCCATCCTTCACTTTCCGTCCTTATAGGTTCATTGGTATTATGTCTGATTTTGGTTCCATTTTTGTTGAGATCGTATATTATGGTTTTACATATATCTACTATTTCTGTATATGGCGCATCGCCAATACGATATCTCAACAAAAATATGACTTTTTGAATCTATAAGGACGGAAAGTGAAGGATGGAAAATTGGAAGTTAGTAGCCATATTGTCGTATTATTTTTTCCCTACGTCGGCATCAACGCCTATTGGTCGATTTCGTTACCTATAGAGACAATAGTTGGTCCCGCTTTAAGAACAGCTATGCTTCATATATGAGTAGTAGATATATGTGTAAAACTACTACATTCATAACCTGCCGGAATGAAGCCAACTACCCTCTACATTCCTACTCCGAGACGCCGATTTATTCGTTGCGTCCAGCCGCTAGACTCTTCTTCTTTTTTTTTTTCACCCAGATCGAGGCCGGCCAGTACTGCACGTTCGCCATCCACGTCGACGGCTGCGTCAGCGCGTGCGGCAAAGGCAGCTACGGTCGCTTGGGGCTCGGCGAGTCCTCCAATCAGAGTCTGCCCAAGCACGTGCGCCTCGACGCCGTGGTCAAACGGCTGTCGAGCTCCAAGGGCTGCGACGGGCACACGCTGGCGTTGACCGAGAGCGGTCACGTGTTCAGCTGGGGGGACGGAGACTATGGGAAGTTGGGACACGGCAATTGCGCCACTCATAAGCAGCCGGAGAGGATTACGGGGCCGTTCGCCGGGACGACCATCAAGTATATCAATGCAGGTGGGTGCTCGTCGCGTGCGGTAAGGTGTGTTTTACTGCACTGTTTTTGCGTGCGGAAAGTGTTACATTATCTCTCTAGTGTGGTAAAGTGCACTTTATTTCACTCAATGAATCAACCTCGGAAACAACTCTGCGATATTATCCTCCGGAACTAGGACAAAAATATTTATAAATTCGGAATTTGCACCTCCACGCCGTGGTCAAACGGCTGTCGGGAAGTCAGGGCACGGCTATTGCGCCGAGCGTTGGGGATACTATTACAATTGTACTGAATCTATTACTATTAAACCTTAGTACAAAAACATGACAACAGAAAGAACCTCCATAATCTAGTACGTTCTTCGATTTTATCCATAATAATGTAATTTATAATGATGATGTCATCGAGAATATGAGTAGACTAACGAATTAGCATCTGAAAAAGACAATTGAAGTGTCTGAGCTTCTTTTCACACTTTACATATCAAACTTTTGATGAGTATGGTCCAACCTTATCGTGCTCATTGTATAAGAATTCACCTTCTATGTCGTTCCATTTTTCGTTATAGTAGTTATTGAGTGTTTATATTGTTTCAAAACTACCCAAATAAAGATACATTCTCAATTTTCCTGTATTTTTTCATCACATGTCGAATCTAGTACGATCTATTACAATTGCGTACTAGATTTTAGTACGAAGGATCGCTACTAAAAATTCAACGCTGATTGCACCACTCATAAGCAGCCGGAGAGGATTACGGAGCCGTTCGCCGGGACGACCATCAAGTATATCAATGAAGGTGAGTCGCTGCGTACGGTAAAGTACGTTTTACTGCACTGTTTTTGCGTGCGGGAAGTATTGCATTACCGCTCTAAAGTGCACTTTATTTCACGTTTTTCAGAAAAAGAATTATCATATGAGGATTATTTTTCTGTCAATTTCGTATCAACAGGTTCCGTTGCTTCAAACAAAATTGATCGTTAATGACCCTATTAAACAACACTGTGATTTTGTCGAATACTAACAATGTACTGAAAATTCAGGAAATTGGAGTGACATCAGGCGCATACCTACTAGATGAAGTATGGTTTTGAGGAACAGGCAGTTTTACAGCGATATAAAAGGTGCATTCTTTTTTATCGATGTCAAAATGACTAATGTCATCGTCAAATGGCTTTTTCTGTGGAGGAGTTGATTTATCACTACAAATGTTTCAATTGTTTGTCGATTAGTCGTATATTAATCGTCAGAAAAGTGGATTCGTAGAAGGTACAACCGGTGTGAAGCTAGCAGCCATTTCCTAGTGGCCAGTTTTCACCTAGCAGCCAAACCACCAGTCGGATGTTCAAAAAAATATATTTCATTCCACCTTTATCATGAAAAGAGGATATTTAATGAAAAATACATGTTTCTGTGCCTGAGAAATGACATACAGAGATGATTCAGACTAATTTAGACCCCCTCAGATATCATGAGCCTACCTAAGTAATTCGACGGTCAAAAATGTGAAGCCATGTTGTGATTCAGTTCCAGCGTCACTGAAGAACTCTAGAATGATGTGTGAGAAGATGAGGCATTCTGTCTAAGGGGTAGGAGAAATTCTTCCTTAGTGGGGTTGCAGTCAGAATTTTGGCCTTGAATAAGAAAACTCTTTGTTATTTTGCCGAGCTTTCGGAAATGTTCATTTCCTTTATCAAGACATCTATAAAAAAATATGAATATGAAAAACTATTCAATTATACAAAGTAAAAAGTACTTACTAACGTGGGAATGGTAAAAGACAATGAAATACATGACTTCAGCCAAAGATGCAACTAGACGGCCTGCCAATCAATCATCTTCGCACATATCATTCTAGGGCTCTTAAGTAATGCTTGTACCGAACTTCAACGAGACTAAACATTTCTGAAGGTATATTATGATTTTTTGTATCTCTCGGGGGGTGATATCTACCCCTAAATGGTCTGCCAATCAATCATCCTTGCACTTTTTGAAGGTATATTATGATTTTTTTAAATATTTTGAGGGGTGATAACTACCCCTTTGACGGCCTGCTCATCAATCATCTTCTCACACATCATTCTAGAGCTCTTTTGACCGTCGAATTACTCAGGTAGGCTCATGATTTCTGAGTAGGTTTAAATTAGTCTGAATCATCCCTGTATGCCATTTCTCAAGCACAGAAACATGTATGTTTCATTAAATATCCTCTTTTCATGATGAAGATGGTGTAAAATATATTTTTTAAACATCTGACGCCACTGGTGTTTGGCTGCTAGGTGAAAACTGGCCGCTAGGGAATTGCTGCTAGCTTCACACCGGTGAAGGTACATATCTTTTTTTTTCTCGCAGGTTACAGACACTCTGCCGCCATAACGGAGGAGGGCAGGCTGTACACGTGGGGCGAGGGCGACCACGGCCGTTTGGGCCACCTCGACAACAATGGGCGGCACGTGCCCACCCTCGTCGCCGATCTGGCCGACGTCGACGTCGGGACGGTGGCGTGCGGCAGCTCGCACACCTTGGTCGTCTCCAGGTCAGATCCGTTTGTTTTTCATCTGGTAATAGCTATAATTGAAAATTATTGAAAAGTTAGTGGGCGAATTTTAAAGGAAATGGGTTCGTACTATTTGAAATCGTCCAAAACATTTTGAGTTCAACTTTGCATTATCGTTCTAAATGAAAAACCTAGTAGGCGAGTTATATAATAATTGTCTATTCACTGAACCAAAATAGGTCTGCCTCTCAATGACGCTGGTTTACTGAAAAATGGAACATATTAGGTAAGAGATCCTTCTTGATATTAAACCATTCAGGTATCATTTATTGTGTATAATGATGAATTTTGTGAAACATCCATTTATTTCTGCTTATTACTTTGAATTTTTCGTATCTCAGTTGACAAATAGGTCTGCCTGTCAATGATGCTGGTTTACTGAAAAATGGAACATATTGGGTAAGAGATCCTTCTTGGTATTAAACCGTTTAGGTATCATTTATTGTATACCGATGAATTTTGTGAAATATCCATTTGTTTCTGCTTATCACGTCGAATTTTTCGTATCTGAGTTGACAAACTATTTATGTAGGTTTGATTTTTAGAGAGATTGCGATGTTCTCAACAATATAAAGGAAAATAAGCAGTTCCTACCTCCCTATTCTTAACTTGGATGCCATCATTTCAGTATAGTGCAAACATTATTTTTTCATCACATCACTGATGAGTTTCCAGTTCCTACTCAAATTCAAATAGCATCAATGAATCCAGCTATTTTATCATTGTATAAACAATGGTTTCTCCTTTTTGCATCCTGCTTTCATTAATCTTGGCAGGAATACGAAACATTTGTAGAGTTAGAATAATAGTGAACAAACAATAGTATACCTCCTGTCTACTAGGTTTTCACTCAACACAACAATGCTCTCAGTATCTCAGGTTGTACTGATTCTCCGTTTTGCAATAAACAAAAATCACTGCAACTGACAGATCTCATGAGCTGACGTACTAATCATTCTGAACATTTTCGGTTTAGATTTCTGCTGGAGTTGCGGTAGTGTGTTATCAGCAACCAGTCAAAATTGAAGTGGCTGACATATTTGATTCATTATCATCAAAGAATATTATCAAAATTAGATCTCAAAGCTGCTGTACCCAATTGTGTGTGTAGATTTCTAATGATTCCTTCATTTTCTATATGTGAATTTTCTAATTTCTCGTCAAATCTACGAAGTTCTTCTCTTTCAACTCATTGGATGTGCTATAGCTTCATTGTTGGTCTCCTCGCACACTATTGATTTATTTTTTTGATCATTCATCTAGAGATGGAAAGACTGTTTGGTCGTTCGGGTCAGGAGAAAACGGAAAGTTGGGACACGGCGAAATAGCGAAAGTTTACAGGCCGAAGGTGATCGAGGCGTTGCAGGGATTGGTGGTACAGAAGGTGTGCGCTGGGACGTCATTTTCGATGGCACTTACCACAATGGGACAGGTGAGGAAATTGTTCACTTAAATTTGCAATCTAATTTAATTTAACATGTCAGAGCACCTACATATAGTCAAAAATTAATGTTTGTGTGAGTTATGTATCATATTTTGTTCTCTTGAACTGCTTGTTGCTCCAACTGCTTGACATTCACTGTTTCTCCTGGTAATCTTCAGTGCTGCTCTGTATCCTTTGTGAAGAACTTGGCGGTCATTCTAGAAGGTTTGATTTGAATAGATCCGGCTCGAAGGACCAATACGTTCGATGCTTGATAGATAATTGACACACATTTGCGCAACAAATACCATTTATATTTTAGGTGTACGCGTGGGGCAGCGGCCCGATACTAGGCATGGGCTCGGCGGACGCCATCTGTCTTCGGCCTTTGCTAATCGAAGACTTGGCCGCCCATCGCGTCGTCGACGTGTCTGCGGGCGACACGCACTGTCTCGCCCTCACCGACGAACATCTCGTCTTCGCTTGGGGCACTAACAGCATGGGGCAGTGCGGGCAGGGGCACAGCTCCAGTCCGGTGACGAGACCGCTGAAGGTCGTCGGATTGGAGGGGGTGCGAGTGAGACAGATCAGCGCAGGTAAGGGAACGAATTTACGTTAGCCTGGAACGGTCCATCGTTGGAATTTCAGACCGATCGGGACGATGTTATCCTTGGCCTTGGCGGTATGTTCGAACCGCGGAAGTTGGTGAAGCGTCTGGCTATATCATTTCCATCTGTGGCTCTGAAGGTTTAATAAAACTTTATACAGTGTGACCCACTTCTAATGGAAACACCCCTGTATCTTACGTAATCGTTGGGTAAGGATCCTGAAATTTGATGGAGCAAGAGATATACCAAAAATGCACTCTATGACCAAGTGGGGTCATCTTCAGTGATATAAACTGCTCGCCAATAGCCATGGAACCACCCCAATTTCCGGAAAATGATATTAGGGGTCAAAATAGGTTGGAAATCACTTCGGATTCGGAATCAGGACGCCCAATTCACTAACTATTCATAGTTTTCCTAGGAAATTTTCAGTTCAGAAAAATTAAATTTTGTCTCACTCCTCATGGATGCACCCCGGTATCTCACGTAATTATTGAGGTAGGGTTCTGAAATTTGCAGGAGGAAGGGAAAGTCCAAAGATGAAGTCAAGCACGTGGGGGTGCTTCCGTAAAAAGTGCGACAAAATTCAATTTTTCAGAACTGAAAAATTCCCAGGGAAAATATGAATAGTTAGTGAATTGGTCGTCCTAATTCCGAATCTGAAGTGATTTTCGACCTATTTCGACTCCTAGTATCATTTTCTGGTAATCGGGGTGGTTCCATAGCTGTTGGCGAGCAGTGTATATCACTGAAGATGACCCCACTTGGTCATAGAGTGCATTTTTGGCATATATCTCGCTCCCAGCAAATTTCAGTATCCTTGACCCAACGGTTACGTAAGATACAGGGGTGTTTCCATTGGAAGTGGGTCACACTGTATATTGAAGGAAAATAGTTTTTCTGAATAGAAAGGAGACCGCTTTTCCAAACAATCGAACCTTACTCAGCCTAATATATAGATGACATAGAAGGAAAATATTCTTTCTGCATAAGAAAGGATATTACTTTTTTTTTTAATCTAACCTTACTCGGCCTAAATGAGCCTTCTTCTTAGATATTCTTTGAAGAATTACTTGAGATAACGAAATTTAAAAAAATGGACCCTCGCAGAGATACAACGTTTATCTTAGGAGATTGGAAGCTCTTAAAATCCATAATAGATAATATAACCAGGGCCGTGTTTGAAAAACAAAGTTGATGATAGCAGCTCAAAAATTAAATTAAATTTTAACAAAAGTGGCCGTGTTTTTATTGACTAGTAGTTCTTAAAATGACGAAAACTACCTTGGTAGTAAAAATACATTCCTTACGCCTTGAATTTGAGAGAATAATGGTAGATTCTATAGCTAGTGGTTGAAAGAATTGCTTCATTCCGGGGTAAATCGTTAAAGATTGCCTGGTCTAGAGTGACTTTATAGATAGAGTAACGACAATAGTTGGGTATCTCCCATGCATTAATGAATTTGCGGCCTTCGAAGTGTCCACCTGATGTTAGGTATATACAGGGTGATTCACATAACAACCGACATAGGGCAGGGGCATGTAGGGGGTCCCAAAATATGGCAATTTAACGCAACTTACCTCTATACCAAGTTGCTTCCCTAAGGTGTTATAGGCATAGCACTAACAGCATGTTAACTTGCACGTTAAAAGAAAACTTCCCGTTCATTTTGAAAACACTCAAACAACAATTACTGAATTGAACAACTCACTCGCCTCATTGTCAAGTTTGACGTTTATTTTCATAGCAAACTTTTGAATTTTCGATGATTTTGAATAACACACCTAGAGCGCGCGTTTTCAGTTATTCGAGTTTTTGATGAAAATGGTGAGGTTTTTCGAAAAATTACTAGAGTAAGAAAAGTTTTAGAATTGAATTGCCCACAAAACAAAGCAAAGATTTATGAAATCCATCAAGTGTTAACAAAATTATGTTGAATATTAATGGTGCGCCACCCGGTATACCCCCTTCACAAATTTCAATTAAACTCTAGTTACTGTCAAGTAACGCCCTAAATACATCCACAAAGTGTACCAAATTTGGTTGCTTTAAGCTCAAGAATAACGAAGATATTGATTTTTTTCAAAATTTATAACTTCACTTTCAACGCCTGTATCTCCTTAGGGAACTTGATATAGAGGTAAGTTGCGTTGAATTGCCATATTTTGGGACCCCCTACATGCCCCTGCTCTATGTCGGTTCTTATGTAAATCACCCTGTATATTTGATATTTTTATTTTATCATCTGAAAAATCTGAGACTTACAAGTCCTAAAATACAAATTCTAATAGTCCATATCCAAACTACTGACGTACAGAGTTTCATGTCTGATTGTTGGATGTCTTGTGTCCAAAGAGCAAAAAACAAAGACAAAGCATTGACAAATTGAAATAGAATGCGTAGAATTGGATAGTGGATGCACCTAGATAGTAAAAGTCTGCCCAATCAAAAAGTGAACAACTATTTTCGTCTCTCTATTCATAAAGTAACTCTGGCCTGGTCTGATTGCAGGCACATCGCATTCGATCGCGTGGACCTCGGCCCCCTCCGAGCGACCCCACGTGACCAAACACAAGCCCTTCTGTCTGGACCTGCACGAGCGCACGTTCGGCTTCCTGAAGACGTTCCTGGACAAGTACGCGGACACGTTCTCCTACGAATCGCCGCCTCGGCCCTTCGAGACCGCCGAAGAACACCACAAGTTCGTCCTGATGGTGTTGAAGTTGCTCTGCACCCATTTGAATTTGTGCATCAACGGGAATTTGAACACGGGTGTGCTGAATGCGCACGCCAAAGCTCTCAGGACGGTGCTTTTTAGGTGAGTTCAATGTGCTCGGATTTTTTTTTATTCATAATGTCAATTTTAAAGTGATTATTCCATTTTATGACCACGCTGTACAGAATAGCAATCGATAATGTCCAAGTCGTTTTTACTTTCAAAATAGAGCAATTTTTAATTTTCGGGACGGCAAACTGTGACGTACGGCTAACGAATTAAAAAGAAGAAGACAACTTGGCGTGTTGTATATGTTTATATCATGAAAAATATCGATGATCGACTAACTAACAAATCAACTCTAAACTATAGACGTAGGCTTATACGGATAACTGGAGATCAAAAATCGACACAAATAAAACTGGTAAACAAAAACATGCATAACCACAAAATCAGATCAGCTCTCGGTGTGCCTGTCACTATTTTGTGTGGTGTGGACTAGAGTCCCTGTATATAACTTAGACAAGAGTCCGGATACAGCTATACTTCTATCCTTTTCTGTTTTAAAAAAATGCATTGATGATTGAATAAAGGTGTGATAAATTGGAACTATTTTGTATAGTAAAATCAAATTATAGGTCAATGACAACTACACTTTTTCAATGTCTCAATTCCAATCTCTTTATTTTTCTACTGAGTGATACTACAACCAAAATTTAGGCAAAAATTACGAAATATTTAACATTCTCCCCATCGTGGAAACATCAGTTTTCACCATCATCAGGTTGAATATCAAGTCTACAAACTTTGGTCACCGGCCTACGATACACACCATGTGCTGTTTGTACGTCGATGACTCTAACAACACCATCTTTTCCAGGAAAAACAGCTGTTACTTTTCCTAACGGCCATTTATTTCTTGGAAAATTCGATTCAACCACGACAACCATGTCGCCAATCTGAACCGGTATAGAGCTCTTGGTCCATTTCCCTCTGTTTGTTAAGGTTGGCAAATATTCTTTTACCCACCTTGACCAAAAATTGTCCGAAAGTCTTTGAGCCTTTCTCCATAGTTTTCTTGTTGGAGTTTCTTCAAATTTCATTGGTAATGGCTCTCGTTTTAATCCAAGCAACAAATGATTAGGCGTTAAACATTCTTCATCGTTGGGGTCTAGAGATATATGAGTGATTGGTCGATTGTTTACAATGTTTTCAGCTTCTGCAAAAACAGTAAGGAGAACTTCATCCTTTGGACTTTCTTCTTTCAAAATGTTTTGAAGTATTTTCTTCACAGATCCTATCAACCGTTCCCAACATCCGCCCATATTTGGAGAGGCGGGTGCTATGAAATGCCATTCGATCATCTTTTCCGATAGCTTCTTCGTCATTTCATCGTGGTCAATATTTTTCCAAAAGGTCTTCAATTCTTCAGATGCTCCACGGAAATTTGTTCCATTGTCAGAATAGAGGCATCTTATTTTACCTCTTCTTGCCATCATCCTTTGTACTGCCATAATCGTACTGTCTGCAGAGAGTGAGTGCACTATTTCGAGGTGAATTGCTCTGATCCCCATGCATGTAAAAAGTACTCCCCATCGTTTCTCTTTGTGTCTCCCAACTGTTACATAAAATGGCCCAAAAGCATCAACTCCACAGAAGGTGAACGGCGGTACATTGGAGGTGAGTCGGCATAAAGGCAGTTGTCCCATTTGAGGAGGTTCGGGTCTAGCTTTCTTAATTTTACAGATGTGGCAAGACTTGAAAGCAGTTTTCACAGCAGATCTACCTCTTAAAATCCAAAATCGCTGGCGTAAATTGTTGAGTACCGACTCTACACCTTGATGGTAATTGTCTTCATGATAAAACAATATCATTAATTTTGTATATCGATTTTTTGGGTCTAAAATAATTGGTGATTTCACAGCATCATCGATATTTTGGCTAAGATTCAGTCTTCCATGAATGCGAATCAATCCATTTTCATCAAGATATGGTAATAACTGTGAAATCCGTGATGCTGTTTCTACTTTTCCTCCATTTTTCAGCTGGATCAGCTCATCTGGAAAGCTTTCTTGTTGGCAAACTTTAAGACAATACAACTCGGCATTTTCGAACTCTTGACACGTCAATTCACTGGAGTGGAATACATTCTCTCTTCTTATTCTGTGGAGTAGTTTGAAATAATATCTAAATATCCATGCTGTGGCCCGTACATATCTTCTCCACTTCGAGAATCTTCTTATATCTGGAATAATTTGTAGCTTTTTTGTTGTTAGGCCAAAGAATGTCGCATCTGCTTTTCTTTCTACTTTATCATCTGGACAGAATTTTACTATGTCTATCTGTTTGGGCCAGGAATCTTCTGGTTCTCTTAGGAAGTCAGGTCCTCGAAACCATGTAAGATTTTTGTCGAAGTCAATGGAATTCATGAATCTTGTGCACATATCAGCATTATTCATATCACTTGGTACATATCTCCATTGTTCAGGTTTTGTAAGTTCTTGTATTTCGCCTACTCGGTGTGATACAAACTGTTTATAGTTTCTACCATCTCCATTGATCCAATGTAATATCGTTTTCGAGTCTGACCATAAGTAGCAATTCTGAATGTCCAATGATAACTCTTTTTTGATAGTCGCTAGTAGTCTGCTTCCCATAACTGCTGCTTGCAATTCTAATCGAGGTATTGAAAGTGGTTTAAGAGGACATACTCTGGCTTTCGAGGAAATCAAAACTACTTGTATTTCATCTTCAAAAATAATTCTCAAATATGCTGCACAAGCAAACGCCTCTTCGCTGGCATCGCAGAAAACATGTATCTCTAGAAATGTAGCATCCGGAAGTGACGGTGAATAACACCTTGGAATTTGTATCCCTGAGATATGTTTCAAGTCTTCTAACCATAATAGCCATATTTCAAAAACACTCCCAGGTATACAATCATCCCAACTAATTCCAGTTCTACAAATCTGCTGGAGGATCATTCTTCCTCGAATAACTAGATTAGTTAGAAAACCAAGTGGATCGAATACCGACATAACAAGTCTGAGAACTTCTCTTTTCGTTGGTGTTTTTTGGCCCATCAGTATTTCATCGGAAACCTTATGAAATTTCAACTTGAAGGTGAAGTTATCTGTGGTCACATTCCACCAAACACCCAGTACACGGTCAGTTACAGACTTGTTCAAATTCCTCTCATCTGTCTTCAACTCGGCAAATCGATCCATAACTAACTTGGAGTTAGATGTCCAGCTGACTACTTCGAATCCTCCCTCTTGATGAAGTCGTCTGATTTCATCCACTTTCTTAACTGCATCCTCCTCATTCATGCAAGAGTCCAAATAATCATCCACGTAGAAATTCTTCTCTACATCTTCAGTCAAATGGGGATAGTTTGTCGACTTTCTTGCGTTCAAATTTTTTACAAACTGTGCAGAACAGGGTGAACATGTAGCACCGAACGTCATCACTTCCATTTCGTATTCTTCCATTTCTTTGTTCTTATCACCATTGCGCCATAAAATCCTCTGAGCACACCTGTCTTCTTTGATTATTTTCACCTGGTGAAACATTTCACGTATATCTCCACATATCGCCCATCTCCAACGGCGGAATCTCAATAATACTCCAGGCAAGGATGTCAAATAATCAGGACCTTGAAGTAAATTGTCATTGAGACTGATACCATGATTCTTGGCAGCAGCATCAAAAACAACTCTGAATTTATTTGGCTTATTAGGGTTAAATACTGCGAAGTGTGGTAGGTACCAAAGCTTTGTCGAATTTGTCTGTATTTCATTATGATCTAGTTTTTTTAAATACTTCTTATCCACATACTCTTGAATTTTCTTACAATATTTTTCATGGTAGTCTTTATCTTTGTCCATTTTTCTCTCGACACACAACAGTCTTTTCACAGCGGTATTTCTACTTTCTGGAAGCAAAATGTTATCGGATTTCCATAGTAGTCCGGTTTCGTATCTGTTCTCTCCGGTAATTTTCCTAGTCGTTTTCTCTAGCAATTCAATAGCCCTTCTTTCTTCACGGTTTATTCTTGTATTCGTCACGGCAACTCCGAAATTATCCGTTGAAAAAGATTCTCTAATGATTTGTTCTATATCTTCTTCGTGGCTGCAAATATGTAAAACAGTTGAACTATATGTATCTTCTCTCTTCGTTTTTCCATGTACAGTCCATCCAAGTAGACATTTTGTTGCAATAGGACTATTTTCACTACCCTCATATACTTTTCTTGGCACTATCAGATTTGCATTGTCTTGGCCGATAAGTAAAGAAGGTCTTACATTTAATAGATTCTTGATAGGTAAACCAAGGAGATGACTTTCTTCAAAATCTTCTAGCCTGAAAGTCTGTTGTGGCAAAGCTAAATTTTTAACAGTTCTAACATTTTCCATGCTGTACATTTTTGAGCCATTTTCTATCGCTGATATTTTGAAACTGATAAGCTGAGAATCATCATTGTGCTTAACAATTTCGCTGGCCCACTGCATGCAAAAGGGTTCATTTCTTCCATGGATACCAACTCTTTTAGCCATATCAGCTTCCATAAGTGAAACTGTAGAGCCTTCATCGAACAATGCGTACATTTCCAAAATTCCAGATGGTCCATAAATTTTCACAGGAGCAATTCTTAATAAAACTCTTGGATTTTCATTTATATTCAAAACATTTTCTTGTCTGTTGTCGATAGTGGAAAGTGGTGTGTTTTCTGCTGAATGTGTCAGGGTAGGATCCAGTGATTTATGCAGTAGGTAGTGGTGACGTTTTATACAGCCATCCACACCGCATTTTCTTTTTGATTTGCACTTATTCTTCATGTGATTGATCCCTAGGCAGCAAAAACATGCTTTCAATTGAACTATTTTTGCCCAACGTTCATCAATAGAGTCACTCTTAATAACAGCACATTTGTTTATGTGATGATCTTCTTTGCAATAAATACATTTTACATTGATTGTATTCATCACATTTTCATGTCGTCTATAATTGAATGGTTTTGAATTTTGATTCGTGAACTTCGGCGTGCTGATGCAACATGCTGCTGTGGCAATAGTGTGGAACCATGCAGAAAAATCTTTCAGTGATACTTGCATTTTCATTTGTTCTTTCTGATATACAATTTGGCCCCACTGAATTTTCAAATTGTTTGGTACCTTCTCAACAATTTTCTTCAATAAAAATGGATTTTCCATATAGTTCCTTGCATCTAGCTGATCTAGTGTCGATTCTAAATTTCGAACCTGACAAGAAAATTTGATACAAGTCTCGAAATCATTGTCTTTAATTATAGGAAAAACTTCTACTTTGTTGATTAAAGACTCTATAATGTATTCAGGTCTTCCGAATCGCATTTCTAGAGTGTAAATAATTGATTCCACATTCTTAGGATGCAACATCATTCCTCTCACACATTCAAGTGCATCACCTTTAAGACACTTCTGTAATTTAGCCATTTTTTCATCATCTGTGTACTTACAGACTTGGCTTCTTCGTCTATATTGTGAGATGAATAGTGGCCAAGATTCTGGTTTGCCATCAAAAATAGGAAATTCTTTATCAAGCACTTGCCTGTTCATTAATCCCTCCACTAATTCTGGATTTTGTGCATTTGTAACGGCTTTCTCTATCACTTGGCATAGTCTAGTCAATGAATTTTCACCTTCCATATCAATTTTATTTGTAGAACTTGTACATGCTGCTTTTTCGTCTTGGCATTCTTGGAAATTTTCTCTAATCCATTGATGTACACCTGATGTGTTATCTGAGCAATATGTTTTTCTTGATTTCACGCTTACTTCTTCATCTTCTGATGTTTCTGCTAATTCTGCTTCAGCAATATCTTTTTCTAGGTCTATGATTCTCATTTTTGCTTCTATTTCTTGTCTAAGAAGTTCTGCTTTCGCTTTCTCAGCTTCAAGAGTTAATTTCTTCCTTTCGATATCAGTTTTTGAAGATCTTGAACTCTTTGTATACTTTGACCTGCTAAACTTGGTGCTTGCCTTTTCAGTATGGTGTGATTGACTTCTTCCAGCAGTTGATTTAGCGCATTCGTTGGTCACGAAGCCTTGAAGAGGAGTTAAATCTTCCAATGAATCTTTTTTTGACATTTTCGTTTTCTTTTCTGACACTTCTTGTCCGAATTGAAAATTTTTCGTTTTTCGGGATTTGGAATCTTCCCAATGCTGTAAATCTATCTTCCACGTTCAGTTCAACGTTAGCCGAAGGACCATGTGATAAATTGGAACTATTTTGTATAGTAAAATCAAATTATAGGTCAATGACAACTACACTTTTTCAATGTCTCAATTCCAATCTCTTTATTTTTCTACTGAGTGATACTACAACCAAAATTTAGGCAAAAATTACGAAATATTTAACAAAAGGAATAAGACATATATATCGAGCTCTGTCTTCTCAATTCCCCTAGTATCAATGATTGTCAGAAACCCTTTTGAGGGTTAGATTATTTGTCAAACCGTTCATAGCCGTAGGTAGAAGTGAAAATAGGGCTATTTTAGCTAGAATAACTATTAGATTTTCGAATAATGAACAACAGGGTGTTGAAATTTCGAATCGATAATTTTCATAATCAATTCCTGAGATGGCTATTGCAAATTATTGTCATCAGATATTTCTTCACTTCATTAGATATAAGAAAGATAATTCAAGTGTTCTACGTGGTATCACATATATAGCCAAGAAAATATAGTTGTTTTCTGTTGGGATATAAAAAAATAGAAGACATATAATTGTTTCAATATAATTTTCTCCGATTCTCTCAATTTAATAACACTCATCAGAAATAAAAGTGACAAAATCAAAACAACAATATATTTGATAGCGAGTGCTTTATTAATTGTGTTTCCCACCTCTTCCTGCAGTCTACATTCACCTGTACATTTTGAATTTGATCTGAATTAATAACACCGTGGACTGATGATATAGCACATTGCAGCTTCCCTAAATCTTCTAGTTTTGATTTCAAACTTTCAATTTCTTTCCGCATCATCTCATTCTCATTTTCTTTTTCTGCGAACGTATCATTCAGTAATTCCCAATACGATGACGACGGGACTCTTTTTTTGAACGTCTCTATTTCATAAATTGACGGCACAGCAGACTCTTTCAATTTGAAATACATCAGCTTGAAAAAATCTCTATCAAAATGGGCCTAAAATTCATCCTTTTTGTATTGTTTTCACAAGTAAATTTGAATATTTACCTCTCACATATTGCGGATTTCTTGAAATTAATTTTCCAATCTGGACGTTTCATTGCATTCTTCCATGACATTGTCTTTGAAGGATCATTCGGAGAATTGAATAACTTGAATCCCTTGTCTAATGAATTATCGCAATAATGTACGCAGCAGGACATTGAAATAATTTAAAATGCTAAATTTTGGCGGTCATAAAATTTCAAAGTGACAGTGACAGACATTCGGAATAATTAAAAGAAGCGGGCGGGACGACTATGGTGTTTCGTCACATTGTCAGGTGGGCAAACCAAATGAAACAAAATATTAAAAACCCCAACGGCTGTCAGTTTTGTGTCTGGGACTCTAGTGTGGACGGGCTCAAAGTATCATGCATTGTTGCAACATATAATCTTCAACTTTCTTCTTCTTCTTCAAAATACATCCTGTTTATGAAGGAACTAATTCTTTGGAAAAAAAATGACCCTTCGAGACCATCGAAGAACAAACACCACAAATTCGTTCTGAAGGTGTTGAAGTTGCTCTGAACTCATTTAAATTTGTGCATCAACGGGAATGAACACCGACGTGCTGAATGAACATGCCAAAGCTCTCAGGACGGTGCTTTTCAGGGGAGTTAGTTCATTGCTTCCAGCTTGAAATCCCTGGATTCATTTTTTTGTTGTTAATTCTCAACTGCGATTCTGAAATGATTGTTCCATTTCGTCCCTTCCTAACAATGGTTCTTGATTCACGTCAATATCTTCTTTTTAAGAGACTATACAAGTTGTTTAAGAAAGTATGGAATTTTGTTATTTTCATCAACAATAATTCAGAACCTATAGAGTATCTTTCGGCCTTGTCAGAGACTTTTCAAGAGCTATGAGTCGCTCTTCAAGGAAAATTTGAGGCAATTCATCAAGACTGCTTTAGAAATTTGATCAAATCGATGCCACGGCAGTTGAATGCTATAGGAGGTCTGGTTTGCGTTTGTTTATAGTAATTAAGTTTTCTCTTTGCTGGTTAGTGCTAAAAAAACGAGGTGGGAATATGTGTTATCAATTTTTAGATTTTTTTTCGTTTTTAATCGATAAGTTGATGCAGGTTAGGCAAATTTAAAAAATCCATATACAGGTCAAGTTGTGGTTTTCTGATAGGATATGAAATTACACATGAAACGTCCAGCCAGATTAAAATTGTCTCGCCTTTCGTACAAAATGTCCCACTAACGTTAATTATAAGTAAATAAAATAAAGTAGGTACTTATAAGGCTAGGTATTGTCTCAGATTTGAATCCAAAGCAATGTTGACCAGACAGGATGTCAAAATTTTATCGCTGATAAACGAGGTTTGTTGGTCACGTGTGGGTCAATTCGGCTTCTGTATTGGTAGAGCAAGCCCGATAAAATTTAATAAAAAATATCGCTAGAATACAGAAGAAACCGTGAAATGGTCGATTCTGATTGGTTCTCGAGATCAAGAGTGGAATAGTCAGTAGTATACCGAATGATTGCTGAATGTATGCATTGATATTTGTTGAAACAACGAAAACGTCACATTTTGAAATAATGATGAAATATAATGATGAAGATGGAAAGCCCTCATTTCGAGTGACAATGGAAAATGAAAAAACTCCACCGCCCCGTGTGAGAGTCGAACTCACAACCTTTGTGTTACATGCCCAACGCTCTGCCAATTGAGCCAACGAGTCGTCCGTCGATCAATCGGCAGGGAGGTCGAGTTCTCATCACACACCAGGCGGCAGAATCCTTCCAATTCCCGAAGTCACTCGAAATCATGCACTATACGAAGCATCGCTGGCAGGATTGAACTATACAGTCTCCATATTTCCCCGTTCGTCCTCTGGCATTGTCTTTCCTTGTATACGGAAATGTCCGAAGGCCATCATACATAAGAGTCAGTCCTAAATTTTGTCGGTTACTGAACCGAAAAGATACATATAATGATGAAGATGGAAAGCCCTAATTTCGAGTGACAATGGAAAATGAAAAAACTCCGTCAATTTTGAAATGTCAAAAAAAATCATCATCATTATTATTATTATAGGTTGGTCGACATCGAAGCGCCCAACGAAATCCACAACACCGCCAGAGAAGTCCTCAACATCGGCGCTCCCCTACTTCTACCTCTGTTGAACGAACGCGTCGAATTCCTGCAATCGCACCTGTCTAGCGGCCAGCAGCTGTCGCAAGGCCAACAGATGCTGTTGGCCATCATCCTCAACAGTTTGGAAGATCCCGGACACGTGGCAGCGCTGTTGGGGTACAGCAGCGGGGCGGAGAAAGGGGATGGGGGCGGATCGATCGGCGGGCTAATGCGTACTTTGTTGCAGACGTTCAGCAGGAACACGGTGAGTGGCAATTAGAGAGTTGAAGTGTTGTCATGAACGTTAACGTAAACGTAGAAATTGACAGCTACGCATGCGCATTTTCCAATTCTTCACGTTTGCGTTGTTAGTGGGCTTACGGGTGTACGTTATCTCACGTTCCTTCACGTATACCTTAAATATCAACGTACCAAACTATACTCGAAATATGCCGATGAGTCAAAATTATCAAATTCGAGATCACCAACGAGTTCTGTTTCAAGGAGTCCTCTAATTTTGACAGGAATAAATGTTCGAATCTAAACACACAACCAAAAATGACCAATACAAACCGAAAACAAAATGTATTATTACGTTATGATGACAGTGACGACCAAAGTGGCGACTTCAACTCAATTTAACGACAATACGTAAACGTTATTTTTCGTACGTCTCTATTATTATAAAAAAATAAATAATACGAATTTATTGAATTCTTCACAATCATAGAAAAATCACATAGGATACGTCAAACAAGAAATTCACAAACAATTTATATACAGATACATGAAAATTTAACAGAACCACATAGTTCATTCAGTCTGTAACCTTTCCTAGTACCACAAAGTATATGAAGATAAATGAAATGCATTTCATCTATGGAAATAAACTGGGGGTCAATTGAAACGTTGATAGTGAAATTTGGCATCAAGTTTGACTTCTCGTAATTTCTAAAATATTGAACGAATTTTGAATTGCCGCCCAGATTCTGAATGCCTTTTTCATCGTCTTTCGAACCGTTCCTTACAACTTCTTCGGAATTGATCAGGACCCGTGATACAGGGTGAAACAAAGTTTCGTGCATTTTGAAAAAAATTTCTCTGCCCCCCTATTTTGTCGGAAGACCACGATGCTCATATTTTATTCAGGCATTTCATAAATAGCAACCATACCTCGGGACGTTTTCGAGTTTTAAAGCAAAAACCAGGATAAAACACAAATATCCACCTACAGCAACCCATTCGAATTAAATATATTGGCAAAAATTGTGGTGAAGGTAAACTTCACACCTTTTTATACAGGGCCCGCAGGACATAAACTTATCGTGAGATTGATCGAAAGAAAATTGTGGAAAATGTATTTTATTTTGATTGACATGCCGTTTGTTACAATTACCTCTATTTATCTTGGAGAATTCCTATTACCTGAAAAAATAACCAGTGAGTGTTTTCAATTTTCTGTTGTTGGATTTTTCACCCAAGTGGATCGTTACACTTGAAACCGTAATTTTCAAGGGTAAAACTGCATTTATCATGCGATGGTTTTTTTTTGAAAATTTTTTTCGGTACTCACGTATTTTTGTCTGATAAACCGAATTTTATAATGAAAATGTTAACAAACCACTATTTATTGAGTTATTTCAAGAAAAAGTTCGAAATTTCGCCTTCTTTCTCCCCTTGTGTTGGGGGCATTTGAAGCTACTTGCTCTTATTTTGTCATTGGACACTTTATATACTCATGATGTACTTCGATGGCACATTTTTATATAGAAAATTCAACAGGAAATATGATTTTTATGGCGAGTTTTTCATATTTAGTGAACAAGCATTCCAGATGACGACCATTTAATCAATAGTCAATCAAAATACGAGATGTCAAATGTCAATAGATTGTTTTGGAATGACATTACACACGTCATTATTTTAAATGATATTCTTCCTTCTTTTCACTAAATATGGATTAATCTCAAGAAAATCATATTTATAGTTGAATTATATATAAATTGTCCAATATGATGAAAAAAGAAGGGAAATTTGTTCTAAATGCCATCCAGAAGACAGGTGAAAAAGAAGGTGAAATTTGGAACTTTTTAGTCAAATATCTTCATGATAAATATCATGATAAATGCAGTTTTACCTTTTTAAGTAGAGTGTTTGTAGTTCATGTTAATATGATAGTTGCAATTTGATCATTGGAATGAATTCTGCATTCATTGTCACGAGGCAAATGACCGTTTTCAGAAAGAAATTTGAGAATGAGAATTAAAAATGCCCGTTTATTATGAACATTCAAGAAAATTTCCTCGAATTCAGAGATGATTTTGTTGACTATAATATACGAATACAAAACTAACTGCACAATCAAAGCTTTTCTCTTTTTCCTCTACTCATACTTTTTATGAGAGAGTAATTGTCTTCTATTATTAATTCATCATTATAAATTGAGCTCTGTTTACTCATTTTCGATAGCTCCTCGTCCAACGGGAAACTAAAAGCATGAACTTTTGAACCACCCACATAATTCCCCCGACAAAAGGGAACACAACACTTGAAAGGCATTGTTATTCCGCCGACACAAAATATTTCACAAAACAGTAATTTTTCCGCCAATTATTTTGATGAATAAACAACAAAAGAATTCGGAACCGTTTCAAAAACATACGTGAATCACCGATTAACTAACACGAACTGACGCGTTAGTCGACAAGCGATAAAATAAAACACTGGCCTCTCTTGGTCACGTCACGAGCTGTTTACGTCAGAGTCTGCTGGCCTTGTTGTATCGGTGGTAACGACGGAGTACCTGTTTCTCTTGCTATCTATCGAGAGAAATAGCGGGAAATGAAATAATTTGTTACTAAATTGAGGGACATGCCCACTGTTCTCTCAATTTGAAAATATGGCTCCTGATATAAAAATTAACAATGATGTTCAAGAAGATGGGATCTGAAATTTCGAAAATGTTTACAGTTATCTCATCAAATCCTCAAGAAGTCATCTTTCACAGAGTTGTTTTTTTTTTCTATTTCAGGAAGACACACTGGACAGTATTCTGAAATACATGTCTATAAATACAAAATTCAAGTGGCAGAATCCGGGCAACTCGAAAATATACAACATACAAAAACTGTTGTCGTCCTTGCAAAATCACATGCTCGCGCACTACAGCGTCTCCGCCAAGGTCAAATACAAATCAGACGAAAACGATATCTTCGCCACCCACCTCTCACATGTGTTCACTTTCGCCGTGAACATCCTGAACAGGTAGGAAAAAGCCAGAATACTCAAAGTAAAATGAAATGTCAACAATGAGAGAGGAACCTAAGTCATTACTACAAAAGTTCATAGAATGCTTACATTGTTCAGGAACGCTTGACTACCTACACACCGGTCTCGATCTTCGGCTATCATCAGTGCAGGGGTGTCCCCAGATGGCATTCATGACCGCTATCTGGTGCTAACCTGACCCTACGTAAACACCTTCTCAGCATTCAATTCCCACGAGGCGTTCGACCACACTGAATCATTGAATCTAAACTAAACTCATTCTATTACTTGATATACAACTTGAAGACTATTTTTACTCATGAACAATTGATGAACTTTTACAATGCACAGGTGGAATTAACTTCTGGGGCAATTCCATACATTCTAAGAACACATTCATTGCACAAAAAAGAATTGTAAGGTGTTTAACAGGAAAACCAAGACAACACTCTTGCAGAGATATTTTCAAAAAACTGAACATATTAACTCTGACTGGATTATTCATTTTTGAGATATGTTTATTCGTCTATAGAAATAGGAAAGTAACACCGAAAAATTATAATACTGTTACGACCCTGGCAATCGATCCCAGCTACCTGCGGAAAGTAAACAAGCCATATTTCTTGGAATAGTAATTAGGTGACTCGACGGCTATTGAGATGACTCGAGAAGATTATCGACCTGTTCACGATATTTCGAGTGAAATCTAGACGTTTTATTAGGTAATATAAATAGATGTTGTTAGGGACAGGAAGTGAAGTCTTTATTTGGAAGCGTTATAATAACGATCGCAGAAGTGTTGTGAATCGGAAGTGTTTAGTACGAGTATTGTTATTATTGTATAGTAGTGTTCAGAATAAATCGTTATAAGTGTTCTACCGAGTGTTAAATTATTACGGACCCAGAGTAAAATCGTAACAATGCACACAATCTCAATACGAGACAAAAAACTAACTTGCGGATACCCTTTGCCAGATTGAATATTACCAGTTCATCGCCAAACTTTATCGGACCAAGGTTATTCAACAAATTACCTGAATCACTAAAAAATTATAAAAAAGAAATAGATTTCAAAAAACATATCAAAATATTTTTAGTTAGCAAAGTTTTTTATACTGTAAACGAGTTTTTGTGTACGTAATATTCCTACTTGTTATATACACTCATTATAGTTTGTAAGTTTTCTATTTTTTTTTCTCTTTTAGTTTGTAAGTTTTATAGTTTTTTAGTAACTTTGACTATGTTGTCAGTTATGGAAAATGAATGATTTGGTTTGATTTGACTTGACCACTGAGAAATGGACACAACGCCGTCTAGGGCAGATGGAAAGAAACACTCCAAGACTGAAAATCCCATTTCAGGTAGAAATCTGAGTGGCTGATTACCCGACTAGCGTTTTTTTCAAGTAGGTTTGCTAGGTTTCCGCAGAAGATGGCGGTCATGAATACCATCTGGGGACACCCCTGCACTGAAAAGAGTCAAAGCTCGAAACCGGTCTGTAGGTAGTCAAGCGTTCCTGAAAATTTTAAGCATAACTCAGTATCTAGGAATGAAACACTTGCAACTGTATTCGTCTACAGTGTGTCCCACTTACCATGCTCACCATGGGTATCTTTTTAACGGTGAGAGATACGAGGTCGGTTAAATGACACCAAATGTGGAGTTTATCAAGGCCAACTATAATGTGAAAAAATAGTTTGATAAAATCTATTCGTTTTTGTTTTATACGCAAAAAACAGATTTTGATCATTATCATGTCTCCTCCATAGCTTCTTTATTTATGAAAATATTCAAATAGGAATTTCACATGCTCATGGCAGTTTTTCAAAGTGATTTCGAAAAAAATATGAAATTTATACCAACTCTTTCAAATGTAGGTCATAGCTCACTTTGACTTAGTTTCAAATAACTTTTTTTTCTCTTACAGATGATATGTCGCAGTAATAGTTTTGTGTTGATAACAACCGAGTTATCGTCATTTATACAAAAATAAAAAATTATTTGGAAGCCGCCATCTTGAATTTATAGATTTTAACAGGAAAATCATGATCTCCGACCTCAAAAACCCCCACTTACCAATTTTGAATGAAATCGGACCAAATCTCGTCCGCCATCTTGGAGCAGCCATTTTTTTTAATTTCAACAAAAATTCCATAACTCCGATTAACTTGAAATTTAGCAGGTGTTCATAATTTCGGTGACAATACATTATGGAATTTTTGTTGAAATTTAAAAAATGGCAGCTCCAAGATGGCGGACAAGATTTGGTCCGATTCCATTCAAAATTAGTAAGTGGGAGTTTTTGAGGTCGGAGATCATGATTTTCCTGTTAAAATCTATAAATTCAAGATGGCGGCTTCCAAATAATTTTTAATTTGTATAAATGACGATAACTCCGTTGTTATCAACACCAAAATATTACTGCGACATATCATCTGTAAGAGAAAAAAAGTGATTTTTTACTAAGTCATAGTGAGCTATGACCTACATTTGAAAAACTAAAGTTGGTGCTGATATCTCAAATTCTAGAAGAGTTGGTATAAATTTCATATTTTTTTCGAAATCACTTTGAAAAACTGCCATGAGAGGGTGAAATTCCTATTTGAATATTTTCATGAATAAAGAAGTTATGGAGGAGACATGAAAATGATGAAAATCTGTTTTTTGCGTATAAAACAAAAACGAATTGATTTTATCAAAATATTTTTTCACATTATAGTTGCCCTTGACAAACTCCACATTTGGTATCATTTAACCGACCTCGTATCTCTCACCGTTAAAAAGATACCCATGGTGAGCATGGTAAGTGGGACACACTGTATACATTGTTATCTTGAATAGGGCCGCCAACATCGTGGTTATGTACCCGCCTAGTTTGGAATTGTTGTACAACGTGCTGCTGGAATCGGTGACCGGAGCTATGCTGTTCAAAATACTGAATTCTTTGTTGTTGATGCCCACTTCGTACGTGAAGAAATTGTACCCTGCGATTTTGGAACTTATGGATCCTTTGGATAGGTTCAATCAGCTTTTGCCGGCTGAATTGCTGATGCATAGCGAAAAAGATTCGTCCAGTAAGTATCACATGTTTAGTGCTATTATTATAGTTGTGTGGGTGGTTCATAGTTGATGATCATTGTATTTTTTATCAATGTTTCGGAAAAAAATGTTGTCGTTATCGGGATTCTGTTTCATTTCAACATTGATGTAACAAACTTACTCTGCATTGGTTGAACCTGTGAAAAGTGTCAATTGATGTATCTGTTCAAATTATCAAAAGACAATCTTACAGATTTGAAAAAAAATTTTGAGAATTAAAAAAATCATATGTGGCGTTCAAATCACTGTGTGCAAACTAGAATAGTAGATTGTTTTATTAGGATCAAAAGTGACACTTTGTTTGACAAGCGAATTTTGCATTTGCGAGGCGGAGCGTTTAGCGAAGCCGAGCGAAAGCAAAATTTGCGAGTCGAACAAAGTCACTTCTGATCCGAATGAAACATGCTATTTTTTCTGCAACCGAAACAATAAACTCAAATGAACATGTGAAGTAACCACCAATGCCGTGTCATATGTATGCAATGCAACAAATATTGACAAATAATCCATGTGGTGAAAATATTCTACCTGCATTAACAGCAGGTTAGGTTTTCAAGGATGTTCGAGTTGTAGTTTCAATAAAGGTTCAATATAAATACAATCACAGAGTGACATATTTGTGTATGGACCAGGTGCTCTAATGGCAAATACCGCGCCAGTGCCATCAGCTATAGGAACAAGACGTGGAAAATGTTAGGTTAGTGAGCATATCAACAATGATAATAGTGATTATTAATTTATTCCTCTCCATACTACACTGTGTTTGACTTGATAATCAAATGAAGCTAAACAATATCGTTGTTTGAGACAAAAAACTATTGCTTGCCGTGATTATTCAAAAACAAGTTATCCATCCCGAGAATAACGAATGAAATACAGATCCAGCAAGTATTTGAATCTTGAAGGCTTCCCTGATCAAAACAAAAATACTTAACTGAGATGTTTACAATTCCAATACTAAACTATAATAAGGTGTATTTATATCTCCAGCATGGGTATGAAATGCCAAATCTGCTGAAATCGGAAACAAATCAGGTATGCGTCTCAACCCAAATAACCAACCGTCACAATGTTGTTTATTCTTGATCACGTCCAGTAGATCTTTTTTAGTTCCTAGGAGCTAAAGTTCAACTTTAGCTCCTAGGAACTAAAATTCAACTTTAGCTCCTAGGAACTAAATATGTTGCCTAGCAACATACCCATTTTTGTGTCAGTAATAGAAACGTCAATTTAAGAGCTAATTTTGGTATCAAAATGGACGACTTTTGTGTCGGTTGCAGAAAAATAAAAATATTCACTGGCTAGATAGATCAAAATCAACCTATTGTGAGCTTGATTGTTTTATAAAGTTATGAAAAAATCGCAATATCGCAGTAGCTTTTGAACATGGTCACATGGTAATTTTGAAACTGAAGGTTTTCAAGGATAAAAACTCGAGCAACTTTTTTTGAAATAAATTTGCACTCGACTTTCTTGTTCTTAATATTTGCGCTATTTTCATAGAGGAATTTAGAACATACGTAATTTCAACGCAAATAAGTTATTAGTACGAAAAGTTGACAGTATTCGAAATAATCGCATTTTTGAAATCAACTGCATAATTCTCGTCTCGATCAATTCATTGTGGGAAATATCAGCGTAATAGGCGTCTACGCTAATAATGCTTTGACAGCTTGAGAACATTACTATCGCCGGATAAATATACAGTGTCTTTCAAAAGTATCGGAACGGTCTCATATTTCAGGAACTGCTTGAGAAAAATTCACGAAATTTTCTACAGGATGATTATTGGTGATGTCCGATTCAATGGTGGCATCGGCAATGTTGCCAAGTTTACAGTTTTTCAGATATTAGGAGTAACTTTATTTTTCCAAATGGAATACCCCATTTATTTTTATTGCAATTAATTAAGCGCCTCCTAATTACTTGAGTCCCTGAATATCAGATTCGTAATTAACGTGATTTTCGAAATATGACAACATAGCATTTTCGTTAAAAAGTTCTGGAACGGTCCCATATTTCAGAAACGGCTCAGGAAAATTTATGAAAACTTCGACAGGATGGTTGTTGATGATGCCCCATGGGGATATCGGCAATGTTGCCAAATCAACAGTTTTTCAGATATTTGGAGACATAAGTAATGAGGCGTCACTGAATGTATTGCAATGAAAACAAATAGGGTATTCCATTTGAAAAAAATTTTATATAGAAAAAGTGCGGGGTCATTTTCAGGAATTTTTTGAAATTTTTACAATTTTCCGGAATTTTTGCAATTTTTGCAATTTTTGCAATTTTCAGAAATGTTTGCGATTTTTGCTATTTTCAGGAATTTTTGCAAATTTTGCTATTCTTGCAATTTTCAGGCAATTTTGCGATTTTTGCAATTTTCAGGAATTAAGGAATTTTCAGGCATTTTTGCGATTTTTGCAGTTTTCAGGCATTTTTGCAATTTTCAGTGAATTTCGCAATCTTCAGGAATTTTTGCAATTTTCAGGAAATTTCCCAATTTACAGGATTTTTTGCAAATAGCAATAATTATTGCAAAATTCCCGGAATTGGGAAAATTCCTGAAGATGAAAATTTTTGGGATTTTTGCAATTTTCAGGAATTTTTGCAATTTTCAGGCATTTTTGCGATGTTTGCAATTTTTAGGCATTTTTGCGATTTTTGCAATTTTCAGGAATTTCTGCGATTTTTGCAATTTTCAGGAATTTTTGCAATTTCCAGGCATTTTTGCGATTTTTGCAATTTTCAGGCATTTTTGCGATCTTCAGGAATTTTTGAAATTTTCACAAATTTCAGGATATTTTCCAATTTTCAGGAATTTTTGCAAGTTAATATCTGCAATTCTCAGGAATTTTTGCAATTTTCAGGCATTTCTGCGATTTTTGCAATTTTCAGGAATATTTGCAAATTTTGCTATTTTCGCAATTTTCAGTCAATTTTTGCGATTTTTACAATTTTCAGGAATTTAGGAATTTTCAGGCATTTTTGCGATTTTTGCAATTCTCAGTAATTTTCGCAATCTTCAGGAATTTTTGCAATTTTCAGGAAATTTTCCAATTTTCAGGTATTTTTTGAAATTTTTACAATTTTCCGGAATTTTCGCAGTTTTTGCAATTTTCAGGCATTTTTGCAATATTTTCAATTTTCAGGCATTTTTGCGATTTTTGCAATTTTCAGGAATTTTTGCGATTTTTGCAATTTTCAGGAATTTTTGCTATTTTCAGGAATTTTTGCGATTTTTGCAATTTTCAGTCATTTTTGCGATTTTTGCAATTTTCAGGAATTTTTGCTATTTTCAGGAATTTTTGCGATTTTTGCAATTTTCAGTCATTTTTGCGATTTTTGCGATTTTCAGGCATTTTCAGGCATTTTTGCAATTTTCAGGCATTTTTGCGATTTTTGCAATCTTCAGGAATTTTTGCGATTTTTACAATTTTCAGTCATTTTTGCGATTTTTGCAATTTTCAGGAATTTTCGCTATTTTCAGGAATTTCTGCGATTTTTGCAATTTTCAGTCATTTTTGCGATTTTTGCAATTTTCAGTCATTTTTGCGATTTTTGCGATTTTTGCGATTCTCAGGCATTTTTGCAATTTTTGCAATTTTCAGGAAATTTTCCAATTTTCAGGTATTTTTTGAAATTTTTACAATTTTCCGGAATTTTCGCAATTTTTGCAATTTTCAGGCATTTTTGCAATTTTTGCAATTTTCAGGCATTTTTGCAATTTTCAGGAATTTTTGCAATTTTTGCAATTTTCAGGAATTTTTGCTATTTTCAGGAATTTTTGCGATTTTTGCTATTTTCAGTCATTTTTGCGATTTTTGCAATTTTCAGGAATTTTAGCTATTTTCAGGATTTTTGCGATTTTTGCAATTTTCAGTCATTTTTGCGATTTTTGCAATTTCAGTCATTTTTGCGATTTTAGCGATTTTAGCGATTTTCAGGCATTTTCAGGCATTTTTGCAATTTCCAGGCATTTTTGCGATTTTTGCAATCTTCAGGAATTTTTGCGATTTTTGCAATTTTCAGTCATTTTTGCGATTTTTGCAATTTTCAGGAATTTTCGCTATTTTCAGGAATTTTTGCGATTTTTGCAATCTTCAGTCATTTTTGCGATTTTTGCAATTTTCAGTCATTTTTGCGATTTCTGCGATTCTCAGGCATTTTTGCAATTTTTGCAATTTTCAGGCATTTTGCGATTTTTGCAATTTTTCAGGAATTTTTGCGATTTTTGCTATTTTCAGGAATTTTTGCAATTTTCAGTCATTTTTGCGATTTTGCGATTTTCAGGCATTTTTGCAATTTTCAGGCATTTTTGCGATTTTGCAATTTTCAGGAATTTTTGCGATTTTTGCAATTTTCAGTCATATTTGCGATTTTTGCAATTTTCAGTCATTTTTGCGATTTTTGCAATTTTCAGGAATTTTTGCGATTTTTGCAATTTTCAGTCATTTTTGCGATTTTTGCAATTTTCAGGCATTTTTGCGATTTTTGCAATTTTCAGGAATTTTTGCGATTTTTGCGATTTTCAGGCATTTTTGCGATTTTTGCTATTTTCAGGAATTTTTGCAATTTTCAGTCATTTTTGCGATTTTTGCAATTTTCAGGAATTTTTGCGATTTTTGCAATTTTCAGTCATTTTTGCGATTTTTGCAATTTTCAGTCATTTTTGCGATTTTTGCGATTTTCAGGCATTTTTGCAATTTTCAGGCATTTTTGCGATTTTTGCAATTTTCAGGAATTTTTGCGATTTTTGCAATTTTCAGTCATTTTTGCGATTTTTGCAATTTTCAGTCATTTTTGCGATTTTTGCAATTTTCAGGAATTTTTGCGATTTTTGCAATTTTCAGTCATTTTTGCGATTTTTGCAATTTTCAGGCATTTTTGCGATTTTTGCAATTTTCAGGAATTTTTGCGATTTTTGCGATTTTCAGGCATTTTTGCAATTTTTGCAATTTTCAGGCATTTTTGCGATTTCTGCAATTTTCAGGAATTTTTGCGATTTTTGCAATTTTCAGTCATTTTTGCGATTTTTGCAATTTTCAGTCATTTTTGCGATTTTTGCAATTTTCAGTCATTTTTGCGATTTTTGCAATTTTCAGGAATTTTTGCTATTTTCAGGAATTTTTGCAATTTTCAGTCATTTTTGCGATTTTTGCAATTTTCAGTCATTTTTGCGATTTTTGCAATTTTCAGGAATTTTTGCGATTTTTGCAATTTTCAGGAATTTTTGCGATTTTCAGTCATTTTTGCGATTTTTGCAATTTTCAGTCATTTTTGCGATTATTGCAATTTTCAGGAATTTTTGCTATTTTCAGGAATTTTTGCGATTTTTGCAATTTTCAGTCATTTTTGCGATTTTTGCAATTTTCAGTCATTTTTGCGATTTTTGCAATTTTTGCGATTTTTGCAATTTTCAGTCATTTTTGCGATTTCGCAATTTTCAGGAATTTTTGCGATTTTTGCGATTTTCAGGCATTTTTGCAATATTTGCTATTTTCAGGAATTTTTGCGATTTCTGCAATTTTCAGTTATTTTTGCGATTTTCGCAATTTTCAGTCATTTTTGCGATTTTTGCAATTTTCAAGAATTTTTGCGATTTTCGCAATTTTCAAGAATTTTTGCGATTTACGCAATTTTCAGGAATTTTTGCGATTTTCAGGAATTTTTGCGATTTTTGCAATTTTCAGTCATTTTTGCGATTTTCGCAATTTTCAGTCATTTTTGCGATTTTTGCAATTTTCAGTCATTTTTGCGATTTTCGCAATTTTCAGTCATTTTTGCGATTTTTGCAATTTTCAGTCATTTTTGCGATTTTCGCAATCTTCAGGAATTTTTGCGATTTTTGCGATTTTCAGGCATTTTTGCAATTTTTGCTATTTTCAGGAATTTTTGCGATTTTTGCAATTTTCAGTCATTTTTGCGATTTTCGCAATTTTCAGTCATTTTTGCGATTTTTGCAATTTTCAAGAATTTTTGCGATTTTTGCAATTTTCAGGAATTTTTGCGATTTTTGCAATTTTCAGTCATTTTTGCGATTTTCGCAATTTTCAGTCATTTTTGCGATTTTTGCAATTTTCAGTCATTTTTGCGATTTTCGCAATTTTCAGGAATTTTTGCGATTTTTGCGATTTTCAGGCATTTTTGCAATTTTTGCAATTTTCAGGCATTTTTGCGATTTTTGCAATTTTCAGGAATTTTTGCGATTTTTGCAATTTTCCGGAATTTTCGCAATTTTTGCAATTTTCAGGAATTTTTGCGTTACTAGATCTGGTAACATATCATAGGTTAGGTTACTAGATCTGGTAACATATCATAGGTTAGGTTACTAGATCTGGTAACATATCTTCGGTTAGGTTACTAAATCTGGTAACATATCTTAGGTTGGGTTACTAGATCTGGTAACATATCTTAGGTTAGGTTACTAGATCTGGTAACATATCATAGGTTAGGTTACTAGATCTGGTAACATATCTTAGGTTAGGTTACTAGATCTGGTAACATATCTTAGGTTAGGTTACTAGATCTGGTAACATATCTTAGGTTAGGTTACTAGATCTGGTAACATATCATAGGTTAGGTTACTAGATCTGGTAACATATCTTAGGTTAGGTTACTAGATCTGGTAACATATCTTAGGTTAGGTTACTAGACTAACCTAAGA